ATTGTTATGGGTCAGCTCCCGAAAATAATGATTTTTGGCATTGTACCGAGCCGATCGTTTGCTGGTGAATACGGATCATCCCCATTTAACTTTACACATTTCAACTTAACCAACATCGTGGCCGAGATTGACGGTCAGCTGTTTCCCACACAAGGCTACAGCTTAAACTATGAGAAGGGTAGTTCGATACAAGGCTATGAAGGTCTGTTGGACACACTTGAACGTCTCAACGAGGGAGCAGGTGAATTGCCAATAGACCGTGAACAGTACAACAAGGGTGGATTCTGCCTGTACGGATTTGATTTTACGCGTGGACACACAGGACGAGGGGCAATGTCCCTGTCCCGCCATGGGAATTTGAATATACACATGAAATTCGCCAAAGGTTTAGAAGAAAATGCGGTGTGTGTAGCCATGTTGGTGTTCGATAACGTGATCGAAATTAACAACAACCGTCAGGTTATCTTTGATTTTGCACCATGAACAACCTGCAAATCCAAGCCGCATAACAGAAGGACCCAAAAATCCGAGATATTTTTGTTGGAGTGTATTCTGCCAACACAATCCCAGACAAGGAATTTCCTGGTGCTTACATTGTCAACACAGAGGTGGACGGCAATCGCGGCGAGCACTGGGTTGCATTTTACTGTGTAGCACCAGGTATACTGGAGGCGTTTGATTCGTACGGTGAAAATCCGGCCGTATACTCGCAGCATATTAAGAACTGGATCAGCGACGACTTTCTCATTTTATCTAACACGGAGCGGCAAAGTGTAGACAGCACAGTCTGCGGTCAGTACTGCATGTTTTTTGTTACGCTACGTTGCTATGGATACTCATACAAGGATGTCATGTCAGCACTAACCAAGCATAAAGGAGTGAACGATGTGTTCGTATGCAAGTTTATCAACAAGTTTTTCAGTATGCGAACACGAGTAAAAGACCGCAACTTCATAAATGGACTTATCGCAAATTAACAAAAAGCAGGTCGTGGCCACCTTGTTCTGGGTGGTCATGTTTGGCCTTCTCATCAGTTTCTATTCCCTGCAAATCTATCAATCCATTAAGGGAAACAGAAACATTACGGAAATTGATATTAAAGCGTCAAAAGACGTGACAGAAGCGTTCCTGAATACCATGATGCTGACGGATACCAATAAATCAACAAGCTAATATGGATAAAAAGGATTTCATCTTCTACTGTATTATTTCCACATTGTGTCTCATTTTGTGGACACTGGAAGTGTACGTTCAAATTAGGATGACATCACAGCTGCCCAGCGATCCGATCATGATTCCCGAGGCCATGTTCAACAAAATCTTCCATAACGTGACTAGCATGCTGGGAGGAAAACAAATATACAGACTAACTGGTTACGGACCACTGACCGTTTAGACAAGTGGCAGAAATAAAGCTGATGAAACTGTGTAAATTCATGAAGGTAAGAAGGTCAGAAGTCAAACTGTAAACTGCTTTGTACATCACAACGGTTGACATTCTGTCTATTTATAAGCTGTATGATTTTTCTCCATTCTAGAACACTGAGAATGCCTCTAGACGCCATGTCTGTTTGCAAGGAGGAGAACGGTGTAAAGTATTTTCGCTTCAGCGACACTCTTCGTATGGAATGGCGTGTAGCTAACAAGTCATTTTTACTTGTGCGGGTCAGTCCAGGCGGTCCTGCAGATGACGATGAGACCAATGCTGGGTGTGAGCAGTGTATTGAGAGCATGGAAGAATACGACGTGCGTGTGGCTCGGAAATTCATCAGAATGGAGTTGAGCGGTGAAATGATCCAGACGTTGAGAAAGTCCACTCTTAAATGGCAGCCTGTAGTTTGCGTGATCGTGGATGGCGTGCGCAAAGAAATTTTCATCAAAGTGAATGGACGTGCGGTAAAAGAACAAGCACAGATCTGCATTATACGGCCAACCGATGGTGGACCATTGGAACTTTCTGTGTTGGAGTTTCGAATCCTCTGCGCGACTCTAATGACATTGATTGATCAGTAATAGTAAGCATAACAGTCAGAACTTAATGAGAAAAAGCACATAAGTTTTCAGGGTCAGATGTATAGCTGTTTTTGCATACACGTCGATATCAAGGAGGACTAGCAAAAAATAGTCATTTACAACATTTTCTGTCTTCAGCAGCAATCATGGAGTCTGATGGGAACGACGATTCTTCTTTGCCGTTCTGCTGCAGTGTTGACGACATCTTGTGGTTTAGACTGAGTGATAATATTCGTATCGGTTTCAGACCACTAGATCAGCATCTTATTATCGCTTCATTGGTTACACATATATCCAGCTGGAGTCTTGTACGCACCGTCGGCGAGTATGACGATACCGTCGTTAAACGCATGATAGAAATGCATGAAGACGATTCATTTCTTCGGCTGTGGAATCGTGCCATTACAACACGAAAAACTCAATGTTATCGGATCAGAGATGCCACAGGAAAATCTGTTCGGATCCGCTTTAGACCACGCTGTTCGCAGACAGACTGCGTGCGCATCACTTGTGCCGGGAATGTGCCTTTGGATCTAACTCTTGTTCAGTTTCGTGGACTATGTGCCACATTAGCCGATATTGTTACTTTGTAAAAAAAAAAAAAAAAAAGAAAAAAGAGGGCGCTGCCCCAAATTAGTGACGGTCTTAGCTTGTCAGAATAATTGACGGACAAGCTGACATCGTTGCTATTTTGGGAACCTTCTTTGCATTAAGGAGACACACACACACATACACAGTTAGCAAAACTACTACTGCTAATATGGAGTCGAATTTGGTAGAAATTAGCTACCCCGGCTATGAGGGGATCAGGACTTATCGCTTTGGAAATGGTAAAACATTTGTTTTCTGGCATTATACAGCAGGCAAAATGGTGTTGGCAAAAGATGTGCTATCGGTAGATGAGCACGGTTACTCGGAAGCTAAACGAACTGGAATAACTTTGACCAAGCGCGATTTAGAATTCTTAGAGTGGATGGTGCGAACAGAATGGTATACTCCCGATCTAGAAGAATCTGATTATACCTACAGACTGAATAAAAATTTGGAGATCAAGTTGAATCCTGTAGCTTCCATGTATACTCCGTCAGTTGAGTTCAGACAACAAGATCGCCAAATCAAGTTGTCTGTATTCACAATCATACAGATCGTGGAAGCGGCCAGTTAAACAAGATGGCAGATATCTGCCTGCATTTGCTTCCTCTATCCATCTAGGAACGGCTATGGCAGATTAAACAGTAAACCAATACTTGAAAATGGATATGTCAGACGTAGATAACCGCTGCAACAGCTTTGTCAACTGGCCATGTATTGAGTATTCCATAGCACGACTGGCGTTTGATGGATTCTTTTACAAGGGTGTGTACGACGAAATTCAGTGTGTGTATTGCGGCCATGTTATGGGAGATTGGCCAAATTCTCGGTATAAGCCTTTCTATCGGCACCTGTTTGAACGACCAGATTGTCCTAACTCACAGGCAATGGCTGCTGGTGAGGATGACTTCGGTTCGCAGCATGATTTGCTTTTCGCTGCGCCAGAAATGCAAGAATACAAGGCGCGTTTTGCCAGCTATGCCGAATGGCCTGTAAGCAAGCAGCAACATCCACGAGACATGGCGCACGCTGGATTCTATTACGAAGGAAATGGTGATTGCGTTCGTTGTTTTCACTGCGGCGGCCGAATTCACAATTGGGAAGCACGTGATGTACCGTGGGAGGAACATGCACGTTGGTATCCAAAATGCCCGTACCTTACGGAGACGAAAGGAGCGGCATTCATTGAAGAAACGCAAAAGAAATACGAAAAATGTGTGGTGTCTTGTTGTCCTTGTAGCACTGATGTGTAATACTGACGTCTGCTATTTCGATTTACCTATTGACTATCCAGATCAGTGGAATGCTGTTTTGCTAATCTCTGAATGAATAAAACAAAAAAAAGAGGGTGGGGAAAATCAAACAAAAGAAAGGGGCTAATCATAGACAGTGTACAGGCTAATACGCTATTGTACGCAGTAGATTGTAGGCGGCATACAGGTTACCCGGCCATTCCGCTATTCGTACACACCATCAGACCAAACTGCTTTGTACGCTATTCGTTTAACAGTACAGTATGTCTGTACGCTATTGTACACAGTAGATTGTAGGCGGCATACAGGTTAAACCGGCCATTCCGCTACTCGTACACCCTACAGTGTATGGGGGCGGTACTTAGGCCAAACCGACCAATAGGAGAGCCCGCTATTTGTACTACCATCAACCGCTATATTTACTACTTCTCTTCTCACAGACACCCGTTTCATTGCTCATTTTCAGGAATCAGAGTTGTATGAGTTTTTTATTTCACCGATGCCAGCGAAATTCATAAACTTCTGTTATTTATAATGACCTTTCCAGCGGCCAAAATGTCAATACCAACTAAAACGTTTGGATCTTCGGCATAAATTTCGCTGAGTGCTGTACATGGTCCAACATCCCTACCGCAGTTCTGCAACCTCGGTCGGTTATTTCCGCTTTAAAAGCGAATGTTTGCGATATAGTCAGCACAGAGTCACAGACGGCACTCAACAGCAACAGCTTTGCCCGTCTTATTGCCCATTTAAAGTTCTACTGTTTTGAATGCTTTTAGCGACTTCTGGACTGATAGTTAATGATACCATTGTTTTTTTCCTCCGCCGAGTTACAGTTAGCCGTCGATTTTCTGGAAGCTTTCTCCATCTTTCCCGAATGATCGGGCGGTTGTGACCCACAACCTTATCGTTAATCCTCAGATTTTAGACTGCAGTATCGAACGTTAAACTGCGCAAATAATTAACTGCCAAAAGGGTGCCTATAAAATACACAGTTTCGTCTTAAACAAAGCTAATTAATTAAAAAAGGGTGCCTAACTGCCTGTAATTAACGGGGTGTGGGATAAGGGGTGGCTATAAAAAACGGGGATGTTAGGGGTGGCTATAGTGTCACCCTAATCTGTATTAAGTCACTCTTTGTCATTATTCACCATTTCCGTTTGGCGCGCCAATGTTCCTTACGCTGACGAAGACGACTTGCGATCCGCGTAGATGCACAGCCAGATTCTCCTCCGCCGGATTCTCCGCGAATCGCACGTAGCGCATCCAGTTGGAGAAGAGCTCCGAGTCCAGCTGGAAGAAACGCAACTGTCCGTCTTCCGGGCTGGGAAAAGCATACACGATCGTGCCGTTGCTTTTCTCGGCCAGCGGAGCCACCAAGGGACCGAAAACGGCCTGAGGAGCAATCTGGACATTGGCTATCACTTTCTTCCCTGCAAAGAGAGTTAAGAGACCCGGTAATGCATTCTGCAAACTGTATACGTACTGCACAGGGAAAATTAAACAAAATCACGACCTTCATTATTTGCTATATTTCGCTAGATAAAATATTCAGTGTTCACTCTTTGGAATTTTATAGTTAAAAACCGTTGTATTCTTTCTCCGAAAGAGTTTTCATCAGAAAGTTTTCGGTTGTATACAGGTTATGGGGTCCGGTCATTGGCCGGGTCATGGTCAGTAGACTCAGTACTGCTCAACGTGTAAGTTTGCAAGGAGCGGATTCGAAGCACGATTGTTCGAGAAAAAAATCTAATTCTATTAACCAGTCCTGTAGTTTTAATGGCTTACTGGATTTAAAGTATCCCGTATTGATCAACTAACTAACTAACTAACTAAATGCGAATCAACCTGTGGAGGAATCAGCACAAGCATCCAGGTGCAAGATTTTGGGCAAACTGGCCAGTGCGAAGGGAACGACGCTTTCATTGGGAACACTTTTGGCATGCAACCAACAGGGCTCCTCCAGAAACTGCTGACAATCAGCGCAAACTGAAAGGAATGGGTAGCAAAATCATCAAGTTCTTCGTCACAGCAGCAAAATGTAAAATGAATTTTTTTATGCTGTCCGACGTACAGTCGGGATTTTTGAAGTGCCAACAAACATACAGATTTGCTTCTGCTGGTGGCATTCCCAGCTGCCAGGGGGTCCTTGCAGCACAGTCAGCGGATTCTGGTGATCTGGCAGCGGTGGGTCCTGGCGCGGCATGAGCAGCTCGCTGTCCGGTTCAGGCAAGGAGTAGTCAAGTTCCATGACGTCACAACCGCGGGATATTTGGTTACTAATAAGCTGACAACGGATCTATCACCGTTTCAAAACCGCTGGCAAACTCCCAATGTCGGGAAAGCCAGTAAAATTTGCGAGATTTTCTGCAGTCAATTTCCAACACGCAAACAGAATTTTGATATACGTAACAAAATGTCATAACCTACAAAATCAGCATAAACGTTCGGACTTTGAATGTTGCGAGACTGCTAAGAGCCCTGAGCAGCAATGCAGGTGCATAAGTAAAGCGACTGCCACATCGAATGTGGTTACCTGTATAATTTCCTAGTCCTAGTACTCAACTACTCATGCCGTCTGTGACTGTGACCGTGTGTAATACATGTACAAATTTCATTATTTTTTTCAATCATTGTCGCTAATTGTTGTTACGTACAGTAAGTCAAAGTCAGCGTTTCGTTTCTACATGAATATAAGCGCCCGAAAAACGTACGTAAACGTACAAACACAAACGCTGACGATATTGCCAAAAGCGATGAAACGTAACATAAATATGTATTCAAGATCTGTATTTGTACAGATATTAGTACTATAAACTCAGTATATCGTATAGATATTCAGTATTTACAACCGCGAAGCTGATCAACATGAATTCGCCGAAACTGATCGCAGTCATCACTGATTAATCAATGCGGCAAATTGATCTGAAAAAAAAACTTTAATGCAGTTGTACACACAATGCTGTATGCTGAAAAAGATTCCGGTAACTGGCCCGCATAATACTACACGATTATGTAAGAATCCTTCAACAATCAGAACACGAGCACTATCCCGCAATTCTTCTAGCTATTCCAGTCTTTTTCGGCGGAATGTCTTGCTTTGACGACATTCCTGCACCTAGCGAGGCAGTCTTTCTGGTAATGTTCCAGATGCCTCTCTGATCGCTCATGACGACACGACCTCCAAGGATCACTTCCCGTATTCGATGCACGCCAACCGGTACTCTTACGACGGCGCATTTTCATTATGCAATCGCATATGCGCCCTCAAGCGATCTCTCCTCCGGAAGACGGCTTGACAGATTTCGCAGATCAGCACGCTCTTGACGTCATGCTGCCGTTGGTAGTGCGTCCGGAATGGCTTGTACCGGGGGAACGTGCGCGGGCACAGGGGGCACGGATAGACGCCGTCCCGCTGATGCGTTAGGTTGTGTTTGCTATGCGCAATGCCACTCTCGAATTGCAGCGCGCAATACAAGCAACGAAATTTGTACAGTCTTTTTGCATGTGTCTGTAACAAGACGAAATAAACTGCAAGTGACGAGATGCTAATGTAGAAGGTAAATCGCTGGGGTAATTAAGTGACTGATGATATACAAAAGAAAAACAGAAGCGGAGAAAGAAAGACTGTCCTAAATATTATGCCAAACATTTCGGCGATCACACCTTACCCGCGTATGGACGTCCAGTTGATTCTGGGAGCGCAGCTTCACCCCGCACTCTTGGCACTCAAAATGCCACTCGCTGGAAATTATTTCCCGGTACTCTGGATGATCCTTTGCATAATGTGTCGACAATTTACAAACTTGCCGGGGGCAAAGGAGACATTGCTTTCTGTCCTTGGGATTAATCGCGTGATCTGCCGTGTGCAGCGCCAATTCGGCGAAACTGGCTCCCGTGAAAGCGCACACTGGGCATGTTCGCTCCGGCCGCCATTGGAAATCCTCCAGGACTCGGTGTGACAGTTCATGGATATCCAATAAAGATTTATCCAGGAAATATTTATTGCAGCTGGGACAAAAATACGAATAATATCCTGTCTTTTGCATGTATTCCATGGCCAGCTGACGCGATTCCGCGGTTGGCTCCATTCCACTTATGGTTACTCCCGGATGATACTACAAGTAGATAAAACAAAATATTTCTGCGCAATATATTTCTGCGCAACAAAATATCCCTGGTTCCCTGCGCAGCAGTAATGCTGTTTTAAAGGCGCAGGAAAAAACAAAAAGGCATAAAAATGTCAAAATGAACAATAAATAATTACTAAACATAAGCAGACCGAATTGAATCTAGTTGTACCGTTGTTATATGGATGCGTAAATTAGGCATCGTCTGGTACCGCATTCCACACGTCTCGCAAGCATGCTTGTAATTCGCCGACGCATATTCGGAATGTTCTTGGTTGACATGTTTATTTAATTTAAACACCATGCGGTGGCACGCCGGGCACTCTTGTTTCTGATACTTCGGCCTCTTTCGCTTTCCCTTAGATTTCGAGCTCTGCCCGCCTGCAATTCTTTCTATAATTTCCAGTGGTTTCAAGTCTCCTGCAAAAGATCAGATTCCCGGCCATCACAAAGCAATACACACATGCCAACTGAAATTATCACAACTCTCAAGACAGTCAATCTTCTTGGCTTAAAAAAATTCATCTGGATTGAGTACTGCCAAATCATTAACAAATCATCACAAAGTACCAATTGTAAACCATTAACATGAAAAGAAAATAATATGTAATTACCGTTTACGTTGGGCGTACCATGTGAATGGGACCGATTCACATGCACTAAGTTTCACTGCACAATATCAATTCATACAAGACATCGCTGCTTACTATTACCATCACGCGTTTCATCGTTTTCCGGAGCCCAGTCAGAATCAATGTCGGCATCCATAGCGGTATGATACCTCTCCGTCCACAGTGTTTCTGTGCTACCATCACACGTATTCTGATCGGTTTCTATAGGTGGAACGATTTCCAGTACCGCTGACCGAAGGGAGTTTTTCCTTGAGATCTTCTCCGCACTAATTACAGAATCTTCTTTGTTACAACATTCGCCGGCTGACCGGGCTATTGTGATTGTGGAATGGTACCTGATCTCAGGAGAATCTTCGCGTATCGTCTTTGCCTTAACCGGTGCTGAGCCACTGCTCATAGTCGGCGACGGCGAAAGTGACACACTTTTATGGGCGTCTATTTTCAAATGTGCAGATGCATGGCTTGTAAGCGGAGAAGGCGCATTCGCGATTGTATTTGCCAGGCATCTTCTGCGCTTGGCCGGCGGCAGAACACTTTCACCTCCGTTGAAAGTTTGCGCAGGGCGTTGTGTGCTGGGCAATACTGGCAAAGGCGAAAGGACACTTTCGTCATTTTCAGTCATCTGCGTCCCTAATGAATCGCTAACCGAATTGGAAGGACCGATCCTTGAGCAAGTTTCCGTTGTCGCTTGAGGAGTGTATCGCGATGTAGCGTTCTTCTTGTGCTCGACAAACTCCAGAGCTGCAAAACACAATCAGCATTATCTACAAAACAAATTTGGCCGAGTACTGAGTGTACAATACACGCAAATCACGCAGTACTGTTTTTATAAATTACTCTTATCTTGCTGGCTTTATTCACTGACTGGATTACTATAACCTGTTGCACCAAAACTCTCGCTTGCTTGTCTCTCCATCTGCGCCTTGCCGCGTCCGAGGGTCTTGGCGTACTTGGCAGAATAGCAGACTTTGAGTTCTTCGCCGGGGAGAATGCTCCTAACGGTGACGAAGACGATTTGGGATCCGCGGAGATAGACGGCCAGATTCTCCTCCGCCGGATTCTCCGCGAAACGCACGTAGCGCATCCAGTTGGAGAAGAGCTCTGAGTCCAGCTGGAAGAAACGCAGCTGTCCGTCGTCCGCGCTGGGAAATGCGTAAACATAGGCATCGCTGCATTTCTCGGCAAAGGGAGCCACCAAAGGGCCGAAAACGGTCTGAGGCGGAATCTGGGCACTGGACACCACTTTCTTCCCTGCACACAGACAGGGTAATGCATTAGAATTGGCCTCATTACTAAAGCCACAGAGAAAGATAAGATCCTTATCTTTCTCTCTGCTAAAGCCATCAGATAGTTCGCAAATTGAGTATAAATTTTGTGTTTTAAGCTGCTGTGACTACTGTACATCAAGACGCAAGAGCGCAATATTCAAGCGCCATACTGCAGTCTGTACCTACATGTTCCAAAGAACAAATTCAAAGATAAAAGTATACCAAACATTAAGCCGGATCAATTCCAGCTAAGCTTCTGGAGTAAGATAATTATAGCGAAATAAAAATTTAATGTGAAAGATTTTATTAGGTGCACCTTGTACTGTACAGCAGCAGCGCGGAGCGAGCTGCTCGTTACGCCGCTGAAAGACATGTTCAGAAAGAGGTAACTTACTTACTTACGTATTTTTAACCTAAGAATGCTAAGATTAAAAAGTCGAAAAGGGAACCTTCTGACAATCGCCAGCGAACTAATTCACGTTTAAGCCTTGAAATATTTAACCTTAACGTGGGATTTGTTACTACTACTAAGCATTAATCAACCGTATGGACTGCATTAACCATGCCAATGTGCGAACCAACCTGTGGAGGAATTAGCACAAACATCCAGCTGCAAAATTTTTTGGCAGACTAGCCAGTGCGAAGGGTACTACGCTTTCGTTGGGAATACTTTTGGTATGAAACCAGCACGGCTCTTTCAGAAGTTGCTGGCAAACATCACAAACTGAAAGGAATGAACAGACCGATCAATCATCAAAACAGGCAAAAAATAAAACGAAATTTGTGCAATCATGAGGCGGGAAATCTAGCGAGCGGATTGCTATGGTGCGATAAACCTACAGATCCGTTCCTGCCGATGGCGTATCCCACTGCCATGCGATCCCTCCGCCGAATTTAACAAATTGCGAATATCCTGCAACGGTGGATCATGGCGGGGAATAAGCAATTCGCTATCCGATCCAGGCAAACAGCAGTCGAGTTCCATGACGGTGTTGACGCGGAATCAGTAAAAGTCGTTGATAAAAACTTAACACACAAAAGTTCAAAACGTCGTTTGATGACAGCTCGCTTGCTCCGAACGGGCACGCTACTGAAATCCTTAGATTCTCGGAAATCAGATCATAAAAAGTTAAACGCGAAGGAAGAATAAATTATTAGTTAGGCTCAAAATTCAGTTATGAAGATATCAGCGAAGGAAATCTGTGACACACGCTTAAAAAAATCGAACTTTGAACCTTAACAAACATCAAATAACTGCACGACAATGATGCGTCACATATCTGCATCGAGCGGGCAATTTTGGGAGCGCAAAACCGTGCGACATTTTGCTTTATGGTGTGCTTTCAGTCCAGTCTGTAACTTTACTTTGCAGTTTGCACCAGACTTGGCCCATCTTTTGGGTGAGGTGAAAATTTTCCCCATTTTTCCCAGCCCATCTCAACTTCTAGGTGAAAATGATGATGAGGTGGGAAAGAGTCACAGATGGGGTGAGATGGGCTGGGATTGTTGAAAGATGTGATGGGATCAAGAAAACAAATAAAAATAAAAAATGCTGATATCTTCATCTGTTTTTCAGGGTAGGAGCATGTAAAAATGCACCATTCGAGCTCCAAAAACAAAAAATTTTCCGCGCTCCGCGCGGATTTTATTAGTAAGTGAACATATTTTCTTGAGAACCAAAATTTTTTTTCGCCCGGCAACTCTATCGTATGCGGAAAACTTGCAAAATTAGCGGCGTTGAGCCTGTAAAAAATGGGGATGAAGATGAGGTCGAAAAGGTGAGATGGGCTGAAAATTTGAGTAGCCGGAGATGGGCTGGGCTGGGAATTAAACTGTGAAGGTGGGGGTGGGATGAAAGTGGGAAAAGCGAAAATGGGCCAAGTCTGGTTTGCACTTTACCTATATATGTACTGCCTACCGAATTCAGTGGTTCAAATTAATAAAAAAATTAAAAAATTCCTGTAATTAACGATTAATTTAAAACAGTTAATTAACGCTAATGTTGCAAGTTAATAAACGTCAGCCGGTCAGCGAATTAATCAATACTTTATACAGTGTACACCATTTATCCGCAAATTTTAAATTCTAATGAACCCGTTATTAATTAATTAATTTTAATTAGTCATTTTAACACGTCGTAGTAACTTATAAGTTATGTTAGAGACTTATGTGCCCTACGCGCACTTTCTGGTTTACGCTACCAGAATGTGTTTGGATGAGCAATTAACACTAATTATAATGTTATTAATCAGTTATTACGATTGTGCACGTAGCAGTGTCGACGATACCCGATAGGCGTTAGAGTACTTATTAATGGATAATTACTGAGGTGTACGATTACGGAATATCGCAGTGAAATGTAAGCATAAAATGTGTGCACATGAGTCTGCATGAGAAATATCCAAATTGGCGACTCTGACGCTCGAATTTTCTACTCTCGAGTAGCTTTTTCTAGAGCAACATTTACGAATATTTGGGGCGTGGATACAAACGTGCAAAAGACACCTCATCGCAATATGGACCAGTTATGAGCGCTTATCTTATCTCGTGCGTTACTCAGCTTTGCAGAATTCTCACAATTGCCAGGATTTACTAAATTTCCGGTCTATTTTGAACCGGACTATTGTAAAATGTAAATGTAAATACTCGAGAATTTGTTATCATGGAGCACATTTTGAATCAAGATTTGCAGGCGCGTAAGCGACTGACACCTGGACTGAGGTTGATTGTGATACACGCCGTAACGTCTGTTAAGTAAACTTACATTGCTGACCCGCCATTTCGTCGGAAATGGAAATTCGCCGATCGTCACTGGAAGACTTTGGACGATTTTCCGGATGAACCTCTCTGCAGCACCCTCCCGCGACCTTACAAGCCCTCTCACACCTTGCGACTCTTGTGTTTCTGTTCCGGACGTTGCGTATTTGAGGCTTCGAGCTCCTGATGAACGTACTTCCGTAATTCGTAAACGCTGAGAATAAATGGACTGAACGCGGTGTAATCTAGGTAATAGGTATCTGCTGGACGACTGCACCCAGTCACTCACTACTTAGACACAATAAGGGGGGAGAGTTTTCCTGCAGGGTAATTACGGACGGAGTATAGCGTATAGACTGGTCCATAACTGATAATACAAAGGCCACTTGCAGTATCTAGATGCAACATGGTTGCAACGGAGGCTGAGTCTGGGTACCATCGTTTGATGGCTCGCTTACTCCCAACGCGCGAGTTACTAAAATTCGTAGATTTGTGGAAGAAATTCTTAGAGAGTGTGTAACGCAAAGAAACACAGTATATTTTGTGAGGTGTGCGCGATTATCAACAATGTCGACACTCGAGTGTCCAAATGTTTAGCAGTGTCGGCCACTGGATGGATGATTTTTTGGTTGGCACTGTTGAGTCGATCTTTAGCAGCTAAACATTTAGATACTCGTAGTGCGATAAAGAAGTGCAAGTAAAGGCGACTGCCACCTGGAAGTGGTTAGTTGTGATACACCGCACTGTCTGGTGGTAACTTACAATGATGACCCGCCGTTTCGTCGGCGGAATTTTTCGTCGACCGTCACCAATTAAATCACCCCCACAACATCCAGAAATCCTGGATGACTCCCTTTTTCTAGTTTTCTCCGGTTTTCCAAGCCGTCACTTTTGTGACGGTCGAGAAGTGTTAGTCGATCAAGTGTCGGTGAGCCACTCGCAGGTTAGCGATGGGCGGTTTTTCTGCCGGACTGCAGCCGAAGGGACTGTTCCAAATAGAAGAAAATAAAAGGCCGTAAGTGGTTGGTAGTTGCACTTGTCCTGTTGGAACGCGTTGTAAGCCGATCACAATAGATATCACATGTGTAGATTTTCAGTTACCCATCATCTACGTTGATTTTTGCTTCAATTTCAGCCGCTTTTCAGCATTTTGTTAAACAGAACAAATTGGCAACAGCCACACATAAATATCTACGAGAAAACCTGCAGCGCGAAAACATTGCTTCACACTTATAATTCAACAGTTATCTATAGCGAAACGCATTTTCGTTCATCATCTACGATAGGTTTCTTTAAAATTGATACAAATGTACGGATATCCATACAGCTCCCAGTCTTCAGTACGCTTTGCGGATCCACTTCTGGATGTTTATCTATGACGTGATTCACCAGTGACCTTCGCAGCACGTATCCCCGCTTGCATTCGTGGCATTTGTAAGGCAACTCCTGGAAGGAGAATTTCCTGCGCGGATCTTGATACGCCTCCAGAAAGCCCTGCTTCTCCTTCTCTTTACGTTTGCTGTACTTATTTTTCGCGGATTCTTTGTGTTTCCCCTCGTGCACCCTTCGGATGTGATTTCGAAGATACAGTTTGGCCTTGAATCGTTTCCCGCACTGGGTGCATACGTGCCGAAAATCCTTGTTATGCGACTGCATGTGTATCCTCCAGCGAATCTTATTCCGGCATACACACTGACAAACGTCGCACACCAACACGCTCCTGACGTCGTGGCTCTTTTCGTAATGCCTGCGAACCAGTTTGAACAGGGGGAACGTCTGTGGGCACATGGGACAGGGAAAGACGCCGTCTTTCTGATGCGTCTGATGGTGGACACCAAGTGCAGCGTAAGTATCGAACTGCAGGGCGCAGTATATGCATTTATATTTATTATGAGCCTGCAAAAGGACGGGATAAATTAATTAATACTTCGATGTTTTTTGCATTGCGGACGCTTTCACAATACGGATTCGCGTACGCGACATCAAAGACACGGTATTTTCTGCATTGTTCCACTGTAGATAAACTTCTTAATTTTTTTGTTAATCTCGTGTACAAGCTGGAATAGAAAACAATAATGGTCACGCATTTAATTTTTGAAAAGTCGTTGTCAGGTGGAACAACACGGAGAACACCGTGTCTCTGGTGTCCGGTACGTGACTCCATACTGTGAAAATGTCCGGAATGGGAAATCGTCAAAGTAAGTAAGTTGTAAGTACTAATTTCACTGCAAGCAAATTGTTACACAAAACCTTACAGAGGCAGCCGAGCTTAACAATAATTAATTATGTGGCTTAACATAACTGTTAACGTGTAAATGTGTATTAATTACTTTACCTGCATATTATGGACGTCGAGATGATGCTGGGAAAGATATTTCACTCTGCACTGCAGACATTCAAACAGCCAATCTTTAGCAATAATTTCCCGATACTCCGGGTGATTTTTTTTATAATGCTTCGGCAATGTAAAAACTTGTTGGGGGCAGAATAGGCACTGCTTCCTCTCTTTGGCGTGGATCGAGTGATCCGCGGTGTGCACCGCCAATTCGGCGAAACTGGCTCCCGTGAAATCGCAAGCGGGACACGTTCGTTCTGGCCGCGCTTGAGAATCGTTCAGTACTCCGTGTGAGAGCTCATGGATATCCAATAAAGATTTATTCAGGAAATACTTTTGACAGGCTGTACAGAAAAACGAAAGACGCCCAGTTTTTTGCATGTACTCGATGGCCTCTTGACGCAATTCCGCGGTTACTTCAGCTCCACGTGCCGCATGCATCTATGAGTAGAGCATTATTATACTCTTGTTACACGTACACATCACACAACCATATCACAATATTACTGACAACAGACGTTACTCGGATGGAATCAGAAAAAAGCATCAGGTTGTTTACTGTTTAACCGTAGCAGCTGTACCATTGATATATGCCTGCGTAAACGAAACATCGAGCGATACCGCATTCCGCACGTTTCGCAAGTATGATTGAAATCCTCAGACGCATATTCCGGATGTTCTTGGCTCAAATGGGCCCGTAATTTAGGCACCAGAATGTGGCACACCGGGCACTCCGTTTTTGCTTTACGTGGATTCTTCCGCCGTGCCGGGAATGTCGAACTCTGTCGGTCGGCAATTTCCGGGGTTTCAGCACTTTCAAAGTCGCCTGCAACGATCGAATATGAGACCATAAATAGCTAAGTATGAAGCGCTGCCAACGAGGGAATTGACTCCTGGGCCAACATAAAATTAACGTGAACACATCTATTTCGTTGAATCCAGTCACATTCCAGTGTAATTGGTCACCATGATGCAGAACAAATATTATTTACCATTTCCCTTTGGAGTGCCATTAGAATGGGACGGCTCCATCCGCACGATCTTCGTTGCGCGGATGGGTTTGTCAATAACCCGGTCAGAATTTGCCAGGACGAGCTGGTCACAATAATCCACATCAGATTCTGCCAGCATTATTTTCCTGGCTGATCGGAGGGTGCTTTTTCGTGAGATTGTCATAGGCTCGGTTTTACTGCGGTCTTCGCGGGGAGATTGGATTTTACTGAATGGGGGACGGAACTCGATCTCTGGAGAGCCTTCGCGCATGGTGTTTGCTTTAATCGGAAGTGAGCCGCTGTTACTACACGCCGGCAAAAATGACACACTTCCATCGTCGTCCATTCGCAAATCTGCGGATTCATGGAGAGCAGGAAAGGGAATCGCAAAAGCGGATGCGCTCGCCAGGCATCCATTGACCGGTGGTGGAGCACTTTCGCCTCCGTCGAAAATGCGCAAGGTTGATGATACACCGGGCCGTATGTGGGGAGAAATCAGCACATCCCCAAGGTCACTTGCATTATTTTCGATCATCTGCGTCCCAAACGAATCGCCATCCCAATCAAAAGTGTCAACATGTGAACCGGTTTCCATTGGCGTTGGAGGAGAGGTCGGTGGCAGTGCATTTTCATTATGATCATCATACTCCATACCTGCAAAACACATCGGCAATACTAGCAAAACAAATTTCACCAGCAAACCATGCAACATCGATAATACGTACTGTATCTGTACAGCAAGTTAAAAAAGTGCAAAAAGGAAAAAATATAAATTTTCAAACTTCCACAGGCAGTAATCATCAGAATACAAACTGTCCTTAAAATGAAGGCGTAGTAGCAAAACTTACCAGTAAAGATATTCAAGCATTCAATTGTATAACAAGAAAGCCGCAGCATAGTCAAAATTCAATACTGCTGCTGATGCATTGCTAGTAATCAATTCGATAATATTTTACATACTAACCTGTTACATAAAAGCTTCCGCTCTCTTGTTTTACCCTCTGGACATTCGCGCATCCAATTGTTCGGGAGTATATAGCAGAATAGCAGACCTTCAGTTCTTCGCCGGGCAAAATGTTCCTAACGCTGACAAAGACTATTTGCGATCCGCGGAGATAAACGGCCAGATTCTTCTCCGCCGAATTCTCAGTGAAACGCACGTAGCGCATCCAGTTGGAGAAGAGCTCCGAGTCCAGCTGGAAGAAACGCAGCTGGCCGTCTTCCGCGCTGGGAAATGCATAAACATATGTTTCGCTGCATCTCTCCGCCAGCGGAGCCACCAGGGGGCCGAAAACGGTGTGAGGCGGGATTCGAGCATTCGCTACCACTTTCTTCCCTGCAACAGACGTAATGGCCGTAATGCGCAGTTAGAAATACTACTTACGGCATTTCATAAACAAATAACTTATTTGATCATGTGTTTTCGCAAAATACGGTATTATGATACCACCCACGCAAAATATCAGCGCACACCCTTCTTCTTTACATAGTTTAAAAGCATTATATTTTATCTGCGATAGGGTTTTCTTTCAACGCTTTTCGAGTTTATAAAGTACTATAACATTAACTTGCTGACAGTCCTACGTTATTAGGTATGTATAATGTACTGTACGAGTAGTATTGCTGAATTTTATTTCAATGCATCCACGCAAGTTAATTTTTCAAGGCGTAAATTTCAAACGCAATTGCACATAAAAATGGGAAAAATAAAACACATTTGATTAAAAAATAATGCATAATAGTAATTTATTAAAGCACTTCGCTGATTTTTTGTAATATTCTGCAGCGATGCAAACTCCGAATCTACCAAGCACCAAAATGCACTACCAAGCACCAACCTGTGGAGGAATCAGCGCAAACATCCCGGTGCAAGATTTTAGGCAGACTGGCCAGTGCGAAGGGAACCACGCTCTCATTGGGAACGCTTTTGGCATGCAACCAACAAGGCTCCTCCAAAAACTGCTGGCATACAGCGCAAACTAAAGGAATGAATAGATAAACCCTTTACAAGAACAGCAAACAGATGGAAATGAACTGGCAACGAGAGTGGCTGAACCGTGAAACGATGGGTCGGACGACGGAATTGGTAAGTAACACTGTAACAGCAACTTACAGATTCGTTCTTGCCGATGGCGTACGCAGCTAGCACGAGATCCCTCCGGTGAAATTCGCCGATTCTGAAGTCCTTGCCACGGTTCATCCTGGTCAGGAATGAGCGACTCGCTGTCCGTGGCAGGCAAACAGCAGTCGATGGAGTCCAGTTCCATGATGACGAAGGGACGCGATAACTGGCTCAGCACCAGTCACAACAGATAGAAGTACTGAACCTGGATACCATCGAATGATGGCTTGCTTACTCTCAACGTGTGAGTTGGCAAAATTTGTAGATTCGCGGAAGAATCTGTAGATTGTAGATGTTCTTAGAGAATGTTTAACAGTTTAACCGTGTTTAACGCGAACAAAAGAAACCCGGGATATTTTGTATTATGCCCTCACAGAACTAGTGAGCAGTCTGTCGACTCGCACCATTTGTTACAAAGAACCAAATGCGACTGCCCCTGCAATGTGGTTACCTGTGATACATCAATAGTTGGGTGGTAAGTGGTAACTGGCAAGTTACAATGGTGTCCCGCCGCTTCGTCGGTCGGAGTAATCTCACCAATAAAATCGATCTCACTAATAAAATCACGATAGTCTTCGATCCCACTAATAAAATCGCGATAGTCTTCGATCTCACTAATAAAATCGCGTTTTGGCTGTTCCAGCTGAACACTGAACACCCCCGCAGCTTCCAGAAAGCCTGAATCAGTCCCGGTTCTTAGTTTTCTCAGATTTTCCTACCCGTCGTTTTTGTGACGGCTGACGAAGTGTTTGAGGTCACCGATGGGTGGTATTCCTGCCGGACTGCAGTTTGCAGCAGAAGGTATAGTACAGAATAGAACATAAAAGTCCGGAAGTGGTTGGCAGTTACACAGTTACACACTTTGTCCTGTGAGAACACATTGTAAGCCGACCACAAAAGATGTCCCATGTGTACATTTTCAGTAAACCAACATCTACTTAAGCAACATACACTGGCAGCCAAGCTCATAAATACTTATCTACGAAAAAGTTCAAGCGTGAAGCGCGACAGCATTCTTCGAACTTACAATTAAACAGGTATCCATGGCGGAACGAATTTCCGATCATCATCTACGAAAGGTTTTTTTAATTTTTAGCCAGTTTAATTTTTTAAGCAAGCAAAACATATATATGTATAATAAATGAATACAAGCAATTGATGCAAATGTATGCATCTCTGTACTCAACATCATGGTAATCATTAGTAGTAATTCTGAGGCAACGAGTTGCTAAAATTTGACAGGAATAAAAAAATGGTTGAAGGAATCAAAAAATACAGTTCACACGGAACTCCGCATGAAACATGAATCGTGCGATTTTTCAAGTTCAACAGTCTGTAAAGCTTTATTCCTCCGCAATCGTCATCACCGGTACGCTCTGCGGATCCATTTCAGGATGGTTTTCCCTGATGTGATCGATAAATGCCCTTCGCCGCACGTATCCCCGCTTACATTCGTGGCATTTATAGGGGAAATCATCGAAGGGAAACTTCCTTTGCGGGTGTGTGTAAGGCACTTTTGCTTTGCGCTTACTGTACTTCTTTTTCTCGGATTCTCGGTGTTTCCCCTCGTGCACCCGTCGAATATGATTTTGAAGATATCGTGCGGCGTTACAGCGTTTTCCGCACTGAGTGCAGGCGTGCTGGTAATCGTCGTTATGCGACTGCATGTGCATCCTCAAGCCCTTCCTACCCCGGCACACAAACTGACACACTTCGCACTCCAGCATGCTCTGGACGTCGTGGGTCTTTCGGTAATGCACTCGTAACGGCTGGTACAGGGGGAACGTCAGCGGGCATATCGGACAGGGAAAGACACCGTCTTTCCGATGCGTTAGATTGTGGACAGTAAGTGAAGGGGCAGTATCGAACGGCAGGGCGCAGTATAGGCATTTATATTTGCTATGAGTCTGCAAAAACACCCGAGAAATTATTCCTGACAGAAGACGCGATTACGACTTGACTACAAGTAAGCTGTAAATCAAGAATGATTGATTACGCATCACAGCTGGGGAAAAACCTCGCCGAGGACCACAGCAAAACCTTACCTCACTAAACTATTTCATCACTTAGCATACAGAGTACTAATGATCTTACCCGCATATGGACATCCAAGTGAACCTTGGAATGAAACTTCATCTGGCACTCTTGGCACTCAAACTGCCAATCTTTAGATACAAGATCCCGGTATTCCGGGTGATACCTTTTGTAATGCGTCCAAAGCTTAAAAATTTGCAGCGGGCAGAGAAGACACTGCTTCCTGTCTTTGGGGCTAATAGCGTGATCGGCCGTGTGCAGCGCCAGTTCGGCGAAACTGGCTCCCGTGAAATCACAAACGGGACATGTTCGTTCTGGCCGCGCTTGATAATCTTCCAGCACACGGTGTGATAGCTCATGGATATCCAATAAAGATTTATTCACGAAATACTTCAGGCAGCGTGCACAGAAAAACGACCCCCTTCCGGTTTTCCTCATGTACTCGATGGCCTCTTGACGCGACTCCTCGGTCAATTCAGCACCACACACCGTATGCACCTACGAGTACAGCACAAATACAGGAAACTGTGCACAACAATAATACAGTAGTACCGAAAAAGAACTTTAATTAAAGAGCTGAAAGGACAAAGTATTGGGCTCAATCGTAGCAGCTATACCCTTGATACATGGAGGCGCAAATGAAGCATCGTTCGATACCGCATTCCGCACGTTTCGCAAGCATGCTTGAACTCCTCGGACGCATATTCCGGATGTTCTTGGCTTAAATGAACGCGTAATTGGAAGACTGCGATGTGACACACCGGGCACTCCATGCGAATCCCTCCGTCATACAAATTCTTCCGTCTTGCGCGGAAGACACGACTCTGTCTGCCTGCAGTTTCGGGGGATTCCCTCACTTCCAAGTCACCTACAAAAAAGAACGCGAATTTGTCGCATCTCTCACGCCAGCTAGTATAATTCATCGCAACATGTTTACACAGTTGAATGGCGTAAATCGCGACAATGATGGCGAACAATATAATTTACCATTTCCATTCGACGCGCCATTTACATGGGAAAGGTCCATTCCAGCTGCCTTCGTTTCTCGGACGGGTTTGTCCTTAATCCGGTGCGAAATTGTTTCGACGATCTGATCACAGCCATTCCCTTCTGCAAGTGTAACACTTCCTCTGGCCGCTGATCGAAGGGTGCTTCTTCTGGAAACTGTTTCTGCATTTCTTTCAAGCCCTTCTTGCGCCTTTCGCTGGGAACTTGGAGCTATACCGAATGGGGGACGATACTCGATCTCCGGAGAGTCCTCACGCATCGTACGTGCTGTAACCGGTGGTGCATCTCGGCTACTACTCGGTGGCGGAGGTGACGCACTTCCACCGTCGTCCATTCCCAAATCTGCAGCTTCATAGTGAGAAGAAGGGGGAATTGCACAGGCGGATGTGCTCGCCAGGAATCTTCCATTCACACCCTCAACTCTTTTCAGGCTGTGCGCAGCTAACGATTTAGCGGGCCGTATGTGGGGAGAAATCAGCACATCCCGAAGACCAGTTGCGTTATTTTGGATCATCTGCGTCCCCAATGAATCGCCATCCCATTCAAAACTGTCAACATGTGAGCCCGTTTCTATTGGCGTTTGGGGAGACGTCGGTGGCAGAGCATTTTCATTGTGATCACCATACTCCATATCTGCAAAAGACATCGGCAATACTGCCCGTAGCAAAACAAATGTCGCCAGCAAATCATGCAACATTAATTACAAAGTTTATACGTACACCAAACAGGTGAGACATCAACGAAAAATTATATTTTCACAGGCAGTAATCATCAGAATACAAAATGAATTCCGTAAAATAAAGAGTAATAGAAAAACTTACTGTACCATTTAAGATACTCAAGCAATAAATTGGGTAACAAGAAAGCAGCAACATACTTAAAACTCAATATGTTAAAACTGCTTGCTAGCTTCCGTTTGTTTCTACTTGCCAATGTAGTCCGAAGGGATACTGCTGTCTGAATTTTGCTATTTTAGCCAGGTTTAAATTCCCACGCTATGATGGCAATTTTAGCTCTTAATGGATTACCTGTCTACTTCACAATCAATAATCATAAACAATACCCGGACTGCTCCTGCGGTGTACGAGCAGTGGTCAATTCAATAATACGAAATATTTTACCTACTAACCTGTTACACAAAAGCTCTCGTTCTCTTGTTTTACGCTCTGAACATTCGTGCATCCAATTGTTCGGGAGTATTTAGCAGAGTAGCACACCCTTAGCTCTTCGCCGGGCAGAATGGTACGGACACTGACGAAGACGATTTGCGATCCGCGGAGATACACAGCCAGATTCTTCTCCGCAGGATTCTCAGTAAAACGCACATAGCGCATCCAGTTGGAGAAGAGCTCCGAGTCCAGCTGGAAGAAACGCAGCTGGCCGTCGTCCGTGCTGGGAAATGCACAGACATAGTTATCGCTGCATTTCTCCGCAAACGGAGCCACCAGTGGGCCGAAAACGGTCTGAGGCGGAATTCGGATATTCGCCAGCACTTTCTTCCCTGCAACAGACGCGGCAATGCGTATTGCAACTGTCACTAGATGCCCGTTGCACATAAGCAATACTTACAAAAGTTCATAAACAAATAACTTATATCAAATAAGATATTTTGTTTTTTATAAATTGTCGCAAGCAGGCGTTTTCTAAAACATTCAGCGCGCACCGTTCAACTTTCTGTGGTTTAAAAAATGTTGTATTTTATCTACGATGGATTTCCGTTCAACAGTTTCCGAGTGTATAAACACTAAAGCTTGACCTGCTGGATTTTACTGAATTTTACTGCTGCCGTACTACTAAATTTTTACTACAGTATATTGCAAATTACTTCGAGATCAAGCAAGCCAATTTTGGCATGAATGAGAAAAACAACTACACATAAAAAAGGGAAAAATAAAACATAAGATTAATAAATTAAAACACTGTTTCGATTCATTTATAATTTTTGCTACGAGTACACCAAGTACCAACCTGTGGAGGAATCAGCGCAAACATCGAGGTGCAAGATTTTAGGCAGACTGGCCAGTGCAAAGGGAACCACGCTCTCGTTGGGAACACTTCTGGCATGAAACCAACAGGGCTCCTCCAGAAACTGCTGGCACACAGCGCAAACTAAAGGAATGATTAGATAAACCCTTCGTCCAAACAGCAAAAATATGGAAATGACTTGAGACATCGAGTCGAACGACGGCACAGTTACAGTAACACTACATGTACAACAGCAACTTGTCACTTACAGATTCGTTCTTGCCAATGGCCTACGCAACGGCCCTGAGATTCCTCCGGCGAAATCAGCCGAACTTGAAGACCTTGGCACGGTGCACCCTGGCCGGGAGCGAGCGATTCGCTATCCGTTGCAGGCAAACAGCAGTCGACGGAGTCGAGTTCCGTCATGACAAACAGTCACAAACTGCGAAGGAAGTTCCAAGGCATCGATAACTGGCTCAGCAAGTTACAACGGAGGCTGAATCTAGATACCATCGCGTGATGGCTCGCTTACTCCCAACGCGCACGTTACTAAAATCCGTAGATTTGTGGAAGATTTTCTTAGGGAATGTTTAACGCGAACAAAAGAAACACAGGATATTTTGTTGGTTTGCGCGATTTTCAACAGAAACATTCTGTCGACTCAACCAAAGGTATTTAATATACCAAAGGTACTTAACAGGCTTAACTCGACTGACAATTTTGAGAGGCTGCATGCACGTAATCAAAAGCGACTGCCACCTGCAATGTGGTTACGTGTAATACACCACAGCTGGGTGGTAACCTAAAACGGTAGCGCGCCGCGTTTCGTCGACCGTCAGGCGTCACGTATTCGTCGCCTTAATTAAATCGTACACTTTCGCCTTTGGACTGTTTGGATGCTGTTCCAGCTGATTACCTCCGCAACATTCAGAAAGCCGGGGTCACTTCCGTTTCTCAGTTCTCTCAGGTTTTCCTAGCCGCCGATTTTTGTGACGGTTGACGAAGTGTTACTCGAGTGGTCGACGAAATGTCGATGAGCCACTCGTAGATTAGAAATGGGTGCTCCTGCCCGAATGCAGCCGAAGTGTCAGTCCATAACAAAAAATGAAAGGCCGGAAGTCGTTCGTAGTTACGCTTGTCCTGTGGGAACGCGTTGTAAGCCGATTACAACATATAGTGCATGTGTAGATTTTCAGTTAACCATAATCTACGTCAATTTTTGTTTAAATTTCAGCAGTTTTCAGCTTTTTGTTAAATAAATTTACACCAACCATGTACAAAAATATCTACGAAAAAGTTCAGGCGTGAAGCGCGACAACATTGCTTCACACTTACAATTAAACAGGTATCTACAGCGGAACGAACTTTCGATCATCATCTACGATAAGTTTTTTTTTAAATTTTAGCCAGTTTAATTCTTTTAGCAAGCATATACATGAATAATAAACACAAAATACAAGCAATGGATGCAAATGCATGCATATCTTTACTGTTCCCGAACATCATGAAAGTACCAAAATATCAAGGTGGGTATATATACCCACCTTGAAAATATTCTGAGACTTCTGTTGTGAGACAACGTAAGTAGTACTGTAATAGTAATTCTGAGACAACGAGTTGCTAAAACTTGATAGTCAACATGGTCGAAGGAATCAAAAATATAGTTTACACAGAACTGCACACGAAACGTGAATCGTGTGAGTTAATTTCAGCAATTTGAAAGCTTATTCCTCCGCAAACATCATCACCGGTACGCTCTGCGGATCCAGTTCAGGATGTCTTTCTCTGACGTGATCCATCAGTGACCTTCGCAGCAAGTATCCCCGCTTACATTCGTGGCATTTAAAGGGGAAACCTTCGAACGGAAATTTCCTTCGGGGATCTGCGTAAGGCTTGAGCAAGCCCTGCTTTTCTTTCTCTTTGCGCTTACTGTACTTATTTTTCTCAGATTCCATGTGTTTCCCTTCGTGCACCCGTCGGACATGATTTCGAAGATATCGTTCAGCCTTACAGCGCTTCCCGCACTGGGTGCAGGCATACCGGTAATCCTGGTTATGCGACTGCATGTGCAACTTTAAGCGAACCTTATTTTTGCACACGAACTGACATACTTCGCAGACTGACACGTTCTTGACGTCGTGGTTCTTTCGGTAATGCTTACGAAACGGCCTGTACAAGGGGAACGTCCGTGGGCACATGGGACAGGGAAAGACACCGTCTTTCTGATGGGTTAGATTGTGGACTCTCAGCGCATTGCCAGTATCGAACTGCAGGGCGCAATATACGCATTTATAATTACTATGAGTCTGCAAAAAGACGGGAGAAATTATTCCTGACAAAATTTCGCCTTTATTACCAGCAAACTGTAAATGAGGAATAATTAATTGAGCATCACAGCTGAAGAAAAACCTCGTTGAGCACCACACCAAAACCTTACCATACTAAACTACAGAGTATTTCATTACTTAGCAGTTGGCACACCAATGACCTTACCCGCAGATGGGCGTCCAAGTGAATCTTGGAAAGATACTTCACTCGGCACTGCTGGCACTCAAACTGCCAATCTTTAGATACAAGTTCCCGGTATTCCGGGTGATACTTTTTGTAATGCGCCGACAGTTGAACAATTTGCAGCGGGCAGAGAAGACACTGTTTCCTGTCCTTGGGGCTGATAGCGTGATCGGCCGTGTGCAGCGCCAGTTCGGCGAAAGTGGCTCCCGTGAAATCGCAAACTGGACATGTTCGTTCTGCCCGCGCTTGATAATCTTCCACTGCTCGGTGTGACAGCTCATGGATAGCCCATAAAGATTTATTCACGAAATACTTATTGCAGCCTGCACAGAAATACGAAAGACTTCCGGTTTCTCGCATGTACTCGATGGCCTCTTGATGCGATTCCGCGGTTATTTCGGCTCCACATACCGAATGGAACTACGAATTATGCAAATACAGAAATAATGCACAACAACAATACAGTAGTACTGAAAAAGAACGTGTAAATACCCGGCTGAAAATTAATAAGATAAAGTACTGGGTCAACCGCAGCAGCCGTACCATTGATATATGGACGCGCAAACGGCGCATCGTCCGATACCGCATTCCGCACGTTTGACAAGCATGCTTGAACTCCTCGGACGCATATTCCGGATGTTCTTGGCTTAAATGAACGCGTAATTGGAACACCGCGATGTGACACACCGGGCACTCCATGCGAATCCCTCCGTCATACAAATTCTTCCGTCTTGCGCGGAAGGCACAACTCTGTCCGTCTGGGGATTCAGTCACTTCCAAGTCACCTGCAACAACGAACGAGGACTGTCGCATCTCTCACAATAGCTAATCTCCATGGTCGAAGTAAAATTCATCTGAATTGCTAACGTAACACGTAACGTCTGAACACGTAACACACTGAGCTGACAGGCGTAATTCGTGACAACGATATAGAGCAACATTATTTACCATTTCCGCTTGACGCGCCATTTAAACAGGACGGCTCCATGCGCACTACGTTCGTTTCTCGGATGGGTTTGTCCTTAATCCGGTGCGAAACGGTTTCGACGATCTGATCACAGCCATCCCGTTGTGAAAGTGTAACAGTTTCTCTGGCCGCTGATCGGAGGGTGCTTCTTCTGGAAACTGTCTCTGCATTTATTTCAAGCTCTTCTTTGTTGCGCCTTTCGGTGGGAACTTGGACTGTACCGAATGGGGGACGATATTCGATCTCGGGAGAGTCCTCGCGCATCGTACGTGCTGTCACCGGTGGTGCATCTCGGCTACCACTCGGTGGCGGAGGTGACGCACTTCCACCGTCGTCCATTCCCAAATCTGCAGCTTCATAGTGAGGAGAAGGGGGAATTGCACAGGCGGATGTGCTCGCCAGGAATCTTCCATTCACACCCCCAACTCTTTTCAGGCTGTGCGCAGCTAACGATTTAGCGGGCCGTATGTGGGGAGAAACCAGCACATCCCGAAGGCCACTTGCGTTATTTTCGATCATCTGCGTCCCTGACGAATCGCCATCCCATTCAAAAGTGTCAACATGTGAGCCAGTTTCCATTAGATTTTGGGGATAGGTCGGTGGCAGAGCATTTTCATTGTGATCACCATACTCCATATCTGCAAAAGACATCGGCAATACTACCCGTAGCAAAACAAATTTCACCAACAAATCATGCAACACCAATTATACGTACTGTATCTGTACAGCAAGTTACTGAAGCTGGCGTGCTAACAGGTTAGTCATTAATAAAAAAATTATATTTTCACGAACAGTAATCATCAGAATACAACATGAATTCTTAAAATGAAGGAGTAATAGAAAAACTTACCATTTAAGATACTCAAGCAATAAACTGGGCAACAAGCAAGCCGCAACATAGCAATTTGTTAAAACTGCTGGCTAGCTTTCGTTCATGTTCACTTGCCAACGATGCAGGGCTACTGCTGTTTAAATTTTGTTATTTTAGCCAATCATAAACAACAATAAGAATGGTGCTGCAATGCTAATGATCAATTCGATAATAAAAAGTATTCTACATACTATTGTACTAACCTGTTACACAAAAGCTCTCGTTCTCTTGTTTTGCGCTCTGAACATTCGTGCATCCAATTGCTCGGGAGTATTTAGCAGAATAGCACACCCTTAGCTCTTCGCCGGGCAAAATGGTGCGGACGCTGACGAAGACGATCTGCGATCCGCGGAGGTAGACGGCCAGATTCTTCTCCGCCGGATTCTCAGTGAAACGCACATAGCGCATCCAGTTGGAGAAGAGCTCCGAGTCCAGCTGGAAGAAACGCAGCTGACCGTCGTCCGCGCTGGGAAATGCACAGACATAGGCATCGCTGCTTTTCTCCGCCAGCGGGGCCACCAGTGGGCCGAAAACGGTCTGAGGAGGAATTCGGACATTGGCCAGCACTTTCTTCCCTGCACACAGACGCAACTGTCACTATTGCAACTGTCACTAGATGCCCGTTGCACATAAGCAGTACTTACAACAGTTCATAAACAAATAACTTATATCAAATAAGACATTTTGTTTTTTTTAAATTGTCGCAAGTGTTTTCTACAAATCTAGCGCGCACCGTTCTACTTTCTGTAGTTTAAAAAATATCGTATTTTATCCAAGATGGATTTCCGTTCAACAGTTTCCGAGTGTATAAACACTAGAGTAAAGCTTGACCTGCTGGATTTTACTGAATTTTACTGCTGCCGTACTACTAAATTTTTATTACAGTATATTGCAAATTACGTCGAGATCAAGCAAGCCAATTTTGGCATGAATGAGAAAAACAACTACACATAAAAAAGGGAAAGTCTAGGAAAATAAAACATAAGATTAATAAATTAATTTATTACAGTTATTTATTAAAACACTGTTTCGTGATTTTTTTTAATTTTGCTACACCAAGTACCAACCTGTGGAGGAATCAGCGCAAACATCCAGGCGCAAGATTTTAGGCAGACTGGCCAGTGCGAAAGGAACCACGCTCTCGTTGGGAACGCTTTTGGCATGAAACCAACACGGCTCCTCCAGAAACTGCTGGCACACAGCGCAAACTAAAGGAAAATAAATAAACCATTCGCCCAAACAGCAAAAATATGGAAATGACTTCGAGACGTCGAGTCGAACGACGGCACAGTTACAGTAACACTACATGTATAACAGCAACTTGTTACTTACAGATTCGTTCTTGCCAGTGGCCTATGCAACGGCCATGAGATTCCTCCGGCAAAGTTAGCCGATCTTGAACACCTTGCCAGGGTGCACTCTGGCCGGGAGTGACCGACTCGCTATCCATTGCAAGCAAACAGCAGTCGACGGAGTCGAGCTCCATGATGACAAACTGCGAAGGCAGTTCAAGGCATCGATAACTGGCTCAGCAACAGTTACAACGGATGCTGAATCTGAATACCATCGCTTGATGGCTCGCTTACTCCCAACGCGCACGTTACTAAAATCCGTAGATTTGTGGAAGATTTTCTTAGGGAATGTTTAACGCGAACAAAAGAAACACAGGATATTTTGTCGGTTTGCGCGATTATCAACACCGACAACACTCAACAGGAGTCTGTTTTGACTCGACTGAAATTTTCGAGAGGCTTGCATTAGAGCCCTGCAACGGATTGGTAAATCCAGACCACTCGAATCCACTCCGATTTTCGGGCGAGTTGGACAATTTGTTTTAAAAAAATTCGGATCGGGTGGTTTCGGAGTTTAGGCTTGCCTGAATGGATCGGATTCGGATGTAATTAGGAATCCGAATTATCCGAAATAAAATTGTATATTTTCAAATAATTTTTATAAATTTCTATAATTTTTTAGGACAAAATGCATCGTCAGCGCGCTCCGCGCGAGCTTTAGTGTATGACTCAGTAAAGCACTGAACATAGCTACTTCTATTACGTTAACTTCAGTTACTGTGCCATTTGTTAGAGGCGAAGCTTGTTCAATCAAAAAAAGAAACCTGAATTAGGTACAACTTTTATGAGTTTTTTTGTTGAGAACTAAAGGAGATGCCACTAACACGTGAAAGCAACTGTGGTTTTTGCGATGGCAAAATTACCGAAATTTTCGGAACTCGCAACTCGAAAAACGCCCAGGTATGAGCAATCTATGGCTAAAACGACGCAAAATTTATACGGAGAATGGAGATTACATAAAAATTAAATAAACGTTCTGAAGATTTTGAAAATTGAAAATTTTGATGACGACAACTTGGCGTGCGCTATCTTTAATTGTTGCAGCGGATATTATAGGTATGTATTATAGATTTTTCTGGAATGGGACAAAAAAAATAAATATGACAAAAATTTTCGGAGCGGATCGGACTGGATTCAGTTTGTAAAAAATATTTACGGATCGGAGTGGTCAGATATGATTTTGGTCGGAGTCGGACTGGGTTCGGAGAAAAATTTATTAGTTCGGATCGGACTGGACGAAGTTTTCGACTCCGATGCAGGGCACTAGCTTGCATGGACGCAATCAAAAGCGACTGCCACGTGCAATGTGGTTACCTGTGATACACCGTAGTTGGGTGGTAACTTACAATGGTAACCCGCCGTTTCGTCGACGGAAATTCGTAGACCGTCACTAATTCGTCGCCTTAATTAAATCGTCCACTTAATTAAATCGCCTTTGGACTGTCTGGAGGCTGTTCCAGCTGAATACCTCCACAACATGCAGAAAGTCTGGATCACTCCCGTGGGCTTATGCGCCCTCTCAAGCTGTCTGCTCTATGGACTGTGTGTAATTCGATCGCGGAAGTTGCGCATTTCAGGACCGCGTCAACAGTCGAATCCATATCATCCATGCATTGCCACTTGCCAGCTTGGTTCTACGTACATATCTATATTTATATACGTACATATTTTGTGTATCGATCATACCGACTTTAAATCAGTGTAGGCTAGGAGCTCCAATCGTCACTCTTGAATCCTCATGAATGTATGTAACGGCGACGTATGGGTTGACGAGACCGGTAAGCGACAGATCGATCAAGGTGTAAGCGATCTGCTGGGCGTGAGACACCATGGCACCGCTAACGCGCGGGTCAGCGATGGGCGGTTTTCCTGCCGGACTACAGCCGGCAGGAAAAAAGATTCATACTACAAAATAAAAGGATTGAAGTGTTTCGGCACTGGTCGTGTGGGAACGCGTTGTAAGCCGCTCACAACAGATGTCACATGTGATTTTTGTTTCAATTTCAGACAGTTTAAGATTTTGTTATCGAAAGCGAGATTCCTTCGTATATCCTTGTGAGCCTCCACCGAAACTTGTTTCTCCTTCACTTAGCGTTCATTATCACGTAACAATATCAAATTTTGTTAGCACAATACTTGTACAAAAATGATCGAACAGCGGATAAGGACGGCATTAATCAAAAGTGGGAACCAGGCGGCTTGAAAACTAAGAATATTTAACTAATAAAATCTGCCGAAGGTGCTGCTAGCCATTATCCCGAGAAAAAGATCAAAATAGACAGTTTGACATAAACACAATCGAATGTCTGGAGAGATTCCAGTGACATCCTCAGAAATAAAATACAGCCTCACAGAAAAATAAACCGACCATTCTGCCGCGAACATTCACAACGGTACACTATGCGGATCCATATCGGAGTGTTTGGCTTTGACGTGGTGCATCAGTTTGCTTCGTCGCACGTATCCCAGTTTGCATTCGTGGCATTTGTATGGAAAGTCTTCGAAAGCCAGTTTCCTTCGGGGATCTTTGTACGCCTCCACCAGACCCTGTTTTTCCTTCTCCTTACGCTTAGCATAATAGTTTTTCTTGTATTCTTTGAGATTCCCTTCGTGCACCCATCGGATATGACCCCGGAGGTATCGTTCGGCATGGAAGCGCTTGCCGCACTGTGTGCAGGGGAAGCGGTAGTCCTTCTTATGCGACTGCATGTGCACATTCAAACGTACACTACTTCGGCATACAGCCTGACAGACTTCGCACACTAACACGCTCTTCGCGTCGTGTTTGTGTCGGTAATGCTCTCGAAACTTCGCGTACTGAGGGAATGTCCGCGGGCACACTGGACAGGGAAAAGAGCCGTCTTTCTGATGCTCGGGGAGATGTCTGCTTAAATCTTTGGTACTCTCAAATTGTAAGGCGCAATATATGCACTGACCTTTCTCATGTCTGAACTGTAATGAGAGAAAAAACGAGTCAGTTTTAACATGCGACAATCAGTCAAACAACACCAAACTATGTAGCCATAATTCATGAGACAGAACCAAGAGAAAAAGACTATCGAGCCGCGAGGAGTGGACTAACATAGAGGAAGTGTTGCAATGAAATTTGTTTAAGCACTTAGTTTGTATTTGCGGGAGATAGTTAACAGGAGCACAGTCACAGACAGGAAGGGGCAAAGAAAAGAAAGAGGGCAATTCCGATGAGTGAAAGAGTGCGCGTGCTGACTAATATGCCAACCAACCGATGTGCTTACCCGCATATGACTATCCAGAGTGTGCTGGGTAAGAAATTTCTCTGCGCATTGCTGGCACTCGAACAGCCAATCTTTGGACACAGTCTCCCGGTACTCTGGATGATTCTTTTGATAATGCGTGAGCAATATCGAGACCTGCTTCGCGCAAAGGAGGCACTGTTTCCGCTCACTGGACAGTCTGGACTTAATGGCGTGACCTGCCGTATGCAGCGCCAATTCGGCGAAATTCGTCCCCGTGAAGTCACACGCTGGACATTGCCGCTCTGGTCGCGTTTGATGATCTTCCACCACGCAGTGGCAGCAGCGCTCATGAATATCCAGTACCGATTTACTGGGGAAACATTTACTGCAGCGTGGGCAATAGTACGATAGCCTTCCTGTTTTCTGCATGTAGCTCAATGGCCACTTGACGCGATTCGATCGTTGGCTCCTCTCCTCGTGCCGGATGAAACTACAATAATAGTCACATGTCTGTAAGTATACGCCGATCATGCAGGAAAAGCAAGCCACGTGCATTCGTTCGGAAAAATAACGACGAAGCATATAATTACGTAACTATCCGTACCCTTGTCACATGGATATGCAAACTGTGCGCGGAATGATACCGCATTCCACACGTCGTGCAGGCATGTTGCAGATATTTGTCAGCATCCTCGGGATGCTTGCGGTTCAGGTGGGCGTCTAATTTTTGCACTGCACGATGACACACCGGACATTCCTCACACTCCCGCTGTCGTCGAGTCCGCGATGCTCCTGTTGGCTTGTTGGAGAGATTTCCTTCGTGCTGCTTTCGGACATGGCGGCGAAGATTGCGTTCGGTATGGAACCGCTGCCTGCATTGATTGCAGGGGAACCGGTAATCCTTGTTATGGGTCTGAACGTGTTCCTTCAAGCGTCCTCTATCTCGACAGACGACCTGACACACTTCGCACACCAGAACACTCTTCGCGTCGTGTTCACATCGATAATGCTCGCGAAACTCGGCATACTGAGGGAATATCCGCGGACACACTGGACAGGGAAAGCAGCCGTCTTTCTGATGCTCGGAGAGATGTTCAGTAAAGGCTTCAGTATTCTCTAGTTGTACGGCGCAATATATGCATTGGAATTTTTCATGTTTCTGTAACGGGATAAAACAAATTAATCCTCTCTCGACAATTCATCATGTAAGCCGCAATACGACTAACAAGCACGAGGACCCAGTTGTGGTTGGACTTCAGGTTCGCGATTAGGCTTAAAATAAAGCTTAGAACATGCTTTATTTTACAGTTGTGTAGTTATTGTTCTGAATAGTATCGTACAAACGACCGGCTTACCCGCGTATGAGTGTCCAGATTTGGTTGGGAAAGAAATTTCTCTCCGCATTGCTGGCACTCAAACTGCCAGTCTTTAGGCACGATCTCTCGGTACTCTGGATGATTCCTTTGATAATGCGTCTGGAGTACAAAGATCTGCTCGGCGCAAAGCAGGCACTGCTTCCGCTCACTGGCCTTGATCGCGTGATTCGCCGTGTGCAGCGCCAGTTGGCCGAAACTGGTCCCGGTGAAGCCACACGCTGGACACTTCCGCTCGGTTCGCTCAAGATCATCCTCCAGCGCGCGGTGGCAGCCGCGTTCATGGATATCCAATACGGGTTTGCTGAGGAAGTATCGGCTGCATTTCACGCAGAAATACGGCATCCTTCCCGTTTTCTGCATGTACTCCATCGCTGCTTGGCGCGATTCCGCCGTTGGTTTTTCGCCCCGTGTCGGATGAGACTGTAACAACGTGCACTACAGTGTAATGGAATTGTAAAATGTATTTACGCAAATCACACCGGGAAAGCATATTACTTGCTGGTTTCAGGTAATCCGGTACAGACATTACAAACTGACACTAACAAATTTGCCTATCGATTACCGGCGCAGTGCCGTACCACTGTCATATGAGTCCGTAAGCGCTCCAACGACTGATACCGCATTCCACATGTTGTGCATGCATGTTGCAGAAGTCGGGCAGCATTGTCTGGATGTTCGCGGTTTAAATGCTGATTTAATTTGCTGGTCACAAGGTGGCACACTGGACACTCCTTCTCGTCCGGCTTCCTCTGGCTCAGAGGTCTACCTTTCTGCAATGGCGATGAATCTAAAATATCAGAAATGTTTAACTTTTGGATGACCGCTCGTGCCAAATGGCTCCGAAGATCATGAAATTGTAACCAAATGCTACAATGACTGTAATCTAATACGACTATATCACAAAAAGTCCAGTGCAAAAAAATACTTAAAATTAAATTTAAACGGACACAAAAAACATTTGTTAGCGTAAGTAGCTGTATTTCCTTCGCCCCAATAAAAATGCGTGATACCGTATCTTACCATTTGTGTTTGAATTAGGCACTTTATTTATACAGGACTGCTCCTTTTTCGTTATTCTTGGACATTTGCCATTACTCTGCCTAGATTTTCGATCGGTGTCCATATCACAGATATCCTCATCAGATTCTACAATCATCATAATCTCTTTTCACCATCGTATCAAAACACCACAAAAGCTTGTTTCCAAAACATTGTTTCTTACCTTGTTCATCATTATCCTCATCCGACACTACACCGTCCTCACCCGCCCAATCCGAATCACTGTCAATTCCCAAACCCTTCCCGGTTCCCATCAGCTCCAACTCGTCGCCTGGATCACAGTTATCCAGGCCGGGAACGGTCAACGTTTCCACCGGTGGAACCGCGGCCTTCTTCGCCGAGCGAAGAGTGCTTCTTCTGCAGACAATTTCCGCGCCCGCACTGTGGTGTTCTTCGCTAGGAGATGCCGTTTTCCGGACCGGAGCATGGTATGCGATCTCCGGGGAATTTTCGCGCACCGTCTTCGCTTGTACGGGATGAACGTCAATGCTCTTTGCCGCGCTTCCATTTGTGTCCACTCGAAAATTGTTTGCTTTATGGCTGGTTGGCAGAGGAGGTGCATGCACAGATGAATTCGTATAATCTTCCGTATGTTCTGCCGCCGATGGTGTATCACCACGTCTCTCCAAAACTTGCTCTTTTCCTGGTCGGCTTCGTTTCTGTTTCAGCTTTTCCTGACCATCCTCTTTGTTTACAGTGTCCATTTTCCGTCGTTGGCCTCTTTTCCGTTTCCACGGGCCCGGAACAGCTGGCTATACTTGTTGGTAAGTCGGCAGATTGTCTGGCGCATCTGTACAGAGTGTTGGCTCAGTTTTCTCGCAAGCGTGCTTCTTATTCATCTGATCCGAACAGGACAGTTCGAACAGTGACACTAATGGTGCATCATCCAGGTTAGTGCGAACAGCGCTGTCCGGTAACGGATTACCGGGCAGTGTACTGGCGGAGATTGGCGGATCCGGAAGAAAATTTTCTTCATTTCCGGGCACAAGTGAATCACAGTCCAAGCCAGCAGTGTTAACAGATGACCAAGTTTCTACTTGAGGATAAGCGTTTTCGTTGTGTTCCACGGACTCCAGACCTGTATAACACACAATTAAACATCATTTACAGCAAAGATTTTGCAAAATGCAAAGAATATAACACAAAGGACATTAGGCAATACGTAAATTCGACTCGCCTAAAGCATGTCAATTGCCCATACAGGTTCTGCATTAAGTATACTGACATGCTCTGGTGTACTTGTACTCACAAGTACAGCAGGATGACCAACCTTACTCAGGCAATAAAGATGGAATATGCTCTAGATGTACAATAATGGAAACTCCTCGGAAATATTAGCACTAATATTTCCTACACACACGCGCGTACACACACACTCAGGATCCTGCTAGGACGATGTTGTTGTCCCAGATTTAGTCGGATGATGTTACTTCCGACTCACACACACGACTTCCGCTCAGATAACTATCCTAGTTGTCTTTACGAAGGTCACCACAACACACGAATATCCGGATATCTCAACACAAGTTTATTAGATCTTATTTCGCTAGCTCACATATCGATCGACTGATTCTGCCTCCAGAATCAGGTAAAAACCCAGCGTGTTACAGCATGGAATTACTCGTAATAAATCACTTAACACAGGACAAACCGCACCGTCGTACAGACGCGTGCCGGAGCTCATACAAGTTAACCAAAAGCAATACTCGTACTGTGGTACATGCGCCATAGCATGTTAATACCTTACAAAAAAGCGTACTAGCATGCCAGATTAAAAACCTAGTAAAAACGAGGACAACTTTGCACAGTACTGTGTTGTCGAGTCAACTTGGCACCTTTTTTTACAGTGAGTCGTATCCGCTTAGTGTATAACTCACTGTACAAAAAGGTGCCAAGTTGACTCGACAACACAGTAATATGCGATATACTCGCGATTCATAAGTGATGATCATGGTAATCCAGTGGCCAGAGCCGTGCGACAAAAACTGTACTGCCAGATTAACCTGGATAAACCGAGTCAAATTTTTAACACACTTACCTCTCACACAAAAATCATCGAATTCGTGTTTGTCGATCTGCGCATTCCCGCTTCCGACTGTTCTGGCGTATTTAGCAGAATAGCCGACTTTCAGTTCTTCGCCGGGGAAGATAGCCCGCAAACTGACGAAGACGACTTGCGATCCGCGGAGATAGACGGCCAGATTCTCCTCCGCCGGATTCTCCGCGAAACGCACGTAGCGCATCCAGTTGGAGAAGAGCTCCGAGTCCAGCTGGAAGAAACGCAACTGGCCATCCTCCGGACTGGGAAATGCGTACACCGTGCTCTCTTTCCTGATTCCCGCCGTTGCAGCAACCAGCGGGCCAAAAATTGTCTGCGGCGGAATACTGTGCTTGGCTAACACTTTTTCCCTGAAGGGCATGCAAAATACGAAATGTAAAAATACGCTTAAAAATGGATATCCAGAAAAACGCGAAACTTAATCTAGAAAACTAGCGGTCTAGACATTTGATTAATATAAAAATTTAATTGTTAAAAAACATTTAAAATAAGGGAAACCGACAAATCGTATCAGCAACCATCAGGACAACAACTACAGATACAATAAAATAATAACCGCAAGAATCTTTCGAATCTAGATATTTTTTCGCTATTTCGAGTTAATGTTTTCTCAACAGTGAATTCAGAAAAAAACATGTCAGAGGCGTACGACTGCGCCTGGTGCGTACGGTCCACACAGGACGTACTTGCACCATTGCTTGCCGTTACCACCTCTCTCGCTGTACGTACGTGTGCTGCTGCACTGCACTCATCCGCTGAAGCGGATATACGCAGCGCATACACTGAGCCACACTTGCTCTCTCGTTCCTCTCTCGCAGTATGACTCAGCGTTCATACGCTCGCGTTGGATAGAGTCCAGTCTGCGCATCATCACACAGCTGATGGCACACAGCACGTGCTTGCCGCCAGTTGCTTCTTTACACGCCTTGAAGACGCTCAAGAACCCACTTAGCATACACTTGCTATTTAGCCATCACTGCTTTGTTCTTGCTTTCCTGCTATTACGCAGCCTTGTTCCCCCTTTATTTGTCAATAAAGCTTCACTCGTGATCTCCTCGTGCACATCTGTTACAAACACTGCAAAACAAATAAATCTCAATGACAATAAGTAGTCAATCAGTAAGAGCTACCTGCAACTTAAGATACTTCTATAATTTTCTGTGAGAGATATTTATTTTAGTAAGATGTACTTTATTATACTACAAACGAGTAAAACATGTCAACAGTATGGTAGTCAATTATTTTACAAGAATGGCCGACCTGTGCTGGAGTTAGAGCACACATCCAAACACAAGATGTTGGGCAAACTGGCCAGTGCGAAGGGAACGACGCTTCCATTAGGAATGCTCTTGGCATGCAGCCAACAGGGCTCCTCCAAAAACAGCTGGCACACAGCACAATCTGCAGCAAACGAGCAGACCAGTAAAAAACGTAAACCAATCCATTAAAATGAGACGTAAAACTCCGAAACAGGCAACTGGTATTATTGTCATGTAGAGTGTAGACTGTTGCAGAGAAGGCAAGAGAAGATAGTTACATACAGGGCCGTTCATGCAGTCGCCACTGCGTCACACCGCGTTCCGTCCCTTGGGTTAAAGCTAGTACGTTTGGAAAGTTTCCCGATGTTGGATCCTCCTGGCGCGGAATTAGCAACTCGGGATCCGATGATTCCGACCCTGGCAAACAACAATCAAGATCCATGACGGCGCAGGTAGGCGCTATTCGATTAAATAACGGTTAACGAAGCTTTCATCGTCTGAGGAGCGTTCGCTGCCATCTACAACCGAGAAATTCAGGGAAATTTTGTGGGATCAGCAATTAAAATTTTAAACACAACCTTCATTATTAAAATCTAAGAAAATAACAAAAAACTCTGAGATCTGACATCTGAGGTTTTCTTTCTAGTTTCTACTCGCACCAAGCATGAACATAAACGGCAAAAGCAACTGCCACCTGGAGTGTGGTTGTGATACACCACAATTGCATGGGCTATCCGTACGTCGCAGATGGCCGGTGGTCAGTGAGCATCTCGTTGCTCATGGCACCCGACAATCGACATTCACTAGCGCTTGCAAGGCACCACTGGGTGAACCACATTCTACGCAATCTCTATATATTAATAGCGTAAGACTTAGCAAAATTCCATTCGTATCTCCCTTTTGTAAACGACACAGTGAACCAAACTTTGGTGTCTATAGATCATTTGATAGCGCTGCGATCATAAATTTGCAGAAACGGGTTGGTTTTTCTAAACTATTTGAGACTTCAGAGAAAATTTTAAAAAAGCTTAACATACGAAGTCTATGGGGAAAAGTCAAGAACCCACCACTGCCAACCCGCCCACGCCACCACTGTCCCCAACAGAATGACAGCCAGAAACGCAATTCTGCCTAAAGAGTAAACACTACACGTACGGAATTAAATTCAAACCTTTGCGTATGTCATTTGGGAGCTTTGAGCTTAATAATTTCTCATTCAAAGTCAGTTTCGAGGAAGAAAATGAAAGGATTGAAAGAAGATTTTCAAAGGGCTCGCTTTCACTGTGGGGAAGCGGGGGCTGCAGCCTGCAAGGTCTGCAGATAAAGTACGTAGCTGCCTGCCGAAGCGATTTAATCAGTTTTAAATTAGCGCACCCACGGGCGGGTGCGATTGTCTTTGACTCTTTGTGGCCGAATCTCATCTGCCCTTTCTGGTAGCAAATTTTTCGAATGTTACAGAACCTATTATTTATTTTTAGAAAAGCATTGTAAAGCATTGTACGTGACGCTTGGTTATAAAATGATTATGCATTAAATTTACACAGTATAAAAGACAACGAGATTCCCTAGACTGTTTGGGGCCTTGGATTAACTAGCGTATGTCACAACAATTGAAATAAAATTTTAAATAAGTAATTTTAAGGTTGCGTATAAACTATCAAAATAATAGCGACTACGCATTGCAAATAATAGTTATGACTGAAGGCTGAAGCCATCATGATTATTAACTGGGACGTAAGTACTGTAACCATGAAGTGGCGGCAAGGACAATACGGTGGCGAATCAGTTGGTTGCTTTCAACGGGCCGAGCGAAATTTAAAAAATCGCAGAATGGGGCGAACATATAATTTTGGGGATAAAGTTGGGCGGAATTTGCTTGGTGGCTGGTCAGGTAAAACTGAAGAAATCTGTTAGAAAACTGCACAAAAAACAGAACGTTTCCGAGCCAAGGTAATTTCCAGTAAGCGGACCGGGAATACTTAAATGTTCACACAAAAATCGGTAGAATGTTATCGGTACAATTGTGAACTTACGGATAGCTCGGGAGTAGTTATTGTCAGTGCGGTAAAAAACGAAGCAGTTGATTAAATGTCTTTTGCTCATTACAGTATTTGCCAGTCAAATTAAATTGTTTTAAGCTTAATTTTTTTGAAACACATTAGTTTTGCAGTAATGAGTTTATATTGGCAGAAATGAGCTTTTTCAAAAATTTCTTCTTTATTTCGATTCATAATTATGACAGTATTAACCAGACACTACTGCTACAAAATTAGGTACTACCAAAACATCCAATACCAGTTGGTTTTTTTGTAGTAAGTATTCCAACGTTGATTTATTCCGCGCAGTCTGCGCGGGGTCTACTAGTACATTTTTATTTGATTAGAAGCTCAACAAAACTCGATGAGCGCACAAAAGTATTAAGTTTTGGTACTTTACAAAAATTATTACACAAGAAGGGATAAAAGACGGCGTCAATCCACACAGGAGTTCAAACGGCTTGAAAACTGAAATTGTTTAACTACTAAAATTTGCAAAAGCTGCTGCTAGCCAGTATCCACAAAAAAACGGTCAAAATAAAAGTTGACGTTAACAAATCGCATGTCTAGACAGATTAAAGTGATACCCTTAGAAAAACAAATCCTTAAAAATCGCCAAGGCTCCAACCGACCATCCTTCCGCGAACATTTATAACGGTACACTATGCGGATCCATGTCGGGGTGTTTTGCTTTGACGTGGTGCATCAGTTTGCTTCGTCGCACGTATCCCAGTCTGCATTCGTGGCATTTGTATGGAAAGTCTTCGAAAGCCAATTTTCTTCGGGGATCTTTGTACGCCTCCACCAGACCCTGTTTTTCCTTCTCCTTGCGCTTAGCATAGTAGTTTTTCTTGTATTCTTTGAGATTCCCTTCGTGCACCCATCGGATATGACCCCGGAGGTATCGTTCGGCATGGAAGCGCTTGCCGCACTGGGTGCAGGGGAAGCGGTAGTCCTTCTTATGCGACTGCATGTGCACATTCAAACGTACACTACTTCGGCATACAGCCTGGCAGACTTCGCACACCAGCACGCTCTTGGCGTCGTGCTTGCATCGGTAATGCTCTCGAAACTTTGCGTACTGAGGGAATGTCCGCGGGCACACTGGACAGGGAAAAGAGCCGTCTTTCTGATGCTCGGGGAGATGTCTGCTTAAATCTTTGGTACTCTCAAATTGTAAGGCGCAATATATGCACTGACCTTTCTCATGTCTAAACTGTAATGGGAGAAAAAAGCGAGTCAGTTTTAACTGAAGACAATCAGTCAAATAAAACTGAATTTGGACAAAATAGGTAGTCAACCTTCATGACGCAAAAACCAAGATAGAAAAAAGAGCAAGGAGGAGAGGAATAACACAGAAAGTGTTGTTGCGAATGTTGTTTTAGACTCAATTTATACTTGCAGGAGATACTTGCAGGACATATGAGGATAATAAATAAGCATTCATAGAAAGGAAAAGATAAAGAAAGACAGCAATGCCGGCAAAGATTTCGTGCGCTTGCTGACGAATATGGTAACCGTGTGCTCACCCGCATATGACTATCCAGAGCGTGCTGCGTAAGACATTTCTCCCCGCATTGTTGGCACTCGAACTGCCAATCTTTGGACATCATCTCCCGGTACTCTGGATGAGTCTTTTGATAATGCGTCGGCAACCCAAAGACCTGCTCCGCACAAAGCAGCATTCCTTCTGCTCCATCTTCCGTCGACTCACAGGTGCCCCTCGCTGCGCGCCTGAATTTTCAGCTCCGTTGGCAGACGTTGGCAAATCGGAGCTCGAGCCACTTACATCTGGAGTAGTTGTCGTTGAATCTGAAAATCAGAAGCAATAACCATGAATGCACGTTCGTTTCTAGTGGCTGCAAACACCAAGAACTGTAAACCATCATCACACTGTTGTAAATTAAATGGTAAACTAATAAGTAAAATAATCTGTAATAGTCATATTCAGTAAATCCTACAATTTCAACAACCACGTTACTCCAACCCCATTTCATAAACGGGCAACTTAGAAACATTCGCTTACTGAAGATAGACATGCACATTTCGCAAATGCAAAACTTTACCATTTCCGTTTATCATCAGCATCTGATTCGAAGAGTACTGCGTCTTGTTCTTCGTTCTTTTGCCCCTGTTCTGCCCGGGTTTACGTTCGGTAATCATATCACAGATATCCTCCTCAGATTCTGGAATAACCATAACCCCTCGTTGCGACTGTAAATTCTTGTGGACCACAACAATCTTGTTACCTCGATCATCATCCTCATCAGAGTGATCAGACACTAAACCGTCTTCCGCCGCCCAATCAGAATCACTGTCCACTCCCATGCCCTTTCCCGTTAACACCACTTCTTCACCGTCATCACAATCATCTTGTGCGGGAACAGCTGGCTTTTCTACAGGTAAAACACCTTCCTTCACCGCTGATCGCAGAGTGCTTCTTCTGGAGTGAAACTCCGTGCTCACAAGCTGTTCTTTGTTGGGTGATTCCGTTTTCCAGACCGCCGGATGATAGTCGATCTCCGGAGAATCTTCGCGCGTCGCATTCCCTTGAACTGCTGCAACGTCAATGCTCTTGGACGACGCCGGAAGCACCGCATTTCCACCTGCATCTGATGCGCGGCTGGTTGGGAGAGAAGTTGCCTTCACAGGTGAAACTGTTAGGTCTTTTGGGTTTTGTGCCGCAAGGGCCAAATTACCACCTTGATCCACAATTGGTTGTTTTCGTGGTCGGCCTCGCTTCCGCTTCACCGTTTCCTGATTATAATATTCGAAAGTGTCGGATTTTACGTCTAGCTCTCGTTTCACCTGTTGCCGGCAATCATCTTTGTTCACCGTGTCCGATTTTTGTGGTCTGCCTCGCTTTCGTTTCAACTGGCCCGGAACACGTTGCTGCACCTCACGGCGCACCGGGAGATCTTCTGTCACCACCCAATGTGTGATCGCAGTTTTTTTACCATCGCTGTTTCTATTAATCGCATCCGAACACAAGGACGGGCGGACGGTCGTTAATACTGCATCCAACTTGGTGGAACTAGCAATGGCAGGTGACGGATCACTGAGGACTGTATTGGCCGAAATTGGCGGCGCAGTCGGAAGAAGAACGTTTTCCGTACTTCCAGGTAACGATGTTTCCAGTGAATCGAAATCCCAGTCTGCTGTGTCAACGGCTGCACACGTTCTCTTGGGAAGGTTCTGTGGCAGAGCGCTTGCATTGCGTTCCACGGTCTCCACACCTGTAATCATCATTCTCAGTAAATATTTTTCAAAATTCGAATACCATAATTTAACACATATTACATCACACAATGTATCGCTTTTACTCCGCAAAGCAAAGTGCCAATACAGCGCCGGTTTCTGAATAAGACATAACAGAAACACTGTCGTATAAACGCGTGCATATGTGCAGTTTATTGTGTTACAATGCTTGAATCGTTTAATAACAACAACAATTTATATAATTACAATATTATTTAGATAAAAGAACCGACTAAAAACAACGACAACTTCTGCACAGTTATACGCAGAGCGAGACATATACAGTTTTTGCATGTCATAGAATAACTGCCCACAATATGCAGATCTGTCCAACGAAAACTGAACTGGCAAATTAAAGGCGCTAAACAGTAGAAAGTGTATAATAAACTGACCTGCCACATAAAAACCCTCACTATCCTGTGTCTCGCTCAGCCTATTCGTGCGTCCAATGGTTCTGGCGTATTTAGCAGAATAGCCGACTTTCAGTTCTTCGCCGGGAAAAATAGCCCGCAAGCTGACGAAGACAACTTGCGATCCGCGGAGATAGACGGCCAGATTCTCCTCCGCCGGATTCTCCGCGAAACGCACGTAGCGCATCCAGTTGGAGAAGAGCTCCGAGTCCAGCTGGAAGAAACGCAACTGGCCATCCTCCGGACTGGGAAAGGCGTACACCGTGCTTTCTTTCCTGATTTCCGCCGTTGCAGCAACTAGTGGGCCAAAAATTGTCTGCGGCGGAATACTGCCTTTGGCTAACACTTTTTTCCCTGTAACGCACGCAAAATGAGCATCATCAAAAATAAAAACTCACTTGAATCACTGAATGATGATAATTATCCAAAAAATCATCAAAATCTAACGTAGACAGAAATTCGAAAATTAAAAAATAAAATAAATATAATAAATATTATGCATTCATAATTCATTATTCTTCTTATCCTGCGCAACAACTACTACAAATAATATATTTCATGCCAGAAATTATTAAGAAAATTATTGAGTCACCAGAAATTATTGAGCAAATTATGCTAGCACTGAACTGAAAAAAGGGTACCACTTATATAAAAAATTTTCAAAGCTTCAAAGAGCAATAAACCGTAACCATTAAGTACGTAAATTATTTCCACACCTGCCATTAACAATATTGCTGTGCAGTATCCACTCACAGAGCGACACCCCTTTACCGTAGTGTTAAGAAAACTGCAAAAATTTCTGTAGTTCTTATAATTTTACGCCCTGTAAAAAATCTACCAACCTGTACAGGAATTGGTGCAAACATCCAAATACAAGATATCGGGTAGACTGGCCAGTGCGAAGGGAACGACGCTTTCATTGGGAATGCTCTTGGCATGGAACCAACAGGGCTCCTCCAGAAACTGCTGGCACACAGCGCAAACTGAAAACAAATGGATAGGCAATTTATTTCTTCGAAAACATAACTAAATCCACTAATTTGAGACGGCTATAGCGTAATTCGTAAAGACGCGGTAGTATTACTGTACGGTGAAGTCAACGTACAGATCGGTCCCTGCAACCGCCGCTGCGTTCCACCGCGTTCGATCCTTTGCGGTACAGCGAGCACGGTTTGAAAATTTTCCCATGATGAATCCTGGCTGGGAGTGAGGTACTCGCTATCTAATCCAGGCAAACAACAGCCGGGTTCCATGACGGCGCTGGTGCTGAATATTTTATATTTGCCTTGAATATTACTTGGCAAAGGAGTGCATTCCCAATCGATAGTGCATGATCATGATACGATTATCACATACGATAAATTCGGTAATCACTGCGTTACATACTCTATAATTTGGCAGATCCTCGCAACACCTAAAAATTGACTGCTAACCGAGCATCCTAAAACGGATAATTTGCAAGAGAAGGATAGAGATTAGAGATGCAAACTTGCTTGCAATAAAATTAGCTCCGCTGATTTTGGACTGGAAATTGGAAAAGTTCCGTTTCGTGTACGCGTAGATTCTAACCAATCAGCATACACCTAATTGCAACATTAGGTGTGGCTGGCCGAGAGACACCTCTCAGTTTAGTAGAACCTTTCGCGGGTGGATGTTTCGTATTTGGTCACTATTAATGGTCATGGTGCGATTTGACAATAAGCGGTGCAAGATTTTTTCGTTTTTTTCTTTATGCGTGCATTGTCGCAGTGGTAGTCTTCAAAGTTCAGATTTCTCGCCAGTCACCACTTTTACAATCAACATCATAAACTGGTGGATCGAAGCTCCAAGGTCGAACTTTGCACGCAACGTTTTCGGACAAGGCACAATGAGTCGCGAATCGCGATACGCGGAAGGCGATCGGAACTTTTGAGTACTTCGTATCAAAAGTATCATCGAGTTCACCGTATTTTGATCGTGACAGACTTTTGAGTACTTCGATCCTGAAACATTCATGTCCTGAAACATTCATTGATAACAAAATCACAGCAAAGCTGCCAAGAAAAACAACATCGGGCACTAATTATTCCCGACCAGCCAATCTAAATGCTAAAAAACATCTTCGTTCTCTCTCATGTATTTTGTCCTTATTTAAAGCTTTGGACATTGCCTAAGACGTGACATAAAATTCACTAAATAACCTTTATTCCACTAAAGAACAAAATTTATTAAAAACTACGAATTTTATTACTTTTATGGCATCATACATTTATGGCATTATTAAAATAGTATAATAATTCCATTTAATTGAACTGCAATTCATTGAAACGATTTTCAATTCACTGAAGTTTTTCGCGCAAATAGGTAAGTACATATTAATCAAATGCTTATTGCACTTCAAACTCGAACAATTTTATTTTATTCATTGATCAGTCCATCCCAAAACAGGGGGCATTGACAAAGAACAAATATTTTAACTGATTCCTGACAGGTAAAACCATCATAGCTATACAAAAACTTCGAAATCCCTAAAAAACCGTGTTCAAAATCGTAATAAAAATCGGCAGGAAGCATACGCATGAGACATAAATAAAAAGCAGAGATTACAAACATACTGTAACATACATACTCGCAATATGAAATATCCACAGCGTCCATGCTATAATTTACAGCGATATGTGCATTCTGGGCAGGAATTTCGAGAAAAATGAGACCCATATTTCAACAGAAACAATCGCCAAACAGCTGCGTAGAGGGAAAAATGTCGGCCAAAATACAGATTCCTGCGAGGCTACTCCGTGGGAAAAGGCGTAAAACGGTGAGCGTAGAATCCCGCAATCCAATCCATCCTACTCGTACTCCTGCATCTGCACATCCCCGTGACCATCCACCGCCTGCATGTCCAGCTGGACGATCGTCTTACGAATGGCGTGCATGTACTGCTGTTTCTGCTCCGTCGACAGCATCTCCAACATGGCCGCAATGTACAGAACTGCAGCGAAGACAAACGGTAAAACAAATGCATAATGATTATTCCATTTAATTTGTTTTAACTCGAGTCGCGATTACAGTATCTATACGCGCCAAACAGCGTGCCAAATACGGACAGACTTTCGAAGATATTTGCTAAAAAAAAAACCATAAAAGCAAAACAATGCATGCACGGAACATTAGTAATTAGTAAGTGATTCACACGTTTAATCACAAATTATTTGAGTATTCAATGTCAGAATTCATGCATTACATAAGAATTTAACTGAATTGCTTTATACAAGTAAATACTCGTATGCAAATTACGAGTACTAATGCATATGCGCAGCAGCGGAGGTATGCATTTCTTATCCATAATTTCCAGAATTTAATAGTGCAAGTATTTAAGTTCTGTATTACAGTATACAATAATATAATTCAAAAGTGACGAACAGTAACGTCTTGCCGATAATCTACAAAATTTAATACTGCAGTTTATTACTGTCTCGTCGCAAAGTAGTGATGCATACCAAATTTCGCTTCATCGTAAAGCGGGGCGCCGGCGACACCATTCTGAGCAGCACTCGATTGCACACCGTTGGCCATTTTTCGGGAGGATCGCGGAGCAGACGGCGGATAAGGCGGCATCAAATCCATACTCTCCATGCGTGTCGCTGAATGTTGCGCAGTCGACGTCCCGGCCACGCGCGGAGTGCTGTATGATGACATAACTGGCATGGCAGGCGTTTTCTTCAAGCCCTTCTTGGGCGCCTTTCTCCCCTTGAAACGCGGAGCGCGGGGTCTTGCTGGACGGCCTACGCAAGAGACACAGTAAATATTAAATAAATTTGTGCATTACAAATGTCATCCCATGATGAAAAATATGTCAGGTTCAATGCAAAACAGGCACAACGGTAAAGCACAAATTAAAGTAAAGCCAAGTACTTGTACACGTCAATCAAAAATAAGCTGATTCAAGTTAACTTCTTTTCAATTTCTCAAAGGTGTACAATTTTTATTCACGCGCTAGAAACAGCCAGCTGCAATCTTAGTCGTAAAATTCAACTATTTTTTGTTTTTAATAATTTCATTTCCTTTCAAAAGTTGGGTTCTTCCATTTGCTGGGACATGCAGTTATGCAAATATAGTTCACACTTACGAGCGGTGTGTGCAAAGACAAAATGATAATAAACGACGATGCCAAAAATTATTAGATTAATATCTAATAATCCAGAATCAATAATTCGGAAAATTATTTAACGATTTAAGCACTCGAATTCAAGTTCAAACACGAGCAAATTCTGCAGTTGATTTGCCACGTCAATATCCGTTTAAATTATATAAATTCCTTATCAAATTTGATAAAAATTACAGATCCTGCTGATGAAATTAAATTTTTAAAAACAAAAAAATCAATGAAATCAATTTTGAGGACACTTACGAGCCATACTCCCTTTGGCCTTGGCGCTAACGGTGCCATTGACGACGTGGTCCGCGGTCGTCACGGCCAGCGCTGGCGGCAGTTCCGCACTGAATTCCTCCTCCGCCGGCTGCGCCGAACGGGCCTGCGGTTTCTCCATCAGTTTATCGATCTTCTTCTCCGGCGTCTTGAGGCCGTTAGCCACGGGCGTCTCGGCCGTGGCCAGCGCAGGCCGCTGCGGTCCGTGGTTGTGGTCCTTGCTGAGGACGGCCACATTATCCTGCAGACGCAGTCGTACACTGCACTTGGTCGGCCCTGAGACGCGCCGGCACCGCCAGCCACCGATGGCGTCACGCAGATACTCGTAGCCCTCCAGGATCATCACATCGCCGCCCATCTGCGACTTGGTAAACTGGGGAACACTGGGCGCTTTCTCCATCGTGTGCCCGCAATGTGTCAGCGACTCGCGATCAATTGAAATTCGAAAGCTGTGGATGGAAGGCAACAAATACAGAACGATAGGGCCTTCAAGATCAGGACTTGAAATTTGTGAACTTCGGTGAAATTCGTGAGACCTGGCGCAAGAAGGGCAAATTTGTCAAATTTTTACGAAAAACCGATTTCTAATTTTATGGCGAACTCCGAAATGGCGCCGTGTACAGAGAATTTATTTTGCACAAATCAGAAAATCAGATATAAATATACCATGAAGGTAACAGCCGCCCCAGGCGGCATTAGCCACCGGAACCGGAAGTGACATTAATTTCACATTTTCCTTCCCACATCCACATGGTTTCGGGGCCAGATGAAACACTGAAGGATAAGAACGGATTAAAAGATAAAAAAATTTCGAAATTTCCTGAATCTTGCAAATTGGCATCTTTAATGAGTTCAATCCGCGATACATGCATGCTTCGTTGTGCGCCTGGCAGCCCGCTCATAACGCCAACTTTGTGAATACCAACCTCCCGTTGGTGGCGGTGCTGTTTGTGGATGCCGTTTTCTTGGCAGACCGCAAAGTGCAGACCAGCGCAGTTCTCGATGCGCGCTGCAGCCTGCAAAACTCAAAAGGCAATTTGATTTCGAATTCACAAGTTTTCGGTTTTCTCTTTTAATTTTCTCTTGGTCTGGAAAAGAAACTGTTTCTGCTGATATAAGTAATAATATTTCTTCTGTGCCGTTGAAGCCAATCGGTTGCGCAGAAATGTCTAATGTACCAATCTTCGAAAAAACGTACCGCGGTGGCGATGTGATGATCCTGGAAGGCTACGAATACTTGTCTGATCGACGAAGGAACTCATCGTCAACAAACGATCAAGTCTGGCGTTGTCGTAGTTTGAATACCTGCACGACGCGGCTACATCTGAGCGGCGACATTGGCACGCTGAACAAGTTGCACAATCACGCACCTCAGCGGCCACAACTGGAGAACAGTTCGCCAGCGAACGTGAAGAAGCGCCATCGGGAAGTGATAGACGCCAACATGATGTCGCGGGCTCGCTCGGAACATCCACAGCAACGCGCACATCTGGGATTGCTGCCGCGCGCGGTCTCCGTTAATCAGAAAATGCAGTCGGGTTCGTCGATTCGCTATACATGCGGTTAGTCCCTCAGTAAGAACTTTTTCTGGTTATTAATTAATTTAATTTTTCACTTATACGCTTGGCGAAAACACCTCGGTGGAAACAGTGCAACAGGTTGTGCACATTGTCGTTGTGGTGATATTGTTGCTGACAGTTCAGTGTATTCTGACATTGTCCAATGATAAAAATAACTATTGTCCAATGATAAAATTCATAAAAATAATTTTTTTGTAAAAAAATTTGTCTTTTTTGTAATTAATAAAAATGACAAGCATATGACAAACATACGTACAGATATAAAAGTACAGATATACAGGTCTATAAAGTACAGATATACTTTATAGACCATAAGTTATCCATAAAAATTATAGGCCATAATTTTGTGTTGACCAGAAATTATCCGTAATTTTGTGCAACCCTTGTGTCTTGTGTATGAATGTTAAAGTGCGAAATTTTTCCGGTTCGGTCTTCAATATCACATTTATTTTGTTTTTAATTTTATTTACGTAAATTGTTTGCGCGCAGAATTTGGTCACTAGTAAGGCTTATGCTCTATAGTTACAGCGCTTTTTGCGACTTTTCTCCCGCGACACTTTTCTGAATATTCCACATATCTGTAGCGACTGTGCTGGCACTACATTTTACTCACTTTATTTTCTTTAAATCTTTCGATTTGTCGTACAGGTTATCTGATTGAACGCGCAGGTTTTGGTTTGGATGTTAGGGTGTACAATCGTTACGGTCGTTACCTACACTATAATTTGAATCTGTTGTCTGGTTGGTTCCGTAGATCAGTCAGAATTGCGTCCAAAGCCCAAGAAAAACACAGCCAAAAAGCCTAAAACTGAAACGGCAAAAAAGCCGAAGGGAGAAGCGGAGATTCCTGCTGCGGCATTCGCCTCCGACTACGATGACCAGCAGATGTACGCGCCTGCTCTCCCGCAAACCATCATGCACCGTTCGGCCAACCGGGAAAGCGAACGGGAGTATGCAGACGCCTGGTCGCGGCCGGAACGCAGCCACAGCACAACTGCGGACGCCCGTGTCAAAGGCAGCTCATCGGGATCGAATACGGCGCCGGCCGAAGAAAAATTCGGTAAATGCTACGTGAATTAACGTATGACCAAGTACTTACTATAGTGTGAGAAGGACTGGTTACCAACCGTTTGAGCTGTCGTGGTGACAGATTCGCGTTTTTCACGGTTTTATGCTATACCAAGTTCTTGGTATGGCTTATATCGTTTAGTCGTATGCTGCGAGCACGGGTCAGTTGATAGTTGATACCACCACTGTACAACGTTTGCGATTTGCAGTGCATTATATCTCGGCACTTCTGAAAATGTTCTCAGCCAAGAAAAAACGCCGGTATATGCAGGCCATTCGCAAGACCATTATCAAATTGGATATGGAATTCGTCGATGATGATTCGGATATCGAAATGCTGGAATAGCAGACATTATGGTGTTAGCAGCGTTCCGCTGCAGTGTTTCTCTCGCTCAGGGGTACCGTTACGCTAATCAATCTGGATTTGATGTGTTTCGTTAGTTTATTGATACGGTGCCGCATTTCTGTGTTGAGACGATATGGATCTGCAGGAAGATTGGAATAGATTTTGTTTTTGTACATGCTGAGATTTATGACGTTTACATGATGAGTTTCATTCACATTACTAGAGACGCTTATAATAACCGGAAGTCCATAACTTCTTGCAGTAATGTAATCATGAAACTTTGTTTCTTTCATGTACGAGTAGTCTAGTAAACTTGTAGGTACTCGCAACCAGCATTAAACAAAACCTGCAAATTCTTGATTTCAAAAATATCTCTCTTGCAAAACCATCTAGTTTCATTTAAAACACCCATTTTCAGAGTCAGTCGTGTAGCAAACGTCACACATTACGGATTTAACATAGCGATCATGATTGTCATCTTTACGACAAAATGCACTACTGCCGTTAACTGCCATAGAACTCTTCCTCCAGTGTTTTGGCGCGTCTGTGTATTGGCGCTTTGTGGTCTGTTTTGGCGCGTCTGTGTACAGTAGTCGCTTGTTTGTTACAGCGCGCGATTTGTTGAGTCTTCCACGCATTCATAATCCTGATGACCGATTTACCTTTGGTGGGGAGACCAATGCTGTCGGCATATGCTGAAAGCACACAAAATGCAATAAATACCTGCACGGTAAGACAGATTTGCGTTACGCGATAAAATCAGGTTACCTTTGATAACTGCCGTGAATTCTTTGCCAAACATGCGCTGCATCCCGGTATCCTTCAAGCCTTCGTCCTTGCAGCTCTTGGCACGCTGGTCCAGCTGCTCCATTCCTTCCGCATTCGCACCCAGGAAGAGACAGTTGCACAGATACGCAATGTAGGATCCTTTGGTGCCGCGGCGATTTTTAACGGCCCACTCCAAGTAGCGCTTCTTTCCGGATTCAATGTAGACTTCACAGTGCTCAAAGCCGTCGAGGAGGAGCTCCTTTTTTGTTCCGGGCCGCTGAAACGGGAACTTGTATCCTGTAAGGCAAGCCGTTCTTTTTTTAAACATACAGTAATTTACAGATTTAGGAACTAGGAGAACGTGTAATAAATAATTCTAATCTTATTCCTGTAAGCACGGGCAGATAAACTGGATTGTACATTCGACAAAAAATTATTCCATTTATTCACGCCTGATACAAATGAAAAGCATGGTAAAAAATCCTCGCAAAAATTGAATAAAGACTACACGAACCGGTCGAGCCATCTCCACGGTTTTGACCGCTATCCGTTGGCTCGTTTGTATCCGCATTATCAACCCCGGGATCACCCGTTCCTGCAGACAAACATTATACTCGTGCACCATCATTCCGCTGTCGGGAGTAAACACAATATAATTGTATTTGTATCCATACCGTCCATTTCCGATGGCCCAGGAAGAACGGAATCGAAGTCCACAGCGAGATCATCGCTAGCTTCTACAACAACAGCACAGCACGGCACTCAAAGGAGTTTACAATAAACAAGACCGGAGCAGCAGTCTTATACCATCAGCAACGGGGAGGCCGCCGGTATCGTAATCACTCTCCATGGGAGTGTCCTCTTGCGGTAGCGACGCATTGGCGTTTTGGGAGGATACTGCGGCATCGACAGCATCCGGGACGAACAGGGCGTTGAGATCAATCGGTTGACGACGGCCACTACCAAGCGCACTGCTGGCGACATTGTTTTTGGCAATGTTGCCCGCAACCGAAGATCTGGCAACATTACACGCATATTTGATATCTATTATCTCTGCTGTAAATAACTAAAAATTTTCAGAAGCAGAACGTTAAACCAATAAAGTGCACAAAAAGGCAACGGTCTCGTGGATATTGACGACAACCATAAGGAAACCCAAAAACAATCGAACTCGCCACAAAATAATACGTGTAAGAATATTTTGATTACCGTGTCATTTTGGTTCGCTGTGTTGGTGCGGAATTCGGTGTCATTTCGCGTTTATCCTGCTGTTTCTGCTTTTTTGCTGCCGGTTCCGCAACAAACAACTCATTCTCCGCCGTATCCTCATCCCACTGTGCATTATCCCTGTCCTCCTCCTTCTCTTCCGCCAATTCTTCGTTTTCCTGCAGAATGCCCGCGTGCTCCAGCAGTTTCATGAGATCGTCCTCGTCGGCCAAGAATCGTTTTCCGATGATGGTTTTCACGTAACTGCCGCTCAGCAGCGTGTCCCCGATGTACACTGAAGGGACCAGCAGCAGCTGCTGGTTCTCCTCCGCCTGGCAGATGCGCACGCTCTTGCACATGCGGGGCAGTGTGCCGCGCAGATCCACCTGGAAGAAGACCACTGTCTCCGCCGAGTGATCGATCGCTTTGCGCCAGTACAGAGGATTCGACTCCGGATCCACGCCGACCACTTTCACCAGGTCTTTGTAGGACATGGCTGCTGGCACGACTCGGTTGAATCGGGTGGAAGAGCGGAGAACGGGGCGGGCGCTGGTCACAGTGATACCCGTTGGAAGCGTCGCAGGAATTGCTCGCTGTCGCTTCATGATACTGAGTGAGTGCAGCGCTTAAGAACGATAAGATCATAGAGCGTCCAACACTGCTATCACGCGGTTAACAAATCGTCCAAACAAAATCAAAGAGTATTAACTAAATTAATGGAATCCCTTCGTTCAAAGCCTAAAATAGATCGTACACTTCTACGCGAAGTTTAGAAACATGAAAAATCCTGTCTTTCGTTTCTGAATCAGAAATCTGATGGGATACATCTCCATCCAGGGTCGAACTGAAGTTAACCGCCACTTGGGGCGGTTACTGCGTGGTCACAAAATAAACCGCTTGCTATGGGCGCTCTGTTCATAACTTCATATTCACGATCAAATAATTCAATCGTACAGATTTCTTATACATAACGCCATTATCCCTTCGCTTTGGCAAGGATATCCCGCAGTCTCCAAGCCCCGTTTAACGTAATATGTTGCAACAGAATTTACAGATGTAGATATTTACAGTTAATACCCAGCACATTGGAGAACATGGTGACTTATTTGCACAGGTTGCGAACAACTGCAATGAAATACTGCAGTAAAAGAATTTCCAACGCCGCCCTGCACAGCAGAGCATATAACATTTTATCATTGGCCCTTATCAACCATCGAGTTGCTTTGGACAAATACGGTAGCATTTATTTACTGAACACCAAAAACTACACAAAGGTGACCATTCTGCTTGTGACCATCCAAGACACCTGCTACTCGGGCTTCGTAGTGCGGCTCTTTCCGGTGGTCGATTGTTTGTTATAGCGTGCGATCTGGATAGTCTTCCACGCGTTCATTGCTCTGGAGAACGCATCACCTTTGGTTGTCAGACCAACGCTGTCGACATAAGCTGAAAATACAAGCAAATATTAACGTTTATTTCAAGTATTTGTTACTACATAAAAACTCTCGTGTAATGTCGCTTTTGATACTTGATACAAAAAATAAACTGCAATAAATTACTGAACTATTAGGGGTAAAATCAGGATAGAGCGCAGTACCTCTTATCGAGGCAAGGACTTCTCTGCCAAACATACGCTTCATCCCGGTGTCAGCAGATCCTTCGTCTTTGCAACTCTTTGCCAGCTTGTCAAGTTGCTCCAATCCTTCCAAATTGGGACCCAGGAAGAGGCAATCACACAGATAGGCCATATACGTATTTAGTGTTCCAAGTTTTCTCCTAATTTGCGACTCCAAATACCGCGTCTTGGCGGATTCGATGTAGACATTATCGAATGCGTCGATTAGAAGCTCTTTTTTGGCTCCGCGGCACTGAAACGGGAACTTGTATCCTGTAAAACGATCATTGTAAGGACATGATCCACAGAGTCAGTAGAGCGCAGCATCGCGACTCTATTTTTCAGTACAAAACCAAATTGCATAAACTGCGAAGCGGAAAAAGAGGTGGCTTATTTCATTTGATTATATCGTACAGTTTATAGTGTAGATAAAACAGCAAAAATTTATTTTAAGATTAAAAATTATTTTTTTGAAAACGGAAATGGTTAAATATGGCATATGGCCGTAATGGCCCTACAATTTTGATAGCTTTACCTTCACAGGCAACAGTCACTGAACTAACGATTGCTGGTACACTATTTCACTGTTTAAAAAATTAAACATAGCAAAAACAACCAATATCTTTGCGGCTTTGCCTAACCCATATTCCGGTTCGCTTACAAACAAGCCACGGCCGAAACTGGAGAATCGAATACTTATCCACATATAAAACTGAACAAAATTGCACGAACCGGAAGTCGAGCCATTCCCACCGTTCTGACCGCTATCCATGGTTCGCCTATTTCTGGACTGTCCACAGCGTGATCGTTAGGGTCTGAAAAAACAAACACAGTACAAAAACGTTCAGTTCTCAGGTAATTACGATGTCCGCATGCGTACCGTCTATTTTCGAGGGGCCTGGAGAAAGAGACTCGAAGCCCAGGGAGAGATACTCGTTGTCTTCGAAACAACGAAAGTGAAGCGCAAAAGAATCAGTAAACAAGCACAGCTGTATTAATGCTTACCATCAGCAACGGGGAGGCCGCCTGTTTCATAATCACCGGCCATCAGATTGTCCTCTTGCGGTAGCGACACATGGTCGTTTCTGAAGGAAGCTTCGGCCTCGACCGCCTCCGGGATGAAGAGGGCGTTGAGATCAATCGGTTGTCGACGAACATTAACAGCCGCACTGCCGGCATCATTGTTCGCAAACGCAGCTGACGATGATCTGCAACATCACAGACATATGTATTTCCGTAGAAAGCACAATTTTCAACAGCATAACGTTAAGCCGTTCAAATACAAGTGCAAAAAACAGACTACTAAAATAACCAAAATTTAAAATGCAACCGTGGTACCGTAGGGCGCAGATATGTGTGAGATAGTTTAGCAAGTCGCGAAATCATCCTAACTGAAATATGTAGACAGAAGTGAGTCGTGCATCTCGATTACCTTGTTCTTGTGGTTCGTTTTCCTGGTGCGGAAGTCAAATGTATTTCGCGCTTATCCTGCTGTTTTTGCCTTTTTGCTGCTGGTTCCGCATACCCGTTCCCCGCCGCATCTCCACCACCCTCCTCGTTACCCCTGTCCTCCTCTTTCTCTTCCGCCAATTCTTCGTTTTCCTGCAGAATGCCCGCGTGCTCCAGCAGTTTCATGAGATCGTCCTCGTCGGCCAAGAATCGTTTTCCGATGATGGTTTTCACGTAACTGCCGCTCAGCAGCGTGTCCCCGATGTACACTGAAGGCAGTGAAGGGACAAGAAGAAGCTGCTGGTTCTCCTCCGCCTGACTGATGCGGACGCTCTTGCACATGCGGGGCAGCGTGCCGCGCAGATCCACCTGGAAGAAGACCACTGTCTCCGCCGAGTGGTCGATCGCTTTGCGCCAGTACAGAGGATTCGACTCCGGATCCACGCCGACCACTTTCACCAGGTCTTTGTAGGACATGGCTGCTGGCACGACTCGGTTGAATCGGGTGGAAGAGCGGAGAACGGGGCGGGCGCTGGTCACAGTGATTCCCGTGGGCATCGTCGAAGGGATTGCTCGCTGTCGTTTCATGGTCCTGCAGATTGTAGCGCAACACCGCAAAGAATGGAAACACGGTTATCACAAGGTTAATAGATAATAGATCCACACAATATTAATGTCAGCGGGATTCCGTTGTTCAAAGCCAAAATTGATCGTACGTAAAGTCCTGAAAGTCAAAACCTTAGAAATATAAAATTTTAAAAGTAACAAACTTGTAAGTTAAATGGTGTGAATGAAATCTGCAAACTTATAAATCCAATCCATCGCTTCTGAAATCTGATGTGAAAACTGGAAAGTAAATCTCCATCCAGGGTCGGACTGAGAGCAACCGCCAGTTGGGGTGGTTGCTAAATGGCCACAAAACTCGTACCGCTGGCTGTGGTCGCTCTGCTCATTCGTACAACTCGCGCGTAACCCCATCATCCCCTTAAATTTTGGAAATTTAAAACAGAAGCCGCTTCAACCAATTTGTGTTTAGAATAGCGTCCAAAATTAACTCAAGAAAATTAGACTTATACTAGCCGAAACCATCGACGTGAGCAATGGCAGTCAATGCCAGCCATCAAAGCATACGAGTAGTCGTCCGAAGTTGACATTTGGGCACGGCACGGTTAGAATCCTTCTCACGATAACTGTTAACTGGGATAAAATTTTATACAGTATATAGAGCGTAAATAATTATTTTTTTAACTAAGGTTACAAACTGAAGGAACTCTTGCAGATCCGTCTAATTTCTAACAAATGGATTTTCAGAGTGGGCATTAAATGCCGATGTAAACCATTCACTGATATTATAAAAAGTTAAGAACATGGAAATTATGGTCGTACAGAAGTAAAATACTACAGTTTAAAAAACCCATTCGCTCCGTAGTTTACACGGTAGCTTATATTGTACACCACATTCCATCAATCTCATTCTTCATTGATCCTGATATTTTGGCCGGCTACGATAGTAGTACAGTTTCCGGCTGAAAGACTGCAACAGCTGTATTTCCGTTAAACCGCGTGCTTTCTTGGAGACGACAGCCGGGTGATAGCCGTTGATATAAGCTACAAAAAGAGGAAAAGAAGCAGTAACTTTCCGTTGATTCGTAAGTACATAAAATAAATTCATTAATATTAGTTTCCGCGAACTGCGTAATACCAGCAATTAAGTAGCAGCTGCATTAATTACCCTCAAAAAGATCTTCCACAACACAAACTCACGTCATATTATAACGATAAACAAACGATACCCTAAAGTGTTATATACTTTTATATTTTCAACAGTTATTATATCTTGATTATATCGTTACTAATATTAAAATTAATAATATTGTTGCGCTAATATTCCTTCAAAAATTAAACGCGATAAAGCAGAACGACCTTACATAAAACATCCTGGAGTTGCTCTCGGCCCAAGGCGTGCTTCAGACCGAACCGGTCGCCGGTGAACAACGCCAGCATGTTCTCCGTGGTGCCGAACAGCAGCTCAGCCAAGTTCACCGCGTCAATCCCCGGCCGGTTGGGGTGCAACTGCACTTTGAAGTTGTCCCAGATCGCTTTAGGTAGATAGGTGCGTGCTCCCGGGAAGAGGGTCACCGTGCCGGGCGTGCGACCGTTCCACACCTGGCGCAGGTTGTGTAAGATCTTTTTCTGGGCATCCGTACGCTCTATGGATCACAACACCGGTCGACAAAGAAAACACAATGGGCTGGCACTCAGCCTGAATAGACGGTTGTACGCCGTACGAGTAAGGGAAAGCGTGCCGGTACTTAGCACAAATTCGTAAACAAGTACTGCACTTTCGCACACTCCCAAACAATTTTTTGCGGAGTTTTACGGCATTCTGTATCCGAATAATTTGTGTGCAAAGGCGTGAAAACTGCACAAGTTTGCGCCGAGGATTTTATTTTGCCATATAATTCCCCAACTATATAGAAGCGGCTGCCGATCGAGGCGATAAAAAGTAAAACAATCTACTCGTACCGGCAGAGAAGTGAGTCCGTTTCTCGCGTCAATGGGTGTTTCTTCTGTTTTTTTTTTGTTCTGATGGATTCCTTTCACTTGAATGAATTATTTAGTGTTGTCAGTTTACAAAAAGTTTTCTGAAATTAATGGAGTCCTTTAGATTTAAATTCAAGCGTCGTGATTTAAAATCAAGGGGAATCGATTTTTTGTTTTCAGACGATGTTTTATGAAACATTCATAAGTAAGCTCAAGAAACTTTTTTTGAAAACTGAAAACGCCAATTAAATGACTCAAGTCACACGAAACAAAAAATCAAAAGGAACTCATCGGAGACACGATAAATCGAGTGTCTCACTTCTCTGCCTGTACGAGTAAATCTGAAAGGTCTGTGCACATGACAGATCTAAAGTCAAGAATTTATTGTTACACGACTGCGAAATCATGAAATTGTAGTGCAGGAATAAAGAAAAAAGAAAACAAGAACAACAATTATGTATGTACAGACTTGAAAGGTCACTGTATCGAAATCGTTAGCCACGGAGGATGAGGGCGTTACGGCTGTTTGCTGCGATTGCGGCGGTCAAATGCGATTATCTCTTGACTCTTCCAGTTATTCATGCCTGTCGTGATACTATCGCTTCTTGTAGATAACCCAACGGATTCCGCCCACGCTGCAAATAGTTCTTCGTAAATCCGTGAAGTAATAAACTGCTAAATGCAAGTTCCAGTTCGTATTTTGCAAGGTATTATTTTATTACCTTTTATGACGTCGATGAATGCACGACCAAAAATGCCCTGGACTCCAGATTTTCCCTTCTCTTGCTGATCGGTGAGTTTTTTCAGCTCTTCAACCCCTTGATAGGGCGTGTCATCCTCGAGAAACAGATACCGGCAGAGATCCGCCATATAGGAGCCCTCCGTTTTATCTCTTTTTCTGATGCTGGATTCCAGGAATTCCTTCTTGCCGATTTCGATGAAGATTCTAGTCCCCGGAAATCCTTGGATCAACAGAACTTTCTCGTCACCGTCGATCTCGAATGGGAAACGATATCCTAAAGCAAGCCTGGCTATTTACACCCAAAATGTATCAAGAAACGTTCCAACGCCAATTCAGATAAAAAGGAAGCTCGATTTCTAATACCTGCATGCACTGGCTCAAGAGGAAGGAATGCTCTGACAAACAGCGATTTTGTAATCCCTCAAAGCTGCTGTTCCCTACTTACCTATTTTTCCCTAATACGATCCGCTAAGAAAGGAAAGCACTAAAAGGGGTAAAGAGATCCTTGACGAAATTTGTCTGCCTACTGACTCCCGCCAGACTACAGCTAACTTGCTTGTGCCAAAATGGCAAACCGCTGCACTATATAGTATATAATTTATGCTTGAACCGAATTATGCTATTTTCGCATTAATGTCCGGCAAAGCAGCATGAGATTTTCGGTGAATTTGTATACGAATAAAAAAAAATACTTGAGATCGTTTTCCTTTTTGAAGACACAAAAGTCAAGTGTTCCGTCAGAGGATAATTTGGGAAAGTGGATAATTCGATCAGCCTCGATCGACTTAGCAAAACGGCGGATAACTTCGTAAGACGTCGGAGCAAACCGACTCACAAAGTGAAATTATTTAGACTCCTTACTGCTTAATCTGGCGGTACCATCACTTGGCTCCGATGTACTGGTGTGGTGTGGTGCGGGCTTCCGAGGTTTGACTGATGTACCTACAGTAAGCGGCAAATCGGACTTATTCAACATCACATGCAAACCATCACCTGTAGACTTAGTTTTGAGTCTCATTAATAAATCTCATTCACAAAATAATTTAAATGCAAAAATCTGCGTTATAAAGGTACAAAAATCCGAAACTGCATATACTAGAATAACAGTTTTGCGTCTCTAATGATTAATTTTACTGACAAAGATCATTACTGTCATCATAATCATAATTGTTGCCGACACCTAAAATCATCATAATTTAATAATAATTAGGATGAACAATTAAATATTCAGCAGAATTAGACAAAAAGCAGAAAACGAAATATCCATCGCCTTAGAAAACTGCACAAAATATACAACCACTGAACTAACCCGAAGCTGAACCGCTTCCACAATGTCCGCTGCCGTCTACGGGTTCGTTCACTTCCGGGCTATCAACAGCGCCGTCGCCAGTGTCTTAAAACGCAACCAGATACACAGTCACAAATATAACTGTATGGTAATAATGGTAAGATAGTTGTACGATAGTATGATAGGCTTTCAAAAATAATTGTACGATAGTTATCCGCACCGTCTGCTGTGGATGGACCAGGAAGTTCAGCATCGAAGCCCAGTGCGAATTCATCGTTATCTTCTACAAGAACAACACGGACATTAGCGGAGTACAAGAAACACAACAGCCACCAGCGATCTCGTACCATCAGCAACGGGGAGGCCGCCGGTATCATAATCACTCTCCATGGGAGTGTCCTCCTGCGATAGCGACGCATTGGCATGTCGGGAGGATGCTTCGGCATCCACAGCATCCGGTACGAAGAGGGCGTTGAGATCAATCGGCTGACGACGACCATGAACAGGCGCACTGCCCGTAGCATCGTTTTCCGCAGTGGTATGCGCAGATCTGTAAATGATAGGTTCCGTAACAGAAATACTAATCGGAAGATGTCGGAAGCAAAACGCAAATCAGCGCTACAATAAAAAACTTTAGCATGTTATGGGGGTACCTCGCTCTTGTTATCCGCGGCGCTGTTGTGGCACTGGCCTGTGTCTTCCGTTTTTCCTGCTGCCTCAATTTTTTGGGCGGAGTTTTTGAGCGTCCGGGCCAGTCGCCAGGCACACCGGGCAAGGCGCTGTCCGACTCCGAGTCCCACTGTGCATTCGCCGTTAGATCGCGCTTCTCTCTCTGTTTCATCTTCTTAGCCACTGGTTCCGCCACAAACATGTAGTTCTCCCCCGTATCCTCATCCCCCTCCGCAGTAGCCCGGTTCTCCTCTTTATCTTCTGCCAACTCTTCGTTTTCCTGCAGAATGCCCGCGTGCTCCAGCAGTTTCATGAGATCGTCCTCGTCGGCCAAGAATCGTTTTCCGATGATGGTTTTCACGTAACTGCCGCTCAGCAGCGTGTCCCCGATATACACTGAAGGGACTAGAAGCAGCTGCTGGTTCTCCTCGGCCTGGCAGATGCGCACGCTCTTGCACATGCGGGGCAGAATGCCGCGCAGATCCACCTGGAAGAAGACCACTGTCTCCGCTGAGTGGTCGATCGCTTTGCGCCAGTATGAAGGATTCGACTCCGGATCCACGCCGACCACTTTAACGAGATCTTTGTAGGACATGGCTGCGGGGGACGCTGGTACGATCTGGTTGAATTTGGTGGAGGCGCGGAGAACGGGACGGGCGCTTGTCACAGAGATTCCCGTTGGAAGCGACGAAGGAATTGCTCGCTGGCGTTTCATGGTACACGGTTACAGCCAAAGAATGGAGCAGATTTTCAAACGGTAATTTGCTACTACTGTGCGCACTATATGGAGTAACTTCTGTAATGGAATCCAAATGTACAATAAATTTTATAACACGGGCAATGATACGACCGTACCAGTACACGAGAAGTCAAAAAAAGTTGAAATCAAAATTTTCAAAACCAACAATAAAAATTCAGAAAGCGTTTGATTACAGTACGGGCTTGTCACAGCTTGTGAGTCTGACTGGCAGCGCAAAGCCTCAGACTCAGCTGCACGAGAAATCCAGGGTCGGAGATGATAGTAACCGCCAATCGGGGGCGGTTGCGTTTGGCGGTAATTGCATAAAACGGAATTTTTACGAATCCTCTGCTATGGTCGTCAGTCGTGTTTGTGCCATTCATCGGTTAAAATGTTAAAAATGCAAGGCTGAAACAATTCCCTAATTTATCGAACGGTGAATAAAATCAATATTATGACCAAGTTCGGGACAATATCAATACTTAACACAAGCAGCCACGTATAATTCCACAATTACTTAAATGAAATAAAGTTAATTACAGATACACCGTAATTCTGTTTTACGTTACTGTATCCTTTCTTCGAACACGAACAAGAATACTGACGAAGAAGCAGAGAAATGTTTTTAAAATATCCAGCTGCAGACTCAGTGCAGGGTACAAATGGATAGTGGAGACTGGCATGTGTGCAGAATGCAGATATCCTGTGTGATTACGCCTCTTCTTCACCGTTGTCAGTTTTCTGGCTTCTGCCGTGGCTGTTTCTTATAGCCAAAGCGGGCTCGATACTTGGACAGATGGGAACCGAGAGTCTGCCCGAAACTCCGCGGGACTGCTCCCGGGCACTGTTTATCCGACAATTTGGAAACGAAATCTACAAGCCGAAAATAAGAAGAACAATTTATTCAACAGGGCGATACATCCATCTGCTGGAGCGAATCTGTAGGCACTCACGTTGAATGGCCTGTACCATTCGCTTATGGCACTGCGTGAGTCCCCGCTGGTCATTCTGCGCCGCGCTGGCCAAGTACCGGTGCACTCCGTCCTCGCCGCCCAGCAGAAATACGGCCAGGTTGCCGGCCAGATTCGATTTGGATTTGGCGCGGGATATTATGGCTTTCAGATCGCTGGGATCGATGTACACGCCGCTGTAGGGCGCCAGTTCCCGTTTGCCGGCACGCTTGATCTGATACGGATATTTGTCTCCTTCAAACAAGAATTAATACTGTTTTATGTATAATATAAGCAGAAAAAGAAATCAAATCCGCAACAAAATGCGTTTTTATCCACATAAAATACGGGTACGGTAATGATCCGCATTGAAAGTTGGTCGGAGCAAGCATACCATTGTTCGTTGTAATCGGAAGCAAACCATACCAACTTCTGTGTATTCGTCACTTTCATCATGATTTTATTATGCAACAGCAATATACAATACAAACATATGCATGCCAAACTTCGAAAAGATTTACCAGCAGAATTTAAAGCAAGGAAGTCTTTTAAACAAAACATACACAAAAGGACAGGTAATCAGAAGTATGAGCACAAATCCAGCAACTCGTCATCCCATTTCGCCAGGTTCAGTTTCCTGCAAAAATGCCTGCTATTAATGCATGGATGTACTTAATAATAAATACAGCTTAAAAGCGATAATAAGATCCAACGTCAGAAGTTCGTTAAGGAAGGAAACAAAAACAGCATCCGAGAGACCTTGTAAGTTGTAACTAACTGTATGTGTATATCGTCAATTTTCTTAGCTAACTAACTGTAACTTTTTAAACTAACTGTATGTGTATATCGTCAATTTTCTTAGCTAACTAACTGTAACTTTTTAAACTAACTGTATGTGATTAGCGTCAATTTTCGTATCACCATTTTTAAAAAAACTGCATTCAAAAGTACACTGGCAATTTCGATCTTGTATAAAATCGGGGGTAAAATAGCTCAACCTAGCGCGTACCTATAATGCCACCCGCCGTCCCTACGCCAGCTGCTGGTGGCGCAGACCGTGGTTTTTCGTACCCGACCATCGGTCCAGCACCACGCGAACGGCGTTCTTCGCACCCTCGCGTTTTCCTTCCGGCAGCTGCTCCAGCGACGACGAGATCATGTGTCCAAACGCAGATTCGGTAGCTTCCGGTTGGCCTGGTGCTTGTATACTATACGAAACTGCCGCCTCAGAACGCTTGTCTCGAGGCTTTGTCGCGATAGAATCACTGGAAATGCCAGCCGAGGCATTAGCATCAGCCACAACGACATCCTTCGTCGCTCCAGGCACCAAAAACGGCTTAACAAACTGCATGGCGCGAGCGTGCGTCCATTCCGGAAACGGTGCTCCCCGCATGTCTTTTGGTGGGCGCTTGCAGGCGTGCCGGAAGCAATTAGACAAGGAATGCCATTTCTTTTTGCACTTATCCACGGACAACCCGGTACTTTCAGAAATCGTCTTCCAGGCTTTCACTTTCACTGGCAGTCTCCGGTATCTGGGATCGTTTCGGTGCCAAAGACAAGGATGAGCCCGAATAAGTCCAATCAAACTAGTTTCAAACTGAAGATCCTCGTCGGCATCCAAAGCTAACAGAATATTCGGATTGCTGGCCTGATGTGCGTTAACGAAATCCTCTAAAGAATTAAAGTTGTCGATGGCGCAATACCCGAGCACGTCAACGGAATTCTTAAGAAAGAAGAAGTGGATGCCAAGTACTCGAAATGGTCCCACAAAGCAGCTACTGCGCCATCGTGCAATACTTTCACTTGTTTTTTTTTAAACACAAACATTTTTTTTCGGAAAAATCACGAAGTACTGTACTTTATCACAAACTTTTTCTCAACTGCGGATGGGTTATTGGTTTCACTTAAATCTCGTTTCCTCATTCACCTTGTTCAAGTCCTGAAGTCTCCTCCACTTCCGCTCCAGCTCTGTTCACTTCAGGCTCGGGAAGAAAATCGGTTGTTTCTTCGCCAGATTCTACACAAAACAGTCGTGTTCACCGCGCGTTCAAAATTCAAGTACACCAGTTTCGTTGCATAAAGAATAATTACCCTCCATTTTGGATGAGCCGGGTATGTCGTCTCCCAACGGCAAATTATCGTCATCTGAAAAGTACAGAAATTCCAAAAAAATTTCGATGAGAAAGAAAATCGCCACTGACCATCGGCCACAGGTAAAGCATCATCATCGAAGTCGCCAGCCATGAGCGAGTCATCAGCCGGAAGCGCGTCGATTTTCTCCATCATGAGAAGCGGGGAGAGATCAACGGGCTGACGTCCGCCACTCACTGACGATTTTGGCTCCGCTGCTTTTTGGGAGACCGGCGCTGCGGTTGACGATCTGCGAAGAAAACCAAACCATAGTTGCACCACTTGAAAATGACTGAAATTCAACAGCCTCAAGGTAAACCCTCCTTGCACAAGATAACTACCAAAACAATGGGCAACCAGAATACTGCATAAGTGAAATTGCGCAAAAAGTGTTCGTATTACTATTACTATTACCCTGTAGTTTGTACTCCTGCCATACATAATAAAAGCACGCACCAAAACTTGCTTCTGTGATTTTACAAGGCGCAACTTTCATGCAAAACTGCAAAAATTTCAAAATCATAATCTACGGTTAGAAAAACAGTCCATATGCGTAAATATACGCAGTATCGAACTATGTCGTCAACAAAAAAATATTCGAATTTCTACCTTGTCGTGCGTCGTCCTGAAGACTGTGTAGATTCCAAAACAACTCGGGGTTTCTCCGCCACCCGCGCTCTTTTCGGCTCTGGTTCAGGCTCAAGTGGCTCATTCTCGCCTGCTTCATCTTCCCCATGGCCGCCGTCCCCATCTTCCGCGTTTTCCTCGAAGAATTCCCCGTCCTCCTGCAGAATGCCCGCGTGTTCGAGCAGCTTCATGAGATCGTCCTCGTCCGTTAAGAAGCGTTTTCCGATGATGGTCTTGACGTAAGTGGCGCTGAGCAGGCTCTCCCCGATGTACACCGACGGCACCAGCTTCTCCTCTTCCTGGCAGATGCGCACGCTCTTGCACATGCGCGGAGTGCTGCCGCGCAGATCCACTTGGAAGAAAACAACAGTCTCCGCTGAATGATCGATCGCTTTGCGCCACGACGACGGACTCGCCTCGCAATCCACACCCACCACCTTCACCAGCTCTTTGTACGACATGAATTCCGGGGCAACTATGTGGATCTGGTTCAGTCTAGTGGAGGGCCGAAGAACGGGTCTTGGTCGGGCAACTATTGGTATCGCTGACGTTCCAATACGCTGTCGTTTCATTTTTGAATGTTGTCCTGTTGTCCGGACGAAATCAAGAACCTGAATAGACTGCAGATTCAAGCCAGAGACTACGTGACCTAACACTTAAAGGAATATCCACAATAATTGATTGAAAAAACCCTTTTCAACTTTCACTTGGAAAAATAGAAGGCAAAGTCACAACTTCAAAAAGTCAGATCTGAAAAGTAAACGAAAATGAAATTCCAAGACTGTCTGCAGAAAATATTTACTTGCCTACCGACGTAGCTGACTGCTAGAGGGGGCACCATGCGTTTAAAACAACGCGCCATCTGCTCGACCGCCCTTGAGCACCGTCTGCTGATGGCAGCACTGTTTTTGGCGCTCCCCTGTTCACGGTTATGGTTTTTTCGGTTCGCAATTTCGCATCGGTACGAGAACTGGCTACCTGCCAGTTTGTACCTCGTAGCCAAAGCAGTTATGCAATGCCAACAACAAACAAACTTAAACCGGTAAACCAGATGAGAAATACGGCTGCGATTCTCCGTGAACTGCTTGATAAGAGGGCACGAGATGAGTAACAACGATATAAATCATAAGATCAATAAGATCAATGCCGTTTTTGGAAACGCCAACACACAGGACAATCCTGTGTAGTTAATTATTTATTGCGGCTATTTTGTATCGGCACTTGTGCTCAGATGCCTTTAAAGTTGCAGGTGCTGAGTGCTGACTATTTCTCAACGCGGTTTTTCCTCTCTAGATTGCTTTATAAACTTGTTATTATTGCATGTTATTGAAACTAAAGAAACAAATTCCGCAACCACGAAAATAACAATTAGAACAGTTATCAGTTACAAAATCGGCATCGGGCAAAATATTCCAGTGCGATCTCAAACAGTGCAGCCAAAATGCATGTTATAATACCATAAAAGATTTTCAACAGAGAAATAAACCAGAAATTTTCCATCAGCTCACTTCGCAGCTCCTTCAAACGTACGCAGCCGGTCAGAATAGCTCTTACGTAATTTCCCCTGGATCTTTTCCACATCCAGAGCCTCTGTCCATTTCGAGTCGGGATGCTTCCTGATCATGCAGCGCTGATACCATTTCACGTGATCTGTCAATTATCACAATATATAATTTGGCTAATCAACTGACACTGTTGCCCTAACAAAGAACGGTAAATTCTCGATTAACAGGAAAGCCAAAAAAACTCTCACTCCAAAATGCCACCCAGTTCTGTCTGCCTAAGACCTTGGCCAGCCCGACTCCTTTCTGCTTGTGTTTATGCGCAATGGCAATATTTTTATTATCCATGATGACTTTCATCAGCGCTTTGGCATATTTGGAAGCCTTTGTAATTCTGGCATCCGCTCTCAGCTCACCCAGCTTGACAGCGCTAACGTAAAGGTCACCTTCTGCATCCAGTTTCACGCAGCCGTACTTCTTGGCCTCTACGTCGGTCATCAAGAAAGTGAATGGGACAATGTTGACAGCTGCCGAATAAAACAGCATCTTAGAACATAGCAGACCTTTCGTGTATTTGAATTTTTTATTTCACCCATTTTCGGGTTATTCCTGGATAGCGGAACAGGCAATGTCGGTCTTTCGTTGTCCTCCAGATCTGTAAACCACAAAAAATACTTCATCAGTAACTCTCTACAGCTATTTTTGACGAAATTTTACGCTAAAAACTATAAGAGGATAATATCACGCATTATTAAAAAGGAGGTATATGTGTGTGCCTTTACATCGTAGAAATTGGGACTGTTTATCGAAAGGATTTAAACTACAATAACACAGCTACACAGTACACAGGCACTTATACAGTAATTAAATCGTGCGCCAGTACCATTTCTTACAAAACTAGATTTTAGCAAGTCGATGCCTCGGCTAGCTGGGAATCAACGATTTGAGTACTTAGTTCCCGTGACAAAGTTACATTTGCTGTTATGGTTTTCTCGGTTCGCAGCAGTCGTAAAAAAATTAGAACAGTAACCAAACTAAACACAAGAATACCACGGATACGCTGATCTCTTCGTAAACTGTTTAAAACAACAGGGAACAATACAGGAACAACGAATATACGTAATATTAATCATTAACATCAGTGCCGTTTATGGCTTCCAAACCAATAAAATTAAAAACTAAATTTGATCTTCTTCGTCGATTTCCTTGCCGTCCTGCTTCAACTTTTTAACCCACAAGTTCATTTTTTCAGTGAGAGAAGTGGGGAGGCTGGCCGGCATTTTGTGGACTCCAGTCCGGGCGGGATGACGCATAATGACTGCAAGATGACCTTTAGAACGGAAACACGGTCATAACGAGCGTTCTGTCAGGGAAATTCAGTCTAAAACGCCTAGCTGTCATTTAAGACTCAAGATCTACTTGAGATTTATGAATTAGAGATGCGTACTTTGTATCGCCTTGAAAAATTCAGTTCCCAGTATCTTTTCCTGTCCGCCGTAGCATTGCTTGTTTTTCGCAATCTTTGTCGCTTCTCTCTGCAGTTCGAAGAGGGACGCCAGCCGCCGTAAGCCGGCTTCCCCACCGATCATCCGCAGCATCAAGTACCAGATGTATTTAGTCAAAGTCAGGTCCGCGTATAAATAATTATCCAGCAAACGTTTATGGTCCAGGTCAACATACACCGCATAGTCGTCATGCAGTCGGCGCTTTGTACTCGGGTCGGGAATTTGGAAGTACCATGGTGCGGTGCGATCGAACAGAGCCACGCAGTTCAGAGGAACGAAAGAGGGGGTCTTCTTTAATACGTCCTTTTTCTTTGCCACGGTGATGCGGAAAAGATACGCGTACTTAGTTCCTACAAAACGGCAATCGCATAAATGACAGCTGAGGAATACGAGTTTTAACATGCATTAATTAAACGTTCGATAAACGAGTTTAAAGAACTATAAAAAGTTACCATAAAGCTCCATTAACGATGCATTTCCAAGAGCCTTCCTAATGTTATCCACATCGGCAGTATCGGCATTCTGGACGTGAACTGCAGTCAATACTGTAGTGATATTGTCAAAACAGAACAAGGAAGTTTTCAAAAATTAGTTCGATTAACTCTTCTAAATTTCTAATACGGTATATTGCAATCAATGCTGCACTAATCAAACCGCACAATTTAATTCGTACATACGATGGTATTGAATTACGTACTACCAGTAGTTTTCTGCCAATATAAACGCGAAATTCCTCATTTAATTTTCACTCTTTATGAGATGTGTTGTTTGTTTGGATATACGAAATTTCGTGCATAAAACGGTAGATAATAAATCAGAGATACTGTTTTTAACATGAAATACATTTGATCGTGCCAAACGTGGAAAATGATGGCAGTCAAAATCAGTGAATCTGACAGAAACCCATCTTTATTTACAACAACAAGTGTGCGAATACATTTCAGGGAGTACAGTACATAACTGTGAAGCGCCAAACAATTACAGCGCTTTCGGGCAAAACGAACAGTAAGAAGATCGACCATCACTCGGAAGTGCAGCTTGCCTTTTCCATTTCGTCAGGCACACACATCCCTGCAGCATTAAAGCCAGAATATGACACAAGGTTAGTTAAGGAAATAAAAACAGCATCGGAGTAAGTTATCGTCTAACTGTTTGTAATTATCGTCCAGAAAATTTTTTAAAAAAACTTTAAAAAAAACTGCAATAAAAAAAATTGCAATAAAAATTACACAAGTAATTTAAATTTGCCATAGAAAATCAAGAATAAAACAGCTGAACTTAGCGTACCTAATACCAACCGCCGTTCGTTCGCAAGCGGCTGGTGGCGCAGAACCGCGGGTATTGGTACTGGACAACCGGTCCAGCGCCACGCAAACGGCATTCTTCGCCTCTTCCCGTTTCCCTTCCGGCAGTTGCTCCAGACACGAAGAGATCATCTGTCCAAACGCAGATTCGGCCGCTTCCTGTTGGCCCGGTGGTTCTACACTATTCGAAGGCTGTGTCTTAACGGAAGCAGCCACAACACCGCCTTTCTTCTTGCGTGACGTCAGAAAAGGCTTCAGAAAGCGCATGGCGCGCGTATGCTTCCATATCGGAATGGGCTCTTGGGAAGCGTCAGTAGGTAGCCGTTTGACTGCACGACGGAAGCTACAGTACAAGGTCTGCCATTTCCTTTTGCAGTTATCCACGGGAAGCCCAGTGCTTCCGGAAATCGTCTGCCAGGCGTCTACCCTCACCGGCAGTAACGGGTAACCGGGATCGGTCCGGCACCACAGACAAGGATGCGCCCGAACAAGGTCAATCAGAGCAGCTTCGTCAATATCATCGGCGGCATCCGAAACATTCCGGTTTCGCGGCCGATGATCGCTAACGAAATCCTCTAAAGAATTATAGTTCTCGAAGGGCTAAACCCGAGCACGACAACGGTCAAGTGACACTCCACGTGCTCGAAATTGAATGCAACAGTGGCTGCGTAAATTTTTTTAATGTTCGGATCATTTCACAAACTGTACGCAATATCATTCGACTAGAAAATCTGGAAAAATTTAACGATTTCCCAGAAAAGGCTGCCTGCCTAATTTTCCTACCTGGATCAAGCCCGGAAGTCTCCTCCATTTCCGCTCCGCCTCGGTTCGACCCAGCGTCAGGAAGCACGTCAGTCATTTCTTCGCCGGATTCTACAAAAATGATCGTGTTCATCTCGCTTTCAGTTATACATGTTCCCTTCGTAGACAAATACCCTCCATTTTGGATGAGCCCTGCATGCCGCATACCAACGGAAAATTGTCAACATCTGATAAGTACAGAGAATCAAAATAAATTTTGTTGACGAACAAACTCCCCACTGACCATCGGCCGCAGGCAAATCCTCATCATCGAAGTCGGCAGCCATGAGAGAGTCATCTACCGGAAGCGACACTTGCCGAACTCGACTGCTGGAGGGCAACATGCTGTTTGGTTTGTCCAGCAGGAGAAGAGGGGAGAGATCAACAGGCTGGCGCCCACCACTGGCTGACAATGAAGGTTCGGCTGTTATTTGGGAAATCAGCGCTGTGGCTGAAGATCTGCAGAAAACCCATAAACACTTGATATAAACTTCGCTTTCACAGAAACGGGCTGCATACGAAAATTAGCATGCAAAATTATTAAGTCATCTTTTATTACACAAGAAATCAACTATTAACAAACGAATATTTCACAAACGAAGCATCCGACAAAATGCACTCGCTATATTCTTTGCTCACGCTATGAAAATAAAGCACGTTCGGCACTGACGAGCCATGCTCAAGCCAAGCACAATTTCATCAAAAAGCTCGAACGCTAAAAATCCCAGCACCATTTCCCCAGCCAGCGTGCATTTACGGTGCTGGGTTCATGTCTTGTACAACTGAGTTGCACTTGCATAGTTGCATTCTGCTCGACAACAGCAACGTAACAGTACCGCATTCAAACTCTTACCTGGTTATTCTTCGTCCTGAAGACAGCGCAGATTCCACAACAACCTGTTCTTTTTCCGCCACGCGCGCTCTTTTCGGTTCAGGCTCAAATGGATCATTTTCGCCTCCTTCTTCTGCGCCATGGCCGCCGTCCCCATCTTCGGCGTTTTCCTCGAAGAATTCCCCGTCCTCGTGCAGAATGCCCGCGTGTTCGAGCAGTTTCATGAGATCGTCCTCGTCCGTCAAGAAGCGCTTTCCGATGATGGTTTTGACGTAAGTGGCGCTTAGCAGGCTCTCCCCGATGTACACCGACGGCACCAGCTTCTCCTCTTCCTGACAGATGCGGACGCTCTTGCACATGCGCGGCAGCACGCCGCGCAGATCCACTTGGAAGAAGACAACGGTCTCCGCCGAGTGATCGATCGCTTTCCGCCACGACGAGGGGCTCGCCTCGCAATCCACGCCAACCACTTTCACTAACTCCTTGTACGACATGCACTCCGAAGCAGTAACCTGCATCCGATTCAGTTTCGTAGAGGAGCGGAGAACGGGTCTCGCTCTAGCAACAACTGGTATCGCCGAAATTCCAATTCGCTGTCGTTTCATGTTGATCGTCGTCTAGCAGCTTTTGTCCGGATGGGATTAAAAATCACTGTAGATTCCAACTACTTATTCTAACGCTGTTAGTGAATACCGAAAATAACGTACTTAAAAGACCCCTTTAAACTGCAAACAAAAAGAAAACGAAGTAAAAAGTTGTGAAAACATCGCAAAAAACGAAAATTTGGAGAGTGGAGAAGTAAAGCTGGAAGTTTGAAAAAACCTGCACTTGCAACTGCAGAAATTTCATCGACGTAGCTGATTGCTGAAGGGGGGCACAATGCTACTGGCACATAGGTTTTTTACAACCGCCCGCGAACGCGATATATCGATTGGGGATGCCTACGGTAGTTTGGCGCTGTAATAATTGTGCTTTTGTTTGTTCTGCGATGTTTAAATTTCAAATTACGAAATAGTGCCACCATGATTGTACCTTTATTCTTGTTACTTTGGTGCTGCTATATAATAAAATTACCGCAGTCTGCTTTTCTGCGGCTGCTATGCTTGCAGTACTGCATATTACGACGAAAGAGAGGAGTAAATCAACAGCAAGGTTTCCGAAAAAATTATAACATGGATCCAGTTATTATCGGGAAACACAAATGTAATTACGTGAACTGTGAACAAATTGCCATTCGCAATCGACAAGGGACAAACAAAATACAACTAACAGAGGCAAAAAGGAGTGAACGTGTTACGCAGCGATTTCGCGTTGACTAGGAGATCACCACGGAAGATTATGTTTCTTGGCGTAGGCCTTGATGTGATAATCCTTCCAGGCGTTAAAAGCCGCAGTCACCATACCACCCTTAAACCCCTCTTCGCGGCCTTTCACGTGAGCGGCAGTGAAATAGGCTGTAAGGAAATTTTACTAATAAATATATTTCCGTCGTCGTTCCAGCAGAACTTACATTCAGCCGCTAAAATAAATTCGTCGCCCAGGAGGGCCTTAATCCCGGGCTGTTGTTTGTCGTTTTCCGCGAGAAACTGCGCCCGTTTCTCGTACAGCAGTCGCAGGCCATCGCCTTTGTAGTCGGAGGTTCCTTGGATGAGGTAGGCAAGCAGCTGCTTCAGCCATTTGCCGGGTTCGAAATCGCGACCGGACGTGACTAGCCGGTCATGGAGAACTTTCTCGATCCAGATCGGTTTACCAGGCAGATTGGGCACCAGTTCTACTTTCTTCTTTTCGGTCCCCTTAATTTCGTAAGGAAACAGTGTAGCGTGATCTGCAAGAACCAGAAATGTAAAAACTATTAAGTGCGATAAAAAAAGTGCCTTCAGCGGCGTCAGAACTTTTCCGAGCTTTATCAGCTATTCAGCAGCCATAAAAACCGAAAAATATTCACGAAATTAATATGGAAAAGCATCCTACGTTTGTGATTTTTCAATAAATACGAACACTAGCATTAACCGATACGTAAGCCAAAAACCTTTACTACTCTAGAATTTGTAATACTGTTTTCTAAAATGCGACCGACAGTGGTCCGACACTATAGGCGTTTCCATTTCCTAACGCATACTCTCATAGTCAGTCAGATACACAGTATATCGGTGGAAAACGGCTTGTTCCAAATCGCCTGTCGGACGTGTATAAGTTTTCAATTTTTAACCTATTATTTCACAAAATGAGAAAGGGAAAATCGGGGATAGATACAATCATACAAAGAACATCTGGGATGTATGGCGATCATCCGAACATATGCATTTGTTCTCTTTCGAAACAGTGCGATTTGTCATACTGTGACTCATACATATAGACTGATATAGTGCAGAATAATCCGAAATTCAATAAATATTGTACGTAAGAAAGACTGCCCTCAATCACCTTGAACAGGGTCAGAACTATCATCCCTTTCCGTTTCCTTTCTGCTTAACGGACTCTGGGGACTGTTGGCTGCTCCACAATCAGCCTCTAAACAGTCAAGACTTCAGCAATATCTGACAGTAATGTGCCTCTAAAATGTGCCCATTACACACCAGATTCCATGTCGGAAGAGTGGCCCATGTCGCATCCCAGTGGCAAATTGTCCTCATTCACTGTAATACACAGTACACCGATGAGTCAAAAAACAATAATTCTGATCAGTAGAGCAATCGCAGGCCTTACCGTCAGCACCAGGCGAGCCATCATCATCGACATCGGTAACCATAGCAGTATCGTCTTCCGGCAGTGAGACCTTCTCAACACCGGACGACAACAGGCCGCCGGTGTTGCCGAGCATGAGAAGCGGGGAGAGATCAACAGGTTGGCGTCCGCCATTCACTGGCAATTTCCGCTCGGCTGCTTTTAGTGAGACTGTGGCTGCTGCTGCTGAAGATCTGGAAAAAGTAAAATGCGCATGAAAACAAATAATCACGTCCACATCCCACCGACTTCTCCACAGCTTCATCTGCACTGAACAATAACAGCATATCAAGTTCATAAATAAAAATGAATAATCTGCCGAAAAATATTCGCAGTGCTATACATGCTTGGCAAAAGGTACTGCAAAAAAGAACGAATAACAATGTCTTTAGCTTTTTGGAAGGGGGGTGCGCAAAACCTCGCGCCAGCAGGGGGTTGCGCAAAACCTCGCGCCAGTTGGGAAATGGCCGAAAATTTCAGGAAAAACGTAGAAAAGTGGCTAAAAAAAGCCACTTTTCTACGCTTTTCTTCTATTGTAATTTTCGTTGCGCCAGCGCCAGTCGCATTTTCTTGCGCCAGCGCCAGCTCCCGGCACACCTTTTTCCCGTTTTCTCCCTCCGGGAGAGGGGGAGGGGCGCGCGCCAGTGCCCCCCCCTTAAAGACGGGCCTGACAATGTCAATTAGACAATTACAGAGAAAATAACAAATACCGCTTTTTCCTTTCATTAATCCACACAAGATGATACAAGCACGGCGGGGCATATTACTGTACCTATAGTTATAACCTAAATACAGTGCTCGCAGATACTCATGTATGATGTATCGCAAACCCGTACTATATTTAGCAATCAAATTTTTCCATGAGTAACAGCCCATTCAAATTCTAACCTGGTTGTTCTTCGTCGGCCCGAAGACTGCGCGGGTTCCATCACAACTTGTCGTTTTTCCGCCACTCGCGCTCTTTTCGGGTCTGGTCCAGGCTCATTTGGCTCATTCTCGCCTGCTTCATCTTCACCATGGTCGCCGTCCCCATCTTCCGCGTTTTCTTCGAAAAATTCCGCGTCCTCGTGCAGAATGCCCGCGTGCTCGAGTAGTTTCATGAGATCGTCCTCGTCCGTCAAGAAGCGCTTTCCGATGATGGTTTGGACGTAAGTGGCGCTGAGCAGGCTCTCCCCGATGTACACCGAGGGCACCAGACGCATCTGATGGTTCTCCTCCTCTTGACAGATGCGCACGCTCTTACACATTTTTGGCACCGTGCCGCGCAGATCCACTTGGAAGAAGACAACTGTCTCCGCCGAGTGATCGATCGCTTTGCGCCAATATAAAGGATTTGATTCCGGATCCACTCCGACCACCTTCACCAGCTCTCTGTACGACATTGACTCCGGAGCAGCTACTTGAATCCGGTTGAGTTTCGTGGACGGCTTAAGAACGGGCCTCGCTTTGGGAGCTACTGGTATTGCCGAAGAAGTTCCAATTCGTTGTCGCTTCATTTTGGTCGTCCGACTGTACGGATAGGAAATAGTCACGTAGATGTTGCTCCTTGTTACTCTTAGAGTCTTGACACTAATGATGCACAGAAATATTTAAAAAGAACCAGAAAATCAAAACTCAGCGAATGATTAAAGTGCAAAAACAATTTGGAATGCAAAGACAAAAGTTTTGTCACAAAACTGTCACAAAAGTCACAAAACTGCAAATAGCTCAACAGCTGCAAAAGTTGCACCGCTGCGTTCATGTCGTTTGCACAACCGCCCCCAAATACGGTGGACGCCTGAACCGAGCTCCCAAGTACCTACGTACAGTGCGAGTCATTCTCAAAGTCAGTTGTTTCTGTAGGTCTCACTGCGAGTGTTTTTGTTTTGATTTGTAATAATTTGTGTACATTTTAAAACCATTGGTTGTGATTTTTGAATTGTGAGTTTTGATCGTTATTAGTGCTTACTTACTTTTTAGCAGTTGACTCGGTTGAGTTATTATCGGGAGATGCACAAACAACGGATTTCCAAGGCGCCTGCAAGGCCAGCCAGAACATCGGTGCTGACTTCCATCAAGACCATCGCTACCCGATCGACGCTGAGACCGTCCACCCGATTCAACCAGATGCAGCCGATCGCCATTCCCAGCATGTCATACAAAGACCTGATCAAAGTGGTCGGCGTGGATCCGGAGTCGAATTCTTCATACTGGCGCAAAGCGATCGATCACTCGGCGGAGACAGTGGTCTTCTTCCAGGTGGATCTGCGCGGCACGCTGCCCCGCATGTGCAAGAGCGTCCGCATCTGCCAGGAAGAAGAGAATGCCTGCATCCGTCTGGTGCCGTCGGTGTACATTGGAGAGACGATGCTCAGTCCCGCGTACATCAAAACCATCATCGGACGGCAGTATTTGGACGATGAGGATGATCTGATGAAACTGCTGGAGCACGCGGGAATCCTCGAAGTGGAGGCAGTGAGTGAAGACCTGGAGGAAGAAAGGGGGTGTGATGAGGATGAGGCAGCCGCGGAAGAAGAGGAATATACGCCCTCCGCAAAGAGAAGGAAATGTGCGACGCAAGTTCAGACGCTGACAGTACCGCGACCAGATCCGGTTGTCAGTAAAAGCAGGTACCGCTCAGATTTTTTCTGTACTTTTTCCTATAATTTCTAATATTCCTGTGTATTTTTTTAAAATTTTTTCTGTTCTCCCGTATTTTTCCCTTTAATTTTCTTGTAATCGGTGTATTGTTTCTCTGTAATCAGTAATATTTCATATTTTTCTGTATTCCTGTTCCCATAATTTGTATTTTGTTATCTAATTTAAACGAATTGATTTTATGATAGCTTTTTACATAATTAAAAGAGTACTATCAGTGACGGTATTTAGCTCCTTATGAAATATGAAAGTACATCTTTGCGCTTTAGAGCTGCTTATTAAAATGTAAAAGCGAAAAATGTTTTAAAATGTTTGATTATATTTAAAAACGTTTAAAATATTAAAAAATGTTAAAAAAAAGTTTTATAATGTTTAACAGCAAAATGTATTTTACCTTCGGTATTACAGACAAGCAGCAAGTAACTTTTCCCTGATTATGTAGAAGCGCGTTTTCGGAACGCTGTTATGATTTTCTAGACCGCAGGTTGTGTATCCATCAGGGAAGATCTCCAACGTGTACAGCAGTACAGTTAATCGTAAAGTTCACCAGTCGCGGGATGCCTCCGGAGATCTCCCAGGCCAGGGTGCGGCAATTAAACTGCCGTCCTCCGGCATTCCGCGGTCTTCTTCGCCGGAACACGACGCAATGGATACTGATGTGGACTTTGATGAACTCTCCGATGGTGGTAAGAATGCGGTCAGTTCGAAATTTTTCTGCATGATTATCGCGGTTTTTAATGCCTCCGCTCTCCCCTTAAGAAAATCCGCTGACACCAGCTGGCAACGAATGCTCCCTGGAATCAACGGAATGCAGTGTTCCTGGATCATCCAAACCTTACGGTGCGTCCGCGATAACCTGTTTCGGCGATAAAAATAACAATGTGCTTGAACCGGTCTTGACTGATTTTTAAAGATATTGTTATTTTGTGCAGAGTCCAATGGAAAACAAGTGCGTACAACGGATACCATGCAGGACGGAACAGATGAGGAAGGCGATTTAGGCAAGAAATCAGGTTGGAATGTTTTGAAAGACGGTGATTGCGTGTTATATGCACAAATTTATTTAACTGTCTACCCGGCACGATACAAAAACTCGTACTCGTAGAAGTCGTGGTGAATTACAACAATCCAGTTAGAACTTCGAATAAATGTTTTATTATACAATTTTTTAACTGAGAATTAGTATCTGTAGTAGAATGTTGCGGTGAGTGTTAGAATAAAAGTGGTTTGTTTTATTACTATCTCTGTCGTTGCAAACACAAAGAAATTTACGTTGTTTATTAAAACACGCACAGTTTTTACGCCTCTTCCTAACTATAAAGCGATTTGAAATGGGTGTAGCTGCTTCGAGAAACTTCCGATAATTACTTTTCCGAAAGCTGTTACCCTTTTGCAGTTTTGCTTAAAAAACCAAGGAATCCAACCCAATCTACCGGCAGCGAAACCGCCATTTGGTTTTCCCATGACGAAGTGGGTGTGTTGATTGACACCGTGGCAACCCTCCCCGTTCTGTGGAGCGGTGAAGTGACCGTGCCGGGCCGCCCAGCGGACGTCAAACAGCGTGCCTGGGATACCGTGGCGGCTGCCGTCAACCGCGTCGCCGTGGAGAACGGCGAGCCCATCAAGAGCGGTCTTCAGTGTCAGAAAAAGTGGCGGATTGTACTGAGTGTTTTCCTGCGGATCGTGCGGACCCATGGGAAGGCCGGCAAGGTCATCACCACCTGGGTGTGGGCTCCCAAGATGATGTTCGTCCTCTCGGAGTCCAGTTTGTATTTGAAGAACGTACAAGAGCATCTGTGGAAGGAGTGAATTACTACATGCGTCCATGATTATTCTCTTTGATTTCTGTTCTTTGTTCATGAATTTTGGTAGTTACTTCTGTTGGCATAGCGTTGTTTGTTCATGTAAATAGTACTAAATACCAAACATTTTCAGAGATTATCGGTATACTACGGGCACAATACCGTGTATTATGAATCTCGTAGTAAATCGAACAAGTTTACTGCCCTTCGTTATGCGTAATTGCACACACCTGCCGTCTTTAAAATACATTTTTGCGGACGTTATTCCAAATACTTTTCCGAGTTGCCAAGAACAGAACCAGGTATGAGATAATGCGACTATGAAAGCAAAATATATTCATAATCCATGTGAGAATCATAGCAGTTTCAACTGCCAAAAAAGAGCAAAATACTGCATTCGTTGAATAATCGTGTTCCCTTGCTCCATATATGTCCGGCAGCGTGGAAATTATGCAAACAGGAAAAAAGCGCAGCCGGAGACTATGCCCCATTCAAAAGATTTTTCCATGGTTGACGAATCAAGACATCCTTTCAAGCCACCGACTTTTAGCAGCACAAGAATCCTTTGCAACCAGAATTGGCATCTTGGCAGATTTGGCTTTATTGGACTCCTTTATTGCATTTTTGATACGCCATGAGGCGAACCGCGACGCCAGATGGGTACTCAAGGAACATTTTAATTTCTTCTTTGGCATTGCACTTTCCAGATGACCTATCGGAAATTGTCCAAGTAAGGTTAATTTTCTCCAAAAAGGTATTTATTACAAATGTATATACAATACATGCCAAACTGTGGATACGTTACAGCTTATGGTTAGTCGTAATATTTTATGACAGTAATCAATGGAACATGTACACGTTCTTTTGATACGGACAATTTTACAAACAATTACTTGGTATTGCAGCTTACGTTCTAAAGATTCCAGAAACTTCTTGCCAAGCAAATACACGATTTGCCGTTGCTGTCTGGCATGCCACAAGGATTCCAGCCGGTTCATGCCCTTTATGCCGCCCACCAACGTGTAGAACATGCTCCACGAGTAGAAGTCGATATTGTTGGTATGATTTTTGTACCACGGCAGAACAGCCTCTTCAACGTACACATCCGGCACATCCGGATGCAGGAGAATCTTTCCCGGACCGGGCTGCGAGAAATACCATTTTCCTGATTTGTCACCCAACCGCACGAGTTCCGGTGGAACAGTATACAACGGTTCCTTGACGCATTTGGCATCAGTACCCGTTTCGTCTTCTTCGCCTGGAATTATGTACAAACATAATTATATGTGCGTATGTGGTTGAAAATGGTTTCATCAAATCTATGCATTTTTAAGAAAAGACAAAGTTAACAGCCACCAACGAAATGCAGCAGGGTGATTTTATTTCGCAATCCCATGTCGTCAACCGGAAAAGTATTTTCAAGGACATATTAGCAAACAAATAATCTCGAATGCAAAATGAATTGTGCACATTATAGCACCCACATAACTTTAGCTTAAAACAGCAGAGACCAGAACTTCGTTTCCTCATATTAGTAATAGAGTCAAATAAAAACAGCAGTAAGCGGCAGTAGTCAATGTCGCGAAATGTGTACAAAAATACGCTCAAAAATAATATTATAACTATGTATTGCATAATTTTCCGCCTACATCACCGTAAAACGGGATGTCAATCCGGTGCAGCTTGTAGCACAAGCCTCTCGCCGGTTCGAGAGCGCACCACCGGTAAGACGAACAGCATTTTCGCGGTCCACTGCCATTTCGTCGTTAACTGTCCGTCGTCGTTCTGGTGCTTGACAATCCGGCCGAACGTCCGCATCAAATTTCTCCACTTTTTATAGCACTCGTCCCCGGTTTTCACGGGAGCTCCGTCCAATCTCGCTGTGCTAACCACCGCGGCCACCTGCTGCCAGCCGCGCTGTCGCGCCTGGGCCCCCTGCACCCCAGTGGGGCCGGCTTTCATCTCGCCCGTGGTGCGCCACAGCAGCGGATTGGCCTGCACTTGGTCCAGTAATACACTGATTTCATCGGAGCAGAAGCCCAGTGCATCCGGCATCCGCGAGGAAATGAGGCGAGCCATGCGTATCTGTCCGTCTGTCGTTAAAAGGAGAGAAACGCTAGGCGCAGACTCAATGGAAACTCATCGTCTTTTGCGTGAATACTGCTCAAACGCATATACGCGAAAAACAGGGACTCCACAACAACCAGAAGCACCGAAATATTGTGCCCAGAAAATTGTATCAAATGTTTACCAAATTTATTAAACTTTTTATTTAGTGTTGGGACTCACCAGACTACGATTACTGTCCTACAATCAATTATTCTTTTTGCTATTCGCAAAAGGGACTAGCTTACTTTTAGATAAATTTAGACACTTATTCGCGGAGATTTGCCTACAAATATTCACTTTTCCCAAGACACTGTTTATAAATCTTTGCTTTGCTGTTAGATAAAAATGTGAATCCCTCCATAAAGAACTGCCACGCTAAAAGTACGGACTGACGCATCACATTATTCTATCAGGCACAACGCACGCACATAATAAGTTCTCGAAAAACGCTGTACCACTAATCCCACTATGTACATAATTGTATGTGCGTATGTGGTGGAAAATGGTTTCATCAAATCTATGCATACCTGAATTATTTGCCGGATTATCTTCGACGGCCGGGTGCGGCTGGCTATGTCGAATAGGCGGCATTTTCCCGGTAGGACCATCCGCGTTTTCTACAAAAACAGTGGGGGAGACTGTCGCATTATTCTCGATTTATATAAAAGTAAACGATCGAATATACCGAGCGATGCGGATGGTCCGGGAACATCGTCTCCCAATGGTAAATCATCCTCATAATCAGCGGCTATGAAACACACAATCAGCAAAATCACTGTTGAAGGATGTCTGGAAAACAATAGCCTCACCATCGTCAACAGGAAGGACGCTCATTTCGAAGTCTGTTTCGTCCGGAACATCCTCCGGAACTCCCGTCTCTATAGGAGCTTTAACGCTGTTGTCCATTGGAAAAAGTGGCGCGAGATCCCGGGTATGGCGACCGCCCGTATTACCGAGATCCGTGTTTCGATGATCAGGCGTTGCGAGAGTCACCGTGCGATGGGAAGTCGGACGGCGATCGTGGGATCTGCAAAGTGCGAACCGAATAAGAATTACGTACTTACTGCTCAATGTCAAAACATGCAGTCGATTAACTATATATATGCTGTAAAATGTACAAATCACATTTCCGCATCAGATGGCCCCTGTGCACCAGTTCGTCATTGCACAATCGCGAAATTCCCTGATCCACGGGGATCAAAGGGAATTATCGCTTCGGAGTGCACGTTATCATCACAGCGGAGAGACGCACGATCACGAGCATTTGTAGAATCACAAGCACCACCGCCAGTGCAAATTAGTTTCAAGAAAGACTAACATCCTGCTTGCTGCTACGGTCATTAAAAATCGCATTCATGGCATGGAAAGAAATAAAAATTGAATAAGTACATTATTATTTCTATTAGCAATAAAAGAACACAAATACCAACTAATCAGAACCATCCTCCCGTTCTTCACTATACCGGAATACATGAAACGTACTTAGTACTACTTACTTACATGATTCGTGTGGTTCGTGGTGCCTGCAGTTTCTCGCCAAATCTAACTCGTTTTGGCACAGGCTCCGGACTACCAGCATCATCCTCCCTTTCTTCACTATACGAATCACCATCCGCGTTCTCCTCATCCTGTTCCTCCACAACCGGTTCCTGATTTTCCTTCAACACTCCCGCATGCTCCAGCAACTTCATCAGATCGTCCTCGTCCGCTAGATATCGCCTGCCGATGATTGTCTTCACGTAATCTCCACTGAGTAGCGTCTCCCCAATGTACACGCGCGGGATCAGGCGCTGCCTGTCCCCTGCCTCCTGGCAGATGCGGACGCTCTTGCACATGCGGGGCAGTGTGCCGCGCAGATCCACCTGGAAGAAGACCACCGTCTCCGCCGAGTGATCGATCGCTTTGCGCCAGTATAAAGGATTCGACTCAGGATCCACGCCGACCACTCTAATCAGGTCTTTGTATGATAGAGCTGCGGGCGTTGTTGGCACAATCTGGTTGAAACGAGTGGAGGATCGGAGAACGGGTCGTGTGTTGGTCACAGGCACAGCGATACCTGTCGAAGGAATCGGTCGATGTCGTTTCATGATGCTAACAACAACAACAGCTAACAACTCCCCTTCCTACACTGCTGAACAAACGAACAAGTTTTCAACACGGTAGTAACTTGGTAATACCGAACAAACGTGCAATCTAAAAACACTTTTGATTTTAAAAGAAAACACAATAACAGTTAGAAAAAATTTTGTAAAATTGTAAAAATCGTTGAACTGAGTTTCTAGAGTGGCGTACGACAAAAACGCAATATGCTTGTCCTGTGAGCAACCGCCGCGTGAAGGCAGCCAGTAGGCACTCACGTTCACGTTCACTGTCTCGTAACGTAGTAGAGAATTGGCCGCTCGTAACATTTCCGGTGGTATAAAACATTATTTAATTAACCATGAAAAAGGTAGAGTTGGCATTGATTCCTGTGCGCGATGGTAAGGCCGATGTGTGAGACTGGGGCTGTAGCCGCGCCAGCTCTAACCGGTAAGAAAAGCTGGTAGTGTTGCATACTAATGCAACTACTGCACACTGCACAGCTAGCCGAAGACAGCAAGCGCCGGATCGGAAGTAAGTATGCATCGTCGAGAATTTGTGTTACTTGTTTTAACTTTTACCCACTGGCAGTTGAGACGTTGGGAACATTAATTTTGGAACATTCTTTGAAGAGTTGATACGTTGCGTCGACCGGGAGATCGTTGAAATAACCCGAGAACCTTGATCAACGGTCTTCTTGACGCAACGTACGCCTGAGTTCGGCGTAGTCAGAGGAAATGCAGCAGCTGTTTTTCGTTCTTGGAATGCAAGACCTACCCGGGTAGGACTTCGAACGATGCAAAGCACTACTTAATTTAACCGGCATTTTATTTCGATCAATAATTTTTTGAGAGCTGAAATTCGTTTCTTATCAGTGATAAAATCAAATAAAAATAGTAGAATCAACATGACAGCAGGAGTAGTAAATGCGGCGAAATGTGCATCAACTAAAGCTCAATCACGATATAATTATACACTGCAGAAGCATTCGCTGTCATCCACCATATAACGACTGACGGGATGTCAGTCCGGTCCAGATTCCAGCGCTAGTCTCTCTCCTGATTTAAAGCGCAGGAACGGTAAGACGAAGAGCATCCTGGTGGTCCACTGCCACGTGGTCGACAGCTCTCCGTCTTCGTTCTTCTGCTTAACAACCCGACCGAAAGTGGCCACCATATTTCTCCACTTTCTATAACACTCGTCGCCGGTTTTAACGGGAGCGCCACTCAATCGCGCTGTGCTGACCACATTAGCCAACTGCTGCCAGCGACGCTGCCGCTCCTTCCTCCCCCTTCACCCCACGGGGTCCCGTTTTCATCTCGCCCACCGTGCGCCACAACATGGGATTGGCCTCCACTTGGTCAATCAATACACTGATTTCATCCGAACAAAACATCCGGGGCGCATACGACCCCCGGGAGGAGATGCGGCGGCCGGGGCGGACGTCTGCGGTTAGAAAGAAGAAACGCTGGGCGTGGCTGAATAATAAATGCTTTTCTGCGTACACACTACATTACTTTACACATACTCCACATATTCGGGGCAAAAACAGACTACGTAGCAAAATATTGTTTACCCAAACCGTATTAAACATTTCGTTCCAATTTAAATTATTTTTTAATCAATGTTGGACAGTAAATTCCCTACCGGTTTATTTATTTTTACCTAGTTCTTAAATCCTGGACACTTCTACGCAAACTTCTGCTTTTACATAGGCACAAGGTGTGTTAATTACTAAACGCATTTAATAAATACTTTGAAATGAACAACGTTAATTCGAATTCTTTCCGAAATAACTTTTTTTACTGTTCAACTGAACTTTTTCATCAACCATAAAAAATGCCACGCGAGAAGTAGTGATGCAGCACGTGAAAGCCATAAATTCCCCAAAACCATTTTTTATACCTGAACTATCTGCAGGATTATCCTCGGCTGCAGGTCGTATCTTAACACGAGGCCGTTTCCCGGTAGATTCATCCGTGTTTTCTGCAGAACAAGACAGCATTGGTCTTGCCGCACTAGCCCCGGTTTGACGAAAACACAAATATATACCGTGCGGTGTAGATGGTCCGGGAGCATCATCTCCCGATGGTAAATCATCATCCTCATCACTACCACCTCCTGCTGTACACCACACAACTATTTCCACGCGGCGCCTGGTTGCCGAAGAATTCGCTTACCATTATCCACAGGGAGACCGCTCATTTCGAAGTCTGTTTCGTCCGGAACATCCTCCGCAACTGCCGTCTCTATAGGAGCTTTAACGATTTTGTCCACTGGAATAAGTGGCGAGAGATCCAGGGTATGGCGGCCGCCCAAGCTACTGCGATCATCGTCTGCCTGATCGGGCATTTCCAGGGTAAACGGCTGATGGGAAGTCGGTCGTTGAGATCTGCAATGGAATAGTAGAAAATTTACTGTCCACTTTGTAATATCAAATCCATTACAGTAATAATAAACCTGCTATAAAATTTATAAACCACATTCCGCATCAGATGGCCCCTGTGCACCAACTCGTCATGATAGTACTGCAAAATTCCCTGATCCACAGGATCAAAGGGAGTCTTCGCTTCGGTGTGCACGTTATCATCATAGCGGAGAAAGATTCACGAGAATTCCATATTAAATTGCAAACAAACCCCGCTGCCGGTGCTAAATATGAAGCACCAGTGTCCTGATTACCGCTGTAACCATTATAAATAGAATTAAATGCTGTTTTTTAACGTTTAAAATTTAATCTTTTTGATTAGTCTTCATCTGCGCAAGCGTATTGCTCTATGTACTGGCTGCTGCCGAAATAAAGAACTAACAGAATTAAATATACAGAAAACAAAATCAAACGGCATGCAACAACCGGAAACCGCGATACAATGTAAAACGAAAAAGAGACAGAGGTGAAATCTTGAAAGCTAGGCGTATGAAATCAATAATGAGTACACGAAATTTATTAATCTGCCAATCTGCATACTTTCTACAATTTCTAAATATACGTATCTGTTTCATTCTGCTTTCTAGGTGCTTACATTTACATATTTTCGATTCTTTCATTTTATTGATTTCATTCGTATTCGATTTTTCATTTATTATTTTTAAAAATTCTTCTGTTTTTCCTTTCTATTTTCTCTAAACCATTATTCTACAAATCACATCATCATTATCTGAAAACGTACAGTAGAATTTTTTATTGGTGAAAAATGCTACAAGTAACTAAAACGTACCGTGTGGTTCGTTGAGGCTGCGTGTTCTCGTTAGCTTTAACTCGCTTTGGCTCAGGAGAATAATATTCCGGACTACCAGCGCCATTCTCCCTTTCCTCGCTATACGACGTATTCTCCATGTTCTCTTCATCCTGCTCTACAACAAGTGGCCCCTCGTTTTCCTTCAACACTCCCGCGTGCTCCAGCAGCTTCATGAGATCGTCCTCGTCCGCCAGATATCGCTTGCCGATGATTGTCTTCACATAATCTCCACTGAGCAGCGTCTCCCCGATGTACACGCGCGGGATCAGCCGCTGCCTGCCCGCGGCCTCCTGGCAGATGCGCACGCTCTTGCACATGCGGGGCAGCGTGCCGCGCAGATCCACCTGGAAGAAGACCACAGTCTCCGCCGAGTGATCGATCGCTTTGCGCCAGTACAAAGGATTCGACTCCGGATCCACGCCGACCACCTTGATCAGGTCTTTGTAGGACAGAGCTGCGGGGGATGTTGGCACGATCTGGTTGAAACGAGTGGAGGATCGGAGAACGGGTCGTGTGTTTGTGGCAGCGATACCTGCTGAAAGCGGCGCAGGAATAGCTCGATGTCGTTTCATGATGCTAACAGGTAAGTACCAGTAACAGCAACAACGCACTTTCTCACAGTGCTGGAAAAACGAATGTCTTCGACACAGTTAGTAGCTTGGTAATACGAACATACAAAATAGGATAACGTGCAGTCTAAAGGTACTTTTAAAAGTTAAAACTCATTTTTAAAAAAATAATCAGTAATCATGCAATGCTGTTTAATGGTAAAAATCGTTTGTATTGTAGTCGAGAGTGGCAAAAAGGCAATGCTGGCCGTGCTGAGAGCAACCGCCACGTGAGGGTGGCCAGTAGCTGCGTCAGCTGTTTCCGTTGTTTGTCGTTTAGTTTAGTGTGTCAGTGTCAGTGGCCGCTCCATAAGACTTCCGGTTGGAATAAAACATTTTAAAAAGTCTATTAAACTGTGGCAAACTATCGACTGTGACAAACTGATAAAAAGAAAACACTATAACGCCGCACTGATAAGAAAGCGTAATGACCGTAGCGCGAATTATCCTATATTGCCACGAATGGGATACACCAGAGCCGGCAAACCAGAAAAGACTGACCAAAACCAATCCGGCATTATTGGATACGAAAAACACAGCCGGTACTTTGCGATTGCTTTATGCGGCTAGTTGTTTCGAACCAAAACCAATATTATATTCTGAAATCCCGTAGTCGAAAACCCGGCCACACAGTATTCATTTCTGTCAAAACCGCTCCCGCTTGAACGCCAAAGCGGAAGAGTTCTGACTACGCTCACCAAATGCAACTAAATTATTGCATGAGTAATAATAATTATCATCTTGATATTTTTAACCAGGCAATATTGCCACGTAAACCAACTAAAATACTGCTAAAAAATAAAAGTCATTTCTAGTTTCTACTACATATTTGAATTATCTGAATGAATTTAATTAGCAGACCGTATTACGACAAGAATGACGACATATGTAACGTCAAATGTAATGGCGGTGCTGTCAGATGTACGGGATCCGTTAGGTGAGCGGGTGACCGAGCAACCGGTACTGTCTAGTGTACGGAGACCGTTTGGTGAACGGGGGACCAAGTTGGCACTACTGTCCAATACACAGATGACAGATCCCGTCAAATGAACGAGTGACCGAGCTTCGACTACCCAGATTCATTAGGCTGAGGAACACAGATTCATGAATTCAGTTGTGACTCGTGAGAATTCATGGTGATCTGAGAGAATCATGAAGTGATTAAAAAAATTACATAAGGATAAAATCCGTGTTTTTTTTGCGTTAATACGATGTATCTATTATGTTTCGACGAAATATATGATTCTAATAAATATTCTTTGAAAACTAAATAAAGTGGCCGTTGACCACAAGAAACGCGGAGGCGAAGCCGAGGCTGTTTCTTGTATCTTAAATGTACCAGTACCAGTCTTTAAAGATTCCATGTTTTGACGCCGGTTTTTATTTGGAATATTAATTATGACCGCATGGCGCATTGAATCTCATTAATGTTATGTGGATTTTGGCAGAGCGAAAAATAACCATACAGTTTAGATTCTGTGAAATTCTTGCTGCCGAAATCCATGAGCAGATTCCTAGAGTAGTACTAGTGATCATGCGGTACGAAAGCGCAGCCAGCGAAAATCAAAATGATGTCCATTCAGGGCCGGCACAAAGGGGGGGGGGGGGGCGGTCCGCCCCCCCTGTTATCGATTTTTGACCGCCGGGGGGGGCGGACTGGAAAACGTGGCTGCAGGTGAGCCGCCAGGGGGGCGGAATAAATTTTAATTTTTTTCGAATTTTTTTAATTTTTTAAAAAAGGTTTTCCAGAAATTTTTATTAAAATTTTTCAAAAATTTCCTTCCGCCCCCCGGCGGACGGTTCAAAATCAGACTGCCCCCCGGCGAATTTGGCGCGCTCGACAGCCCCCCGGCGGCCTTCCGCCCCCCATCCAAAAATTCCTTGTGCCGGGCCTGTGTCCATTATTACCGAAACCATTCTGTCTTCGACAAGAACCGAAGTCAATGTTGACCAGCAAGTTCAAAATGTTACAGTTAATCCCGTATTCCCTTTCTACATCCAGTGAAAACCTTTTGAAAGGTACCATCCGACGCAGCCGACCCTTTGTTTGAAAACGAAGCTGAAATTTCCAATGTATGGATGCCGCACATCAAAGGTGCCGACCAGTGGAAACCCCCAACCCAACACCGCGCCAATCGCATGTGAGCACAAAGAGGCCAGCCAGTCTAACGCACTGAGCGCACACCGCAGCCATCGTTCAGCAGTGCAGTTAGTCCAGCAGACAACCATTTTTTGACTTCCGATGTAGCAGAAGAAATTTCCTCAAGTTTACCTTGTTCCCCCTCGATCCCATCGATCTCACCTGATTTGCTCATCATGGACAGCCAACCCACACGTTTCGCCCGTAAATACCGGGAAGAAAGAGAGCGCATCCCTTCTTATGTCTAGCCACCCAGCCGTGATCGCTTGGCAGCGGCCGCCCAAACTGCATCCGGATGGCGTGTCCTCAGTCTTCCGTCCGACGACCAACTATGATGATATCGATTATCGACGGCAATATCATGCCGTCTTTTTTTCCTCCTCGCCATCGACCGATCACCGCGCCATCTGTCTTCCAGCGCCGCCTTGACCTGTTTCTGCTGTGGCAAAACTGGTCCTTTTGCCACAGCAGAAACAGGTCAAGGAAATTGCCCTCGAAACCAAATTGCCCAAGTGCAAGCGGACCTGGCGAAACAACCGCAACGAAAGCGAGAAGATGCGAACGAATATGATGATTTCTAATGAAGCAGTATGCGCCCACCGTCTGACCGTAATCCAAGAAACTCTTGAGGACGAGATGCAAGCGCGGACGAGATGCAAGCGCTGCAGCCAAAATCGCCATCAGATGGATACCGCTTCGACCTCGGTGAGGTGGAAATGAATATCTCCGATGTCTACTCCAAACCTCGCCCTGGACGCCGATTTACTGTGGCCGATCGCGCTTGTAGCGGCAATCCTGACGAGCATCCCACCTACACATTCGCTGACATCATGGGCGTCGGTGCAAAAATTGCCGTTTCTGAGGACCGCCTGCGCCGATTTTCTGGAAGATCCGCGAGTCCGTCCGGGAGAGCGAAATTTGATTGGGCTGGGTGACATTGTGGAGGTGATTCACCGGGAGGGATATCACCAGATGACCTCCATCAACGACGGCCCACCAGGAGCTGAAAGCGAGTTTGTCCGGGCCCACCCCTGTTTCTGCACAACCAGTTCGTTCACACCGTGCCAGGTCAGGCGCCGTTTGCTATCCATTAGCTAAGTGCCCGTGTGCGTCACCATGCATGGACAGTCCGCCGTGTGGCCCCTTGGATATGAGCCGAATAAGGGGCGCAAATGCGCCAAAGCGGCAGCCGAAAATCCGGAACCGACCCATATAGAGGCTGGACTTTCCCTGTTTCGATCTCCTTATCGGCATATGCGATCGAGTCGAGTGGGCTTTTTCGACATTAACATAATCACATTAAGATATTTTCCTTGATTTACGATTTTTCCCAGCGCAGTACCATCGCGCAGATTTTGTCTTCCGATGTTGTTCCCACAGTGAGAACTTAACAACATCGGAAAACATAATCTGCGCCGTTTCGGAGGACTGGAGGTCTCACTTCTGATTAAAACCGCAGTCGTATTCTCGTTTGTATTTTCTGCCCGATCTTCCCTTTACGGGACCGTTATACACACCGCCACGCGTAGCAATAAATACTTTTTTCACTGAATTTGTCTGGTGAAGTCGCCGCTTTGCTCTTCCGTAATGAGCCAATTTCACAAACGAAATCGAGTAATCGGAAGAAAAACAATCCCCACACAAACACAACAACTGCAACACGGAACAGACAAAATAATGCGAAACATCCAGTGAGTCTGGCGACATCAATCCTGCCATCCGGTGGCCTTTGGCCCGAATTTGTACACCAGGGGACGTCTAAGATCAAACGGGAAGTACAAATTCGGTTTTGTAGTGAAGCCTGTCAAACAAACATTCTGCTTCTGAACACGTAAAACTACGTTTAAACCGGCAAACAGTCCCAGATAAACCAATTAATACAAATTGCAAACCAGTGTTCAATTATTTCTGCGGAAAAGCGGACCCAAAAATACGAGCCGTACTCGTACCTTACATCATTTGAAAAAATGTTGTCAAACTAAGAAAACAAAATAAAAACTGAAGACGTAAGAAGAAATCTAAAACATAAAATAAGTTTGTCGCGTAAATAAGATTTACGCGACAGAACGCACGCAGTAATATGTATTTTGCATGATTGGATCGTTTGTTGCATGGCGTCTGCTAACCTCATCGCCCGGGCAAGTTTTCATAATTCTTCCGTGGATTACATTTCTTGACGCCCCACTTGTCAGCTACCGCTTTCGAGTCGACTATGCGAAAAATTCCCGCCCTTTTGTCGTCCCATCGAATAATGGTGGGATTGCACCTGGAATCTTTCAGCAAATCCCGAATAAAATTCCCATAAATGGTTGCCTTCTGATCCTGCAGGAAAGTCGTATTACACCAAGAAGCAAATCTTAACGGGGCCAATATCTGTACTCATACTGTACTGTCTGTACATACGAGTACTCGTACTTTTCCCTTTTCGGAGGCTAGCCAGTTCATGATGCCGCAACTGCGCATTGTCATCTTCAATTTCCTCTTCCCCCGAGGTATCGTCGAAACCATCCGAATCCCTGTATTCACATTCGTGGTCGGACATGCATGAACCTGCAAACGCATTCGAAAAAAAACAGACTTATATTTAATATTGATCACCGGTCAAGCTAAAAAGGTTAAACATTTTCACCATTGGCGAGCTGCCAACGTCTTACCAAACTGTGGCAATCATAAATGATTATTCGGAAATATTGTACTTCGAGTAATTCTCATACGCTGTACTTGAATTATCTGCAGAATTATCTTCGCCGGCAAGCCGCCGATCAACATGCGGTCTTTTCCTGGCAGACTTATCCATGGTTTCTACAACAGCACGTTACGAAAATTGTCGAATGAATTTGGCCTTTATGAGAACACATGTATACCGTGCGTTGTGGATGGTCCGGGAACATACGTAGTCTCCTAATGCCACTGGTACTGTAAATCATCGTCATCATTGGCGGCTATAAACTACAAAATACGCGCAACGCGATGACTGGTCGCCAAAGCATTATTCGCTTACCATCATCAGTCGGAAGTCTGTCCATTTCGAAGTCGGTGCCGTCTGGAACGTCATCCGGAACTGCCGTCTCTGTTGGAGCGGTGACACTGTTGTCCACTGCAAAAACTGAAGGAAGATCGAGGGTATCGCTTCCGCCCGTGCTACCGTGATCATTGTTATCATGATCAGGAATTTCGAAAGTTACCGCCGGATGGGAAAGCGACCGTTGCGATCTGCACATGGAGAACAGAAAATTGATCGCTAACTTTGTGATATCGAACCAATTGATCACAAATCTGCTATACAAGTAAAAAAAAATTTTATCAACTATAGCAAACCGGAAGTCGCGACAAAAATGGAGGACACAGTCGACAACGTGAAATAGGTCAAAACCCTGAAAGCTAACGAAATAGATAAAAATAACTAATATTTAAAAATTCAGACATATAATTTCCTATATTTTTTGTACTATTTTATAAAATAATTTATTTCTATACTTATTTATTTCTGTTTCAATCCCGAAGCATTTTCTAATGTATTATGTACTTGTATTATTATACTTTGAATGACTAAACCTTTAATAAGTATCATGGTACGAGTACAAACTATGCACCAGAACAAAACAGCATTTACAAAAGAAACACTTCCTCTATGCTATCCTGATCGGGGATCGTACCCATTACACAAATCGCGTTTCCCCGTTGTATTTGCATAGAAATTCGCTGTTTAAAAAACTCTTTCGCCCGCTTTTGGCCAGTTGAAGTCGCTATACCGTTTCCAACCGTTTCCACTAGCTTTTTAGTACCGTCTCCAAAAGGTCCGTAAATTTCGAAGGCTGCAGCAACGAAATCGTATCTTGTTTGCATCCAAGCGTGTTTCGCTAATTTCTTCCTTTCAGCAAGCTCGGCTGCTGCGCCGGCATTCACGGAAGTGCGGTCGATATACGAGGCTGCCAGCGTGTCCACGCAAGTAACATCCAATGCCAGCGGTTTTCCGCGCTTCCACGGAATGAGGGTGATCACATCCGGCCTCTTCTTACCTTTGAATTACTTTCTATACTTTCTAGTATTTCTATACTTTCTTATAATTTTCAGATATTTTCTATTTAATTTTCAATATCTTTGTAATTTTTTATAAATAATTATATTACGGTTTTTACCTGAAAACCCAGATGTCTACCATGATTTTATATCAGTGGAAATTAGGAAAAAACAAACAAATCACCGAAACTAACATGGTCCATGCGGTTGGTCCAGGTTGTGGTTGCATTTTCTCGCCAAATTTTGCTCGCTTTGGTATAGGCTGCGGACTAGCAGCGCCATCTTCGCTTTCCGCGCCACACCAGACGTTATCATCATTGTTCTCCTCATCCTGTTGTTCCACAACCGGCTCCTCGCTCTCCTTCAACACTCCCGCGTGCTCCAGTAGCTTCATGAGATCGTCCTCGTCAGCCAGATATCGCTTGCCGATGATTGTCTTCACATAATCTCCACTGAGCAGCGTCTCCCCGATATACATGCGCGGGATCAGCCGCTGCCTGTCCCCGGCCTCGTGGCAGATGCGCACGCTCTTGCACATGCGGGGCAGTGTGCCGCGCAGATCCACTTGGAAGAAGACCACAGTCTCCGCCGAGTGATCGATCGCTTTGCGCCAGTACAAAGGATTCGACTCCGGATCCACGCCGACCACCTTGATCAGATCTTTGTAGGACAGAGCTGCGGGGGATGTTGGCACGATCTGGTTGAAACGAGTGGAGGATCGGAGAACGGGTCGTGTGTTGGTGGCAGGGACACCCGTTGGTTTCGTCGAAGTGATTGTTCGATGCCGTTTCATAATGCCGGATAGTGGATAAATAAAAATACCAATTATCGCAGAAAAGTCGGGTGGCCGTCGGCAGTTTCCTTTACGTATGCTGCAGTTCTGCAGGAACAGATGAAGTTTTGGCAACTTTGTAATACTAAACACCCACAAACAAAATGAAATAAACGTTGAATACTTATATAAAATCGGAAAATGTATAATAAATTTGTTTTACTTTTAAGTTTTGACTGCAAATGACCGATTTTTATGATCTGCGCGAATCCTGCAAAACTACCAGCGATAGCACATTGCTTTGTGTATCTCATAATATCTGTATAGTACACCGCTGAAATGCCACGGCCCACGTGGTGCGGACTGCGGACACTTTTAAAACTGGCACGACCGTAGCTCAAGGCACTCTCGGTTGGCGACAGATCGAAATTCGCTTACGAGTACGTACGTATTTGTCTGCCCAGGTGCCGGTCACCGTCTCGCCGTGCTCGTGTGGTCAAACACGAATTTGAGGGTCAATTAAAAGTATTGTATACTTGTACTGTAACTGCACCTGTGTTGTATCTATATACCGAACGGTACTGCCATGCTGTAATTATTCTGCTAGCAACAGTATACGTCCTGGAATAGTTTTTTGGATTTGGAATTGGAACTAGTTTTTTGGATCAGCCGATTAACTGCCATCGGATAAATTGTCAAAATGTTAATGAAATGTACCGGGCTATACCGATGGTTCCAAGAAGAAAACTGCTAAAGGTCACTGGTCAGTTGTACCACGTAAAGGTGTTGCCATTATTTGTTTGCAAAAGCTTTTCAGTTACAATTTCCCAATAATTCACGGTCACCGGTGTACATACTTCTACAGAAGCATCAACGGAAAAAACAAAGAAATAAGAGTGGTATAGTTGCTGCTGCTGCTGTCGGAAACGGTTAATTGATTTCCCTGGCTTTTGTGAATAATTTCAGACCAAACTCGGCGATAAAGCAACATTATAGCAACAATAGCAACATTTGTATAGCAACATTCGTTATAGCAACATTTGTACTATGCCAGCACAGGAATACCGTTGATGGATACCGGCAATCCGACGGGATCCACCACGTACCGTTGGCAGCTACGCCTGGTTTCGGCATAACCTTTCCACTAAAGCGCCACTTCAGCTCTTCCGCCTCGATCTCTCCTATGCGACAGAAGAGCGGTCCCGGTGCGCCGATTTTATGTCCAGCGTCTAAGTGACATATCATATTTTTTGCCAGATAGTAACTATCCGGATCCGGCACCTGCAGCTGCTTCGAATAAGCAACACGCTAATAAAGTTTAATGGGCAATAGCCGCCAAAGTAACAAAGATCGCAAGCGCCGGTGCACTACATGAAAGTTAAAATTTAAACACGCTAATATGTGTACATGTATCGGTAGATTTTTACTATAGTGCGGCATAAATGGACGCAACATAATGGACAGCTGTTGACTGATATTAACAGCCGATCCAATCACGGTTGCAGCCCGGATCTTTTGCGCTTCGGTGCCGTTGACCAGTGTCCAGGTTGAAAGGATTGTATCTGATTGGCTAGACGCGACGCTGCCAAGACGTCACGCAGTCCCTCTTTTAAACGGACTTCTTCCATATGTTGTAGATAGTTGGCAATCCCGCGGTTGACGGCGGAAAGCAGTTGAATGTCCTCGTCCAGCAGACGCATTGCGGGGACGATCCCAGCGAAATGCTTGTCCAAAAGGTCAACGGCCAGGTGGATAAGGTGACTAACGTTGTCGACCAATTGCATGTTGTTCTGCAGCACGAGATCGTTCCAGGAAAACGATGCATCTTGGTTTTCGGGGCGCACTAATAGTAGATAGAAGCGGTAGATATCGGCATCGATGCCGGTGGACATGGCGTCCGTGCCGAAGACGCCCACTCCGCGACTCTTGGAGAATTTGTCGTTTTCGTAGTTCAAGTAATCCGTGGCACACATGAGCGTGACCATGGTGTGGTTGTCGTCCGCTCCCAGTTGAGTGCAGGGAAAAATCACACTGTGAAAGGGGATGTTGTCTTTTCCAATGAAATAATAGCTCTCCACCTGGTTCAAAGAGCTGCAGCGTTAATTTATTACGATAATAATTATTATGTTAACATAAACAGATATCTAAAGCTATACAGGTAATATACAAAAATAGATACACAAGGATCTATATGTGAAAAATTATATAAGTACAAAAAAGTATATAGATTATAGAATATGTAATTTATATGACGTACAAATACTTGTATACAAAAATGGATGCACAAAAATACTATATAAAGATTATAGATTACAGAAATGACAGATTACAGTACAAATATACAGTCTAATACAGACCACAAAAATATGCACACAGTACGTTTACAAAAATGTATAAAAAGGCAAAAAATACGCTTATAAGTCGCTAAACAGTTTGTCTGAACAAGTGCTCACCTGTGTTCTTCCACCACTTCTCCCAGTCCTTTGTATAGTTAGCCGTAATGGACATACACTGTATATCCAATGGGCGTGTCAAACCAGACATAAAAGATCTTGTCCGTGTACCCATCCAGCGGCACAGGTGTTCCCCATGTCAAATCTCGCGTAATGCACTTCGGCGTCAAACCCTCGCGGAGCAATGCCTGCGTTGTTTGTTTGGAGTTCTCGGTCCACACACCGGTGGCGAAAGCCTTCTCCAGATACTTTTCCAGTGCCGGTTGGAGTTTGGGAAGATCCAGGAATAAATGATCGGACGGCATTACACTGATGCCTGCTGAACCACTGTTGCCGCACTGCTTGCACTGTGGGTTGAGCAATTCGGTGGCATTGACCGATTGTCTGCATTTGTCGCATTAATTGGTCTCCACGGCACTGCGGGTACGCACACAAAGGGCAAATGCCTTCTACGTACCGGTCAACCAGAAATCGATTGCAACGCCCTAATCAAAAATGAAAATAAATGTTATTACTGGTATACGAGATGCGAGATATATTTTTGTACCTATATACCCTATATTTTTGCACTTGAACTTGATGTTACAATACATCTATATACCACACTAGTACTGTGGAACGTTTTAATAATTATTCATAGTATGTTATATTATAATAATTTCTGCAAAAGAGGCATCTTCGTTATAAAGAATTAAAGAAAAGTGCCGGAGCATGTCACAATTGGTTATTTGACCATGGAAGCCAGGATTCCGTAAACCATCCTCAAAAGGGCTAATTTTATTACTGCGAGTCAATAAAATCAAAGATCACAGAACTTTTGTCCTGCGGAAATGCGGAATATCACGAAGTGAAGAATGTTATCAGCATGACTTATGATCGATTACGTTATGAATTCACAACTGCAGGAAGACGAAAGTGATAATTATCATAGTCCTATCTATTAAACCGGTTCTGTATCGTACAATGTGCATATACATACAATACAACATTTTCCTTAACTGCAACATGTGTTGCTTCAGTGCAGGGTGTGCTGTGTCGCAGATCATGAGTAAACACAATACACATACAGCAGTAGCTGCTGCTAAAGTAAGCCTATCGAAATCATGTTTTTATCAGGAGCGGACCATCTCTTTGGGAAGGGAACCCGGAAAGCGCGGAAATGACTAAGTTTTCTAGCCCTAACAATCAACAGATTCTACTACGCCCAGCCTTGAAGTTTTACGTGACATATCGTTTATCTTAAGTAGAAGTATATATAAATTTAGCGACTCAAATTATTTACCGAAAGTCGTTCGCACGATTTGCTTGTCGAAGATCGTGCCTAGAAAGCTTCGAAGCAGTACTTACTAGTGATTTTCTGTGCACTATAATTCCAACAGACTAAACTTGCGGGTATACTTCGCTAATCTGATTACTGATGACCAAAAATGGACACCACACCGGTTTATTCGGTTAGATTATCCGACACCGAGCGTCGCACTCTCCAGAATTTTGAACACGCACTGGACTACACATTTTCCGAAGAGGATCTACAGTTCCTGGAGACCAACGGCTACCTGGTCCTGCGCGGCATCATCCCGGCGGAAGACATCGACCAACTCGTCCAAGAAGCCTTAAGCTACGTCCGCAAAACCGGTATAAACATCCAGGATCCCTCCACCTGGCATTTAATGCCACAGGGTCTTGGCGTCTTCGACATCTGGCACACTCCCACCTACAACCGGCTCCGACAGCATCCGCTGCTCTATTCGGTCTTCGCGCAGCTCCTGAAAACCGGCAACCTGACCGTCAGCGTCGACCGCATCAGTTTGAAAGCGCCGTGTGTGGATGAACAGCAGGCTGCGCAACACGCCGACACTAATGCGAATCTGCGGTTGCACACCGATTTGAATTTCTGGCACGCTGATCCCCAGCAACCGGTGTATCAGGGCGGGTTGTGTCTGCAGGACTGCCCCGTGGGAGGTGGCGGGTTTTTCTGTGTTCCAGGTTTTCACCGGCCGGAAGTGATTGAGCAGTATAAGCAGCGGGTGGAAAGCGGGGAATACGGTCATCCAGGTAGGGTGGACATCCAAACAGTTTTGAACAGTTTTGTAGATTATGATTTCAAACGAAATTTAGTTTAAAAAATTGGATTTTTTAAATTTATTTTCTGCATATTTTTTTACGAAAGTGCTATGCGCCAGGAAAATTCCTGGCGCATAGTCAAGTTGCTGTGCGCCAGGAAATTTTCCGCAAAATTAAAATTTGAGTGTTTTTAAGTTGTTAATATCACTTTACGAAGTCTAATCATAAGTCCCGCACATTTGATTAAATATAAACTTAATGTTTAAATCAGATACGCTTCAATTCCAGCTGTCAATAAGTACAGCACACCGTTCTTTTTTCGTCAAGAGATTTTCTCCGGGACGCTTCTGCGCTTTCGAATTTCATCGATCTCTTTTGAGGTAACACACTGAATTTTTTTGCGGCTCAGGCTTTGTGTGATTATTAACGCCTCATTTTCTTGGCGGCTTTTTCAACGTTTCCGTTCCAATAATTTCGTTTAGCCATATTCGAAATGTGGATTCTTCGGCATAATTGGCTCTTTCGATATTAGCGCTTTTTGAAAGGACATGGTCGACTTTAAACGCTGCTGCATATACCCCATAATTATTGTAACCAGTCCCTTGTTGCGGAACGGGAGGACACCCAAAGTGCGTTTCATTTCCTCGACTGCAAAGTATCCGGTTCGCAGCTTTTGCTTAATTTTGAGAATTCGCCAAAACTGTACAGCGCTGTTTTACTTCCCAACGCGGCCATAACAACATCAATGCATTCCCGCGGGAGCATTTTCTTAGGTGTTCGCCCCGGCCTTATCCTCTATTTCCGCTTTTACCACGGCAAAAAAACGTTCGCTTCTATTTGTCGTGCTGTTCTCGAGCAAACGCAAATGCTTTCCAGGTGTAACGCCCATCGCCCATCACAAGTATTACTGGTTTCCAGTTCATAACTTTACGTAAAAATTGAGTTATTCGAAAGGGTGGTTTGTACCTTTTGTAATGAATCTCATGCATTTTTATGCTGGCTATGCGAAAAGTACTGTCACAAAGTCACAGTGGGCCAGGTCAATTACATTTGGGTAACCATTGCGCGTCGGATAACGGAGAAACGCGTAAAAATCTGTCCATAACTCAGCGAAAAATTTATCGTCCAATCGTAAGTCGAGTACGCTTCCGTGGCATGAAAGAAATTGAACAATTGAAAAACTGAAGTGGAACCGAAAATTTTATTTTTGATGCTTCAATGTGGTAATACGTCAAAAAAGTTAATTCTGAGTTTACGAGTGTGAATCTGGGTCGCTGGATGCACTTTTGGTTCAAACAAACAAAATTTTGTTCATCTGTGCAGGAGAGTACGAGTTACTCGTAGTTTGGGTAACGGTTGCGCTTCGATTTCGAAGCGCAACGGTTACACGCACGGGTAAGCTGAAAATCCATCCCAGAATTCTGGTTTACCAATCAAATCGTTTACCTGCTTACGCGCCCTGACGTCATGATTTTTTACCCGACTGCCTCTTGCGCGTCGCGTAAGACTTACACAGAGCAATTGACCTAGCCCACTGGGCTAGGTCAATTGCTCTCTGTAAGTCTGGGGTGTAAGTGTAAGTCAATTGCTCTGTGTAAATCAGATTATAAATAACTTAGAACGATAAATTTTTGTTTTGCCGGCGAATTTCCGGGCGCATAGCAAAACGACTATGCGCCAAGAATTTTCCTGGCGCATAGCAGATTGACTATGCGCCAGGAAATTTCCTGGCGCATAGAAGTGACCATTTTTTTATTATAAACAAAGCAGTGAATACCAGATCAGAATTTTCGAAATGTATTTTAACTTTTAACAGTTAATCCGTTGTATTTTATATAATCTGATCGTTTTCCCCACCTAAATTATTTATATAATAATTTTAACATTAGTGTTATTATTTCAGACCGCTTTGAATTCATGAAGCCCGGTTTGATTTTGAAAATGACTTGAAGCAAAGTTGATCTGAAGCAAAATAGAATGAGATCTCTAAAAAATACCTTTTTATATTCATTTTCCCATGTTGTTTTCTGTTATGGCCAAAGAAATCGAAAGGTATATTGGATAGTTATGATGAATCGTTATTTTCAACGGTTATCCCGTTGCACAGTAAGTTTTTTCGAACCGGCATACAATCTGTTCAATTTCTCTACCTAAAATTATGTAGATAATAATTTAAAAAATAAGGTTTTCATTTCAAATCGTGTTTCAAATTTCGAAGCCCGGTGTGATTTAAAAGATTTAATTTGAAGCTTGAAATGTGAAACGTGAGAAATCGTGATCTGAACTATACATTCAGGGAGCGTCAAACCGCCGCCCCGGATTACGTTTTGCCGGTTTTGGGATCAACACCTCGCTAATGCAGAAAAGGTGGAAGTTCCGATGAACAAGGGGGATTTTGTCATCTGGAATAACAATTTACCACATAATGGCGGAAGGAATTCTCTGCTGATGCCGTGGCCGGCCGACCAAGCTAAGAACCGGTTAAAAAACTGGCGAATGCATGCGTTTATCATGTTTGTTCCCCTGGATGGCCCGTTTACGAATCCCGATAATCTGGAGTTTTATACGCAATATCAGAAGGAAACACGCGATGCGATTCTTTCGGGAGGCACGCCCGTTCACTTTGCGACGATGAACAGCACGGAAGATTCGGGCGGGAAAGAGATTCCCGGTGGGTTCACAAAGGTCAACCCGGCAGATTTGACGGAGCTGGGAAAAAGATTGCTGGGAAATCCCAACAGGTTAGTTAATACAGCGCAGTTACGGCAGTATGAAAATCTTTGTTTATTACAATACTTAAAAATTAAATTAATGGTAAACGCGCAATACTTTTGCGTTTTGCAGTTCTGATGCTAGAGGGAAAAGTACATTCCGGCCAAAATCTTAAGCGGCCAAAAAAGCCATATGGATGATCTGACAATTTGCAGTCAAAACGAACAAGCAGTCTTACCAAAGTTGACCACAATTCCAAATGTTTGCGAAAAAAGCCGGTGGAAAGACCGATTACGTAATCTTTTTTTACCGGAAAACGAAAACCGATCGCATTTCCTACGGCTGATGCACACATACACGTCGTATAAGATGCCATAATAAAACTGACCCCTAGCTACAGAGGCAGCTGTTATTAACTGAATTAACCTTTTTCTGCATATTATCCTGTTGTATAAAATCAATTTTGGTACTGCATCGTGTTAACAATACAATTTAATGTACGTGTTTACTAATAATTTACCAATAATTCACTGTGCATGCTCCACATCTTTTTTACGCTTTTGAAGCTACAGTCAGAGTCCATTAAATCTGGATGGTTTCCGCCATCCTACCGTTACGTACGGAAAGCCGGTGCTGTTGACCGTAATCGTATTAATTGTCTTACCGCAATGGAGCTCTTCAATACTGTCGGCAAATAACAGCCCATTCCGGTGCAGTCTCCAGCAAAAATCCTGTGTGATTTTCGTCTGCTCCTCCGAATCCGTGCGGAAGAACGTGTGAAAATCAATATTAAACCAGTCATAGACCTGTTTGTTGATAGCGTTGTACTTGCACACACTTGCCGCGGTGTCAGTCCCTCCTCGATGGCTTTGGTTTCCGTTGCGGACCGTAGTCATCCGTGCCGCACAGGAACAGCGAATTATATCCGTGCAAACGACAATAACGCGAGAATCAGTGTAATCAGAAAACAGACTGGTCCCGAAAAGTCACAATACAGTACATTTGCATATACAATACATTTGCAACTGCACGTTGTGATCGCAATTATTGTTCTTCGTAATAACGCCTCACCTCAGTCTACCTCGTTCGCAACGCCTTTGGCCACTGAATTAATTTTCCTGACCGCCAACGCTGTCAGTTAGCTCTGAAAATTAAAAATGATGCTGCAGCTTAATTTTTCATAAAAATTTACTTACAAAACTTTACTGTCTTTGTCTGCATATAACTTGTCGCGACGGTAACATTACGAGCCGACATGAACAGAAACTTCGTACATAATTTTTTTAAATGCACAAAATATTGCACCGCAACGGCAGAAATAGCCGTAGAATGTATGTAGTTTTACTTTAATCAAATTTTTAATCAGTGTAATTTGCGCAGAGGTATTGATAATGTACGTATACTTCAGATGTACTTGGTGATTTTTGATTTAATTGTATTATTTTAGTTAGTGCTTTATTGTTTCCACTGTGTATTATCCACTCCTCACTGCTGTTATAAAATTGGACGGGCTAAAGGAAAGTACGCAAGTAAATAACTGTTCTTGCTATTACATTGCAAAGATTGTTTAACGCATGCGAAATCTTCAGTTAAAATTATTTTTCAAAAAGTTTATATTATTACTGCTGTAGTTTAATGTAGTTTATCACGTATGTACAATACGTAAGTATGTACGCAGTACGAACACTACATGAACCAGCAGATGTACAAGCCGGTTGGTGCACAGGGTTTGTTACTAGAGAATAAAAAATAATTCGTTATTATCTAGCTAAATTGACCAGAGATAATAACACAACAATCGTAAAAAACGTTGCTTAACGTTAGCGGGGATCGCGGTTGGAAGTTACCTGCTAAATTATGGGATTTGAATATAACAGGATTTTGAATTACGTATTTAGAAATATTTCGAATGATGCTTCACTAGCCGGCTTAAGCCGGCATAGGAAGCACGGAAAGCCCCAGACAACTGCTATATAAAAGCAAAGATCAAAACAAAAAAGTAAAAATGAACGAAAAAGCAAAGTACAATCACATATAAAGGCCAAACATATCATCATTCTATCTGTATGCCGAATTTTCGAAATTTAAACTTTCTTCATCATCACTACTTTCTTGTATCACTGGATACTTCAATACTTCGAAGTAACGCACAAGCGCGCCCAGAAGGAAGCGACGGGGATGGGCGCCTGTTTCCGGTACTGATATGCATGCACCGGATATATGCCGGACATATTAAAAATATATTTATTGGAATATACCGGATCAGGCATATTTATTGGAATATACCGGATCAGCCGGTACTGCTGGCAGGCATCAATGCATGGCGTATTCGCCGAACATGTTAATTACATGTAACAGGCACCATTAATTTTTGCTGGTCGTACCGCATACATTACATACTCGCGCTACTGCATACTACGTTAAAATACTGCCGGTTGCCTTGTGGTGCTGCGGTCAGTACAATGTCGCAGTAAATTAGTGATGCATCATTTTGTATTGTATCAGTAATTTTTCATACATTTTACCACTTTCACGTCACAAAACACAGTTAAAAACTGCGCAATACCGATATGCGCTAACTGCGAGGCAAAATCGTGCCAAAACGCCGTTGGCATCACTGAAGCACGATATCGAGGGACGTTTCTTGTAGCGCTATTTAATGTCCCACAAAATAAAACACATCGGTAGTCGGTACTGAGCCTGTTTTCCAGAACATCATCACATTACTTTTCACAGCTTTTCCACGTCTGTTCTTAATTCACCATGTTGCAGTTCCTCGCTTTCGCCTGCCTCCTGGCGACCGCCCTCGCCGGTCCCGGCAACCGGAAGCCGAACCCGGACAGCGTGACCCGCGACGTCGGCAGCTTCACCGGCATCAGCATCCTGGAAGGCAACAACGTCCAGGTGGTGGCCATCCTCGGCGACGAGGAATCCGTCACCATTGAGGGCACACCGGAAGTCCAGGAGGCCTTCAGCACCGTCGTCGACGCCGAGGGCGTCCTGCAGATCACCATAACCCGCCTTATACGCCAACCTGGCGACCACCGCATCGTGGTGCGGGCTAAACAGCTGACGCGGCTGTCCACCGCCGGGTCATCAGAGATCATCATCCAGACGCCGTTCACGGTCGACCGGCTGGAGCTGACGACAAAGAGCTCCTCGCAGATTATACTGCAGGGTGCGGTGACCGCGGATGTGTTCACGGCCACGGCGAAGGGGTCATCGCGGATCATCGCCTGTTAAGCAGTCCGGGCAGTGGAGGTGTCGGCAGATAAGACCGCGTCGGTGACCCTGACCGGAACGGCCGCGGCGTTGTCGCTCAACATTGTCAATGATGGGTCGTTCCGCGGCGGGTTGGTGGTGGATAAGATCAATGCAAAGGTCACCGGGAGGGGCAAGGCTACGTTGACGGCGAGGAAGACCATCAATGTCGATAAGACCAGCACGGCCGGAAGTCGTCACCGGGGGTCCGGCGAAGGTGACCATCATCATCATAACCCAAGAATAAGCGGGAATCGTAAATTTTCTGTTAATTTAGGTAAATTTTCACTAATTTTGCTACGAGTACTTTTTTATTCCGTTGATTAAACATTTTCCGGATAAGTCCAAGAATGAACAAGTAACAACAAGATGCGTTCATTGTGCACTGAAAACTTCTTAAATACCGCTAAAAAAAACTTGATGAGCAAAACTCACCCAACTGGAATCGTCAATAAACGAAAGAAATATCCATCTGCACACATTTACAGGGAAACTTAAAAATGTAACTTATAAATATAACTTAAACTGTAAATAATATGTAGATAAAAAGCACAGACAGAAGTTTTATTAAAGGGTGATACAATCCTTCCTTCATCCCACTTGCCAAAGCAGGAAACTAGACCGTAAAGAATGATGAAACAGGAATTATTCATAATCCAGCAAACGCATTTCTAACGGTAAGAAAAAGGACAAATCCGTGATACGGTGAGATAATACAAACTACTCGGCACTGGATGTACGACACCAATCGTCCGCATCCTTCTGACCCACCGGATGGACATCCTTTCAGGTTGTACTGGGAATTTTTTTGGAATTATACACCCGCCGTTTTCGTCGCTGCATAATCTCCGGTTTGGTAAAGGCCAGTTTCTCGATGAAGGGCCAGGTGGTTGTCCGTTCGGCGTTGGTGCGGACCAGTCGCCGGTAGGTGGCCCGCACATTCTCCCATTTCCACATGCAGTCCTGACAGGATTTCGGGACCCCCGTGCCCGTCTGATTGACCATCTCGGCCACGTTCGCCCAGGCCACGCGGCGCTCCTGGGTGCGGGCAGCTGTTCCCAGGCCCGCTATGCTGCTCTTCTGCCAGAGGAACGGCTGGGCGTGCACGCCGTCAATCAACGCCAGCACCTCCTCGAAACTGAAATCCCGGCCTTCGTAACTGGTGGCGGCGGTGTGCGTCCGTGGTTCTATCGCAAAAAGAGCGCCACAGTAGACAAACATCTTGGGCTATATTCTTTTCAAAGTTTCTGATCAAAAACAGCTGGCGTACGTTTTGAAAATTACAGATCTTTGCGGACAACGAAATGTGTTAGCGCAACGCCGCAAAATACTTCAAATTTTTCATACCTGATGCATCACCAGGATCGTGTTCCCCTTCCAGTCCAGCCTCTGCATGCTCATCCTCGCTGTCTACAAAAATACAGAATTTAGGATTAAGAGAAGACAGACAACAGAAAAATTTAAAAAAATAACTGAGAGCGAATGCAGAGAAAGCCAGAATATGACACAGAACAGATAGAGAACAAGAGCAAACAAAAACAAAATAAAAGCAGAGAAAACAGAATGTTATTACAAAGAACCGATTAAGAGCATCACTCTTGAGCAGCTCGTACCGAGTCTCGGTGATCCAGTCTCATCGTATCCCAAAGGCATGTCATCCTGGTCTGATAAATTAACACTATTAAATACTACTTATTACTTCATCATACAGACGCCTATTAAAATCCCACCTACCGTCGCCGGATGGAAGACCGCTCAAATCTACGTCGGCGTCTTCTTCCGCAGCGGTTTCAGCGCTGCTCGTCGATGGCTTGTCCAATGCGTTCACTAAGACATCAACGGGCCGGCGACTGCCACTGACGTCAGTATGCGATTCAGCGTCTTTTTCCACAAGTGAAGCTTGCGATCTGCAAATCGGAAAAGCCATAAAAATGCGTAAATGTCAGAAAATCTTCTACAGCACGATTTATATTTCAAGTACTTACGGTAAAGACACCGACACGGTACTTAGTTTTCCACGTTAAAAGCAAAATTTGAAAAAATCATTAAAATTTAAAACTTTCTGGATTTAAAATTAATATTATTTCAAAATTTTATAGCCAGATTAAATTAACTAATACAAAATAATAATATTCACTCACGCATATTATGGCGTTCGATTCAGGGCGATATTAAAAACATAATCAAAAATTCAAAATCACACGAAAGTAAAAGCACAGCTGAAAATAAGAAAACCATAGGGAAATTCAGGTAGTAGTTAAATTAAATTTGCACCAGGTAGGCAAGTACCTTGATATAGCAGTTTTTTGTGGCAGCCCTGAATGTTTCTTCCCCGATACTTTCCTTCGTTTCGGAACGGGCGCAGCCCTATACGGTTCATTTTCCACCTCCCCTTCGTCCCACTCCTCATCTTTCCTCTCCTCGTCGTTCTCCTCGCCTGCTTCTTCATCCGCCTGCAGCACTCCCGCGTGTTCCAGCAGTTTCATCAGATCGTCTTCATCCGCCAGGAACCGTCGTCCGATCACCGCTTTCACATAATCCGAACTCAGCATGGTATCGTTGACACACACTGGGAATCAGACGGCCCTGCCTGCTGTCCCCATGGGCCTGTTCACGACAGATACGCACGCTCTTGCTCATGCGGGGCAGTGTGCCGCGCAGATCCACCTGGAAGAAGACGACTGTCTCCGCTGAGTGATCGATCGCTTTGCGCCAGTACAGAGGATTCGATTCTGGGTCCACCCCGACTACTTTGATGAGGTCTTTGTAGGACATGCAGGGAGTGGAGGGGGATTTAATCTGGTTGAATGCAGTGGAGGAGCGCAGCGCGGGTTTCGCGCTGGCTGCTGGAACTGCAGCGGATGCAAAGCGCCGACGTTTCATCATCTCCCACACCGTATTGTGTAGTTTACCAAATAGTCTAACTAGCTGATAAACGACAAGCAACAAGTACAAGAAAAAAGAATCACAAAAATTCTGCCAGCTGATTCGAATCTTTCTGACAAGTAATAAGTTACCGATATGCCCAGATTACAAAATACAAAAATGAAAAACGTTTACAACACAGCAAAGCTGATGAACCATTCTGTCAACCGCCCAGGGAGATATCCACGTAGTAAAATGGTTGAAGCGCGATCCCTATCATGTCCTATGAAGATGTTGGCGCTAAACCGGAAGCAGATGGACAAACAAGATTAAATCGTTTAGTTGACCGCTCGTTTTCCCCCTTTTAACGTTCTATTGCCGATTTGTAGGCACTATGACGGAGCAGCAGAACTCCAACGTTTTTGCATGAAAACACAACAATCGTACTACTAGTCGCATAAACTCGACACCCCTGTCAGGCCCTATGTATTTGAATTTTTAAAATATGGACAAGTCAAGGCAGACGGAAGTGATGGAAAACTTGCAGAGCTTATTAAAATACTTCACCAAAAAACATATCAACCAATTTTATTGACGATTCGGTACGTCTAAAGCTTCAACGCGTGCTGAAAAGTCGTGACACATGAGCATGTGCATCAGTCACTATCAGTACAATTCCGAGGGGATAATCAAGGCTTTTAGAATTACGCATTGCATATAGATATACTGATTACAAGAGCATCGCAGATGCACGAACGGCCACTAGGCTATCGGTGACGCCGCTTTACGCTTTTATCGGACTGACAAATGGACGTATGATGCGTAAAGGCCGAAGTTCCGGCATGTTCGCCGCGGCTGAATACTTTCGAACATCTCCGACATTGGGCAAACGGCAACTCCTTCCCCGCCTCGTCAAACACCGTGTAAAAATATTCCCAGAATTTCGCCCTGGCGTTCTCTTTGGGCTTCGTATAGTATCGTCCCGCAGCAATATTCGCTGCGCAGTCATCTTTTCTAATGACATAGACCGGAGTGGATTTTGCCTTCTTCATCCCTTTTGTTTTTCTGCTGTCACTCGGCTTCAAAGCAGCCCCATCTACAATCGCAATACAACTTCAGTAACGCTTATTTCAATTTAGAAGTACATCTTAATAATTCGTCACCATGTTCCTTCACAACTTATTTATTCATTCACAGTTGAGTGGCGTTTAAATGGACCACCACAGTTCGTTATTTGCGCAACGCAGAGTCCCATGAAGTTCGGTTGAACATAACACAGTGCGTAAAAAATTACAAAACTGGTTTATACACAATTTAGTGGAATGTCTTTATTGTAGATGCACTCTCCGTCAACACGAGGAAACGCTGATATACAATTGTTCATAAGGCAATATCCTTTTTTGGGTTTACGAAGACAACTTCACTGGTTCTGGATCGCTTCCGCACAACACCCTTGCAATAAAGGTCATACGGCAAAATTCTCGCGATACAACAAGCTCGATTGCTGTTGCACCGGGCCTTCAGAATGCCGGCTGCTTTCGGCAGATGGCCCAAAACACTTCCGCTACTTCTGCTCAGCGCCCATATATTCTGGAAGCTAAACATCTTCGGACGTTGTTCCTCTTCCAGTATCTTTCCTGATTGACGGAGGAATGACCATTGTTGGCATACGGCTGGATTGCAGCGCTCTGACTTTTTCTCGCTCACCACTATCCCGCTGGCGTTTGTACATATTATGGCGTTGGTGCGGGGCTTCCCTGAATGGATGTGTGTGCTCGCCATGTCTGCTCATATGGGATATTCGCATGATATGCTCGCGCTTGTACAGCGTGACGGTGAGGGTGAACGGGCATCCCGTCAACTTGGGAGTGGTCGGTTTGCGCTTGCCAGTAGACCCCCCACGGTGACTGCAATGGTAGATGACGCGCCGGAATTTGTACACTTCCTTGTCGGGATCCAGAGCCGGCAGCGGGACGGAGCGTTTCACGGTCAGGGTGGTCGAGGTGTCGGTCTTGTACCGCTGCAAGGCTGACATGAATTCAATGTAGGAATGGAATGTGGCACCTTGGTAGAGAGAATCGTGCTCTCGCGCCACCGCGGGTGCTGCAAGGTCACCGTCGTCCAACTCTATGTCGTGCGCTGTATTAAGAGTCTGGTGCATGTTTGTCGCTACTCTCTAGCTATCGCCGTTATTTTTACCTCTTTCCTCTTCGAAATCGGGATCATCTTCCAACCCAGGTTCAGGATGTTCTTCGTCACCTTCTGTACAAGCAAAAAAAGCCGATTTGCATACCGAAATACCCATTACACAGGAAGGAAAACATTGTGGAAAGTACTTACCGTGTGCAGAGGAACCGGCAGTGTATTGGGCGTATTCGGATAAAGGAAAATTCTGATTATCTGCGAAATTCAAAGCACGCCTTACCATTGCTTCAAAAGCCTTTTAGACGCTGCACTGATTAGAAGCGTACTTCTTTGTTAAAAATTAGCTACGCGCTTGCGAATTTTCAAAAAAACACGAAAAAGAACGAAAAAATAAAGTATTAAAAATAAGACGCAAATAGTTTAATAGTTTCATCTCGGTAGCAGGTAACCCATTAACCTGAAATAGCTGAAATAAGACGATATCATAGTTTTGACTAACCATCTTCAGCGGCAACCCCACTCATTTCCGTATCTGCATCCATTACATCGGCTGGATTTCCTCCCAAAGCGTTCGTCGATAAATTATCAACTGAACCGTGATAATATGGATTCATATCAACAACTGTATGGCCACCGGTGGATGCCAATACTGTCGGATGGTCTCCGGTTCCGGTGTGAGATCTGCGAAGATGAAACAATTCACCAGATGAATATTCCAGCTGTGTTCATACACAGACAAATAAAAACAATCATACTGGCAATTCGAGTACGGGTACACAGGCCTGGCACACGAATCGTATTACAGTCATACAGCTTTTTTTAAAAACAGTTTCATACGTATGACAGATAATTAAGCAATGTGAATCTTTAATCGGCATCTGCCGTTACACATAACAATATGCCTGCGCGGGTTTACACTAATAAAAGTTCCAAATTTTAAACACTGAAAAACATCCAAAATCATTAGCGTCTTTCGTGAATTTAGTACGTGCGTTAAATGCAATTCTTCCGGAGCACCACTCAATTACAGTTACAAGTTACCAACCGTGTATCTGCAATTTACTGACCTGCTGGCTGCAATTCGTTGACCAAACTCTGTTCGTCCCGCAAATCGCGCGCGCTTTGGCTCGGACTGGGGAAGATACGATACGTTTTCCGTTTCATCTTCCTGCCAGTCGTCGTCCCTTCCGTCGTTCTCCTGCCCTTCCATCGCTTCCTCATCGGGTCGCAGCACTCCCACGTGTTCGAGGAGTTTCATGAGATCGTCCTCGTCGGAGAGGAAGCGCCGTCCGATCACCGCTTTAACGTAATCGGAGCTGAGCTGCGTCTCGTCCACGAACACCGTCGGGATCAGCCGGCCCTGCTTGTCCTCGCCCGAGGGCTGCTCGCGACACACCCGCACGCTCTTGCTCATGCGGGGCAGAGTGCCGCGCAGATCCACTTGGAAGAAGACAACCGTTTCTGCGGAATGATCGATGGACTTCCGCCACGATGAGGGATTCGTCTCCGGGTCAATCCCCACCGCTCGGATCAGTTCTCGGTATGATATGCACGGTGTTGATTGGGGTTTCAACTGGTTAGACTTTGTGGATGACTGCAGAGGACGTCGAGCGCTGAACACGGAAGCAGGAATCAGCGCATTCGTGACGGTTTCCTTTGAGTCCGACATTTTCTGCAGAGGCTGCAATCAATGTTTAAAGAGTAATATAGCATTTTCAAGCAATACTGCATTTATAATACGATATTTTTGATTATTAAGTATATATCCTAATTTATTACTTATAATTTATTATTATTTTTAATAAATTTAGAAAAAAAATCCATATTTTTTATGTATTATATTTTATTATGCTGAATGCACACGCTGCCAATACTAGTCTAATCTCCGAAAAAATTAAATCCCGCAAGTTATCAGTTATACCTTGGCATTGAAAAAATCGGTGATTTTGGTTGGTGTTGCAGTGGGTCGACAAATGGAGGAATGGTGCGTAAAGCCTGACGTTCCAGTGTGTTCGCCACGTTGGAATAATTTCGAACATCCCAGGCACTGGGCAAACGGCAACTCCTTCCCTGCTTCATCGCAGACAACGTGGAAAAATTCCCAGAAACTCGCCCGGGCCTTTTCCTTTGGCCTCGTGAAGAACAGTCCCGCGGCAATCTTCGCTGCGCAGTCTTCCTTCGTATTGCTACCGAATGCACTGGATTGCGACTGCGCTTTCGTTTTTGCCTTTACGTTTTGGCTGCCACTAGGCTGCGCATTAACAGCTCCATCTACAGTCACAATTTTTAAAATAAGTGCTGTGCTAATGTATTTCACATCGGGCAGCTGCTCCAGTTAATGGCGCAAGAAAGCACGTTTTACGGCACTTTAAATTAAATTACAATATATTTATAATTTATTAATAATATACTGCATACCTGTTTCGCTATCGCTGCCTCCCAAGTCAGCTGCACGGAGGGACCGCTTATGGGAAGCAGGGTTTTCCATTTCACAGTCCGCAGGAATGGATTAGGTTTTGGAATGCACTTCTACAAATCCCAACAGAGCTCAGTGATAAATGCTCCGTCGGTTCTTGCGCGCCGTCGAAGTTGAACTCAAATGTTTCACAATAATCCGTCCCACGCCACCAGACGATGCTTCGTTCCAGCACAAAACTTCCAACACAAATAGCGGATAGTTTCGGAAATCAAAAAGTTAATTAACTAAAACTCCCGTTTAGTGCAGCAATGGCTGCAAAGTTGAGAACTCCGAAAACATTCAAACAACAACAAATTTCCGTAAACTTCAGGCGTAAAGTTTTATTTTATCAAATGTTGCTGTCAGCCCCCCTAGGACGGCATTTGCGTTTGCAATTGTATATACGCATGTGGCTTTAAGCCGGAAGCAGCCACTTTTATCGTTAGTTTCTGGACAATCTCTTATTATAAGCCATGGAAACTCCTAATAATGAAGTGTTTCATAGGTAGAATTTTAATCGAAGGCATTATGACTTATTAGTGATGTCCACAAAAACCTGACAGAGAATTTTCTAGAGAGAAAAAGGTAACGCAGAACACATTCGTGCGGAGTTGTTGGGTTCGCAACCAGAAGCGTTTTCCTCGCTTTCAAACGCATCTTCAGATGAAATTATCTCGGTTTTTTTAGATGACAGAACTCATTGAAGTTTATTTTTTCCAAGAGCGTTCCGAGTCTCTTATTTGCAGACGCAAGAGCAGATCAATCGCATTTGCACTATCCATGTTTACCAGGTGAGTTGTGGGGAAATAACAAACAAACCATAAAAAACGTTTCTCAACGCCATGCACAGATCAAAACAGACAGGAAATTCTGCGACTATGCAAATGACAGATGCATTTCAAAACTTTATACAAATACCGCAAAAATGCAGGCTCGTGATTACTTTAGTGGCGATTACTTTAACAAACATTTACGCACTAGTTATCACTATCTGTTTTCCAGAGAATTACCATGTCTTTTTCGCATTTTATCCTCCGATTTGGTAAACATCATCTGCTGGGTAAACGGCCATCTGTTACGCAGTGCCTCATCCTCCTTCGTCGTTGGCAAAATCATCCGGAAGTACGCGTGTAAACTGCCCCACTTTCTGGAACACTGCTGACTGGTCTTTTTCGGCTTGCCCGCCACCGTCGCGCGACTCACGGCTGCCGTCACTTTCTCCCACGCCAGTTGTTGCTGCCGGGTCCGGTCGGTCGTGCTCCCGCTTTGATTCTGCTTCCGCCACAGAACCGGATGGGCTTTGACGTTGTCAATCAGCACCGTTGTTTCCTGATGAGTAAACAGTTCCGCTTCTCCCGTACCTTCTTCACCAGGTGTTTCATCTAAAGATGACAAATCCATCTCACCAAATTACAGCAATAATAAAAACAGCCGATTATCCTAGATATTAGGCTTTTCTTAGACAATGTCATCCACGTCAGTAGGATTCAGTACATTTCCGCTGAAGATGTCACATATTTTTCATAGTTGCGAGGCCTGATTTGGCCAAAGTGCCAATCAAGTTGACAATAAGAGCAGATGAGTACCCATACTGCAATTTCTATTTGCGCTCATATTATTTTTACCGGTTGCGTCTTCGACATCGTTCTCATCCTCCAATCCAGATTCTAAGTGTTCTTCGTCATTGTCTGTGCCATGGACAAAACACCGATAAGCGTAAATTATTTAAACAGAGGAAGCAAATTAATCGAGAACTACATACGGTGAGCAGAAGAGCCAGGAACGTCGTGTTGGACGTATTCGGGTAAAGGAAAATTATCGTCATCTGCGGAAATGGATAGCACATTCAGCGCTTACAACTCAAATATTCTGAGTTAATACATAGTCGGTACCACGACTGCTTCGATAAGAGGGTTATTTGCCATCACAAGAGAATTACAATACGCACCATCTTCGACTGCAGAACCTCCCATTTCCACATCTGCATCCGTAACTTCGGCTGCCTTTTCATCCGCAACACCCGTCGGTAAATGATCAGTTGCGGCTGTTGCGCTGCGAGGGTATGGAGGGAGATCAGAAGGTGTGCGATAAGCGCTGCCTGCCGATTCTGTCTGATGGCTTCCGGTACCGGTGTGAGATCTGCGAAAATCATACGATTCCCCTCTCGTTATTTCGACAGCGTTCATAGAAGTACACATTACATGTTTACAAAAACAAATACAAGAATCCATTTACAGTTTACAGCAGCGAGATTTACTAGTGGTTGACGTGTCGTAGTACAGAAGCAGTCGATAAAACTTCAAAGTAGTGTATCACTTAGGAAAAGAATAAAACTTGAAAGTATCCAACAGATTTTTACACTTATGAGTCTACGACAGATTAATTCGACATCTTACATTCGACATCTTTGCTATTTTACTGACCTATTGGCTGCAATTCGTTCAATCCGTTGGCCAAAATCCGTTCGTCCCGCAAATCTCGCTCGCTTCGGCTCGGGCTGGGGAAGATACGATATGTTTTCCGTTTCATCTTCCTGATATACATTGTCCCTTCCGTCGTTCTCCTGTCCTTCCCCCGCTTCTTCATCGGGTCGCAGCACTCCGACGTGTTCCAGCAGTTTCATGAGATCGTCTTCGTCGGAGAGGAAGCGTCGTCCGATCACCGCTTTGACGTAATCGGAGCTGAGCTGCGTCTCGTCCACGAACACCGTCGGGATCAGCCGGCCCTGCTTGTCCTCGCCAGAGAGCTGGTCGCGACACACGCGCACGCTCTTGCTCATGCGGGGCAGTGCGCCGCGCAGATCCACTTGGAAGAAGACCACTGTTTCTGCGGAATGATCGATGGACTTTCGCCACGATGAAGGATTCAATTCCGGATCGATCCCGACCGCTCTGATCAGTTCTCGATACGATATCCATGGTGTCGATTGGGGTTTCATCTGGTTAGCCTTTGTGGATGACTGCAGAGGACGTCGGGTGCTGGCTGGTGCTGCTGTAGTTCGCAGCGAAGGAATGGGATCGGGTGCGGCTGAGTCTGGCTGGGTTTCAGGGGGCGCTCTGACGCTGAGCACGCCGTTTCGCTCTGAAGCCACACAATAATAAACCCTCCACTCCACAACTTATCCATTTGCATCAGAATTGGGCAAAACACCGAGCATAAGAAAACGAACAGCTCAAACAGGAGAAGACTAATGAGAAGCAGCGAAACCTATGATACAGTACTCACGTTTCACGGTACCCTATCACTTCACACTTGCCTCAGTTTCCTGATAGAATTTTCACTGTTCTTCAAAACGCCCGGGGCGTGTGTATGTGGGTCGCGCTCAGTTGCTACTCCATCAACATAAAACAGGCGAGCATTACACTGTTTCCTTTCTCGACAACGCCACTTTGGACAGTTCTCCGTTCTATGATCTGCTCGTTTCCATGCTTCGATATACTCGTACCCATTGTAAATCAACACTTTTCCGTTACGGCTAGTCACAGAGAACGTTACTTCTGACATAATTTTCCCCGATATAAGAATAATAATTTGATAACAAGACTCAAGACGAATTAGAGAACGCTGTCTTAACTTTCAAGCTCGGATAACAGTCAATACAAACTAAACCGAAAATTCAGAACTGGCAAGTGGAGTGTTGAGTTGCTTGTGGCGCACAGTGATGCACAACAGCGCAACGTATTTCTCGTGTGCTGAAGTTCGTTTAACAATTTTTAACTAAATTTGCGTAGGCTGCACGACCGGATCAAACACCGAGGCGGTGAGCAGGCGACAGGCAGTCTGCAGATGCTTTGCTCAGTGTGACTGGCAGTGACTGCTGCTGGAAATTACATACAATTTAAATATTCGAAAATTTGTAACTTTTTTGTATTCTTTAGAAAAAAGAGATGCATCCATAGGCTTGAAAAACCACATAATAAAATATATTTGTTGATAGTATGAATGAAATTTTCATTTCGCTTGCAACATTTTAGGACTCTCTGCATTTAACATAGTTCTCTCTGAGAAAATGGATTAAAGCCAATACCGGGTTTGCCATAGAACTATGGTAAATGCAAAGAGTCCTATCATTACGTTGCAATCGAAATAAAAATTCGTGCTCTATCAACAAAATATATAATGTATTTCAGATCACACTTTTTCTAAAAAAGAGCTTTGAAAAAGTTACTAGACGCTCGATATTAAAGAACTGCATGTAATTTAACGCAATCTGCCAGTAACAGTATGAGCTACCAATCGCCTACAACTATCATTTTCAATCCCGATCGTCTCTTCGAATAAGCACAATAACCTATACACTATAACTCTCACTTCTTCAGCGCATAGTTCTCTGTGCCATTCCGTTTAACATTACTGTTAACTTGCTTGCTTCGGGACATATCAGCACTCTGGAGACCAAGATTTTCAATCTCCTCCCTTGAGTACACAATATTTTTGACACTCCCAATGGAGATACCATACTTGGAAGCGAGTGTGCGGTACGAAGCATTCAAAGATTGCTCTTTTAAAAGATCCAGCTTCTGCTGTAAAGTGTTACACGTGGTGGCGTGTATAACGGTCCCGTAATGGGAAGATCAGACGGAAAAGACAAACGGGAATAAAACTGCGGTTTTATTCGTATACAAAAACATCATCGGAAGGCACAAATCTGCGCGAATGGTAATGCGCAGGAAAATCGTAAAAGTCAGGGAAAAATCAGGAAAATCAGAATGATATCATAATCGAAAAAACACTCACTCGATCGGATATGCCGATGAGGAGAAACAGAACAGGGAATCACATCCTATGCGTCGTCTACTCACATGGTGGAGATGCGGGGAGCAGTCGGCTCTGACTGCACGGAACCCCGTTCAAAAAAGAGAACAAGAAAAACACAAGTACCATTATGCGGCACGATTATAGTACTGTAACACATTAAGCGAAAAATAAGCATATATGCAAGAATCAAATGCGGCAAAAGTGGTTAACTGGAGAAATGCCGGAAATAAATGCAAAATTACGAGATGATGTCCTCTTCGTGGGGCGGTGTCCGCGCTCTTTTCTCACAAAATCTCCGGTGAGCTTTCGTGTCCGGATCCGCGGGGCACATCTGCGTGTCCCATCTCCGTTTCCTCCTGAGGCGGCATCTCGGCCGGTCGTCTGGCGCGCTTGCGCCCTTTAGTTGGCGCATGTCCGGGGGCCACACGGCGAACAGTTGATGCTGCGTGACGGACGCGGGCACTCTGTTGGTGTATGGCAAACGGCTGCTGGGAGGTCACGGTTTGAATAAACCCATCGGTGAGGCGCACACGCCGAACCCGTGCATACTCACATTCAGCTCCAGGTGGCCCGTCGTTGATGGAGACCACCTGGAAATAGCCCTCCTGATGGACGACTTCCACGATGTCACCCATCCCCATGGTGTTGCGCTTTCCCGGACGGACTCCGGGAGCCTCAGAAATCGGCGTATGGTGTGAGGCGGTCTTCAGACACTGTAATTTTCTTCCCGACGCCCATGATGTCCGCCAAGGTGTAGGTGGGCTGCTCATCTGGACTGCCTGTAAATCCGCGGTCGATAACGATGAACCGGCGTCCGGGCGGGGTTTGGAGTACACGTCGGACATGTTCAGCACCACCTGGTCGCCGAGGCCAAAACGGTATCCTTCCGCTGGCGTCTTGGGCTGTATGGCCTGCATGACGTCGGCATGGTACTGTTCCATAAGGCCGTGGATGTCGGTAAGGCGGCGGGCAAATGTTTCGTTGTCAGCGCTCGAGGCACACGGGCGCGCTTTGACACTAACCTTGCGCTTGAGCTCCGACAGTTCTGCCGCTAATTGCACTACCGGATTCTTGGGACATTTGGCCTGCACATGCCCTGTCTGTCCACAACAGAAACAGGTCCGCGAAGAGCCTGCAGGTGGGGATGGAGCAAGGATCGGTCGGTGGCGCGTGGGCGAGAAGGACGGCATGATGTCACCGTCAATATCCCCGTAGGCAGTAGTCGGACGAAGAAACTCCCAGCGGGATGCATTTCTGGCGGCCGCCGCCTGGTGATCACTGCGGGATGGCTGTCCGTAAGAAAGGTTGTATTCGCCTTCTTCGCCGCCATAATCGGGTGCAAAACGCTTTGGTTGGCGATCCATGATCAGCGGATTGGCTGATATCGGCGTAATCAGGTGAGGATACGGTAAAGTTCGGGAAATGTCCGGTGGCAATTCGGAATACACTCTTGTTAACTGCTGGACTACTAACTGCTGACTGCATCACTGGACGGTAAATGCAATGTGCATTGAGTGTTTTATACTGGTTAGCCTCTGTGCTCGCATGCGATTGGCGCGGCATTGGGTTGGGGAATTCCACTGGGCGGCGCCTTTGATGTGCGGCATCCGTACGGCGGGAAATCGGCTTTCATAGCCAAACAAAGGATCGGTAGTGTCGGGATGGCACTTTTCAAAGTTTTCACTGGATGTGGTGGATGTGGATAAAATCAAAATACGGAATTAACTGTAACGTTTTGAACTTGCTGATCAACGTTGATTTCGGGGCTTTCCAGAGATGGAATGGTTCCCGAAATAATGGACATCTTTTCGGTTTTCGCTGGCGGCGCTTTCGTACGGCGTGATCACTTGGAATCTGCTGGTGGATTTCCGCTGCAGGAATTTCGCTAAATCAAACGGTAAGATATCGGCCAATGGTAACGGTGGTGGTATCCGTGGTCGTCATCACACTGTGGAGGTGATATCGGTGCGACTTGTTCTGATATTACCGGTAACGCATTCGGAATACCGTAATCCGGTTCTTTAATGGTGGGAAACGGGCAGTCGATATCATACTCTTGGGGCGGTTGGCCATACCACAGCCGCGGCTTCTTTCTCTCGTAAAATGGCTTCAGACTGGCTCCACTGACCTTTTGCATTCGTTCGTTGGTCTGAACGTGGACAATCGAGTATGAGTTATCTTTCAACACGGCGGTTATTCGGTACGGTCCATGGTACTTCGGAAGTAGTTTTTTCGACAGCACCGGTGGCTTGTGCCAAGATTCCAGCAAAACCAAGTCGTTTTCGCGGTACGTTGCGGGATTACATTTCCGGTCGTGACGGTCACTGGACTTTTCGTGCATGGCGGAAATTCGGATTCTAGTCTCTTCGTAGATGTGGGCCATTCTATCCGCGAAACGCTGCACATGCTCGGAGTATGTGGAGAACTTGGCTGGTGCAATGCCTTTAACAATGGCGTCAACCGGTAAACGGGCTTCTCGACCGAACATAAGAAAAACGGCGTTATCTTCGTGGTGGAATGTACGGTAGTGTTGTACGAAAACACGGCGGCAGTCACATAACTGGACCAATCTCGTTGGTTATCGGTGACATATTTCGCAAGTGCAGCGGACAGGAAAGGCATTCTGGCTTCGACATTGCCATGCGACTGGTGGTGATGTGTGGTCGTAAAGTGGCGTTTCACTCCAATTAGTTCGGTAACATCCCGGAGTGCGGCAGCGGTAAAGTGGGTACCAGGATCACACATCAGCATCTTCGGCGGCCCGTACGGTAAAATTACACTTTCTTCGAGAAATCGGATGACCTCTTTGGCTGTGTTGCTGTACAGCGGCTTCGCGATCGTGAACTTGGAAAACAGGTCGGTGTATACGGCGGCATACGTGAAACCGTCGTACGATTCGGGAAACGGTCCCAAAGGTCAATGGATCCGGCGGATTGGACACTTTCAACGGGAACATGATCCAAAAAACCGGTGGCGGCGTTTTTGTTTGGATTTCTCAGCTGGCAACGGGGACACGTGCGAACGTAGTCACGTACTTCCGACAGCATAGTTGGCCAGTAGAAGCGGCTGGACACGGTGTTCCAAGTACGGTCGAATCCAACGTGCCCGGCGCGAGGAACGTCATGCGCTTGGTGTAAAATACGGTCGGCCGCTACTCTAGGAATGGCCAATCGGGATCGAACTGTTCCACGGCGGAAAGTGCGGCGATACAGCAAACCATCAATCAGCGAGTAGTGTTCGGTCAGGCGTAACTGTTCACCGGACAGTTTGGCCGGTGGATCGGACAACAACTGGACAACCTTGCCCAGAGTTTGATCGTCACGCTGCGCGGCGGCGAAGGCACTTCGGGTGAATTCGGCTTCGTCGACGGTCGTTTCCCGGCTAGGACGGCGTCGGCTCTGACTTCGGCGACGGCCGCTCCTACAGTGGGAATTTCAGCGACTAAGGTAAAGACATCGGCAAACAACGGTTCCAACATATAAGTATCAGCGT